GCAAATCTCTGCACAGCATTATAACCAAGATGATGCCTTCTCTGTTGCAGTTGGTGCCCTCTGACACGGACATCCATGTGTGGGGAGGGTAAGGGGTCGGCTCCCACCCAGTGAACCATAATTCCCAGATGCCTAGTGTGATGGGATGATGAGCTGCTTGTGCGTGAAATCCTAGTCCCTCAGAGTTTGCTCAAGTCCACAAACCTCTGTCTGTGACGGAGCCCCTCAAACATGGCTCCTCTAGTCACTGGCAGATTCCGACAGTGGCTGCTTTCGGAATCGCTTCCAACATAAAAGCTCCTTAACGGAAACACGTCTTCTGGACTCACGGCGTGACAGTTTCCGGCGAGGAGTGGGTCTCCCTATGGGAGGTCCAGAAACCTCCCCACTGTTCTCGCTGGAAGTGTCCCTGAGCCCTCCCTCCTGCTCGCTTTCCCTCAGAGACCCACCTCTCCCCCTGCTGGTTCCTGCTTCAGCTGCTGGGTCTCTCCCAACCTCCGTGAGCCCTTCCACCACCTGTCCCTCCGATGGCAGTTCCCTGACACCTAGCTTTTCATTTTTGTTTAGGAATCTGTTTCTAGCATTTGTAGAACCTGGGATACAAGGCAAAATTTACAGGCACTTTCAGTATTTTACTTAGCCATCCTCCTGGGAACGTTCCTGCAGAATCCTCAAGACTCCGATGGTCTTGGCTAATCTCAAGACTAGACTATCTCAGGAGAAGTAACGCTTCTCTTTAAAGGGACCAGTCTTGAGTTGGCATGGAAGGATCTGTAAGTTTCCATTCCCCCAGTTTCTAATTTTCCGAATCTTAAATTCAGTTCTCCACCGTTCTGCAGCAATTTACGGTTTCTTTCTTTTCTTTTAAAATCACGATGAAAATTCTTCAGCATTTCAGGGCGAAGTTCTCCTGATAAATAATTTTTTGTCTGCAATTTTGTCTAACACACACATGTTTGCAAGCATTTTTTTCTGAATGTCACACATTTTTGTATGCTGTTTTCACTGATATAGTGGTACCTTGGTTTTTGAATGCCTCCGTTGATGAATAGTTCGGTTTTTGAAATTGAACCGGAAACGCGGCTTCTGTTTTGAGTTTTCCATTTTAGGCTTCCATACTGAGTTTTCAGTTTTCGACCGTTTCGGAACTCGGACGGTCTTCCGGAACGGATTACGTTCGAAAACCAAGGTACCGCTGTATATTCATTTTTAAGCACAATTTCCCCTAGCGTGCATTTGTATAAGTGCTGACTGGTTGGAGAACTGCAGCAGAAAATTCAGAGAAGTGCAGATTTTGAAGGATGGCTGTTTCCCCACTTTTAATATTGTTTCACAAAGGTCAATAATGTTGTTGCCAACAAAGGTCCGTATAGTAAAAGCTATGGTTTTCCCAGTAGTGATGTATGGAAGTGAGAGCTGGACCATAAAGAAGGCTGATTGCCGAAGAATTGATGCTTTTGAATTATGGTGCTGGAGGAGACTCTTGAGAGTCCCATGGACTGCAAGAAGATCAAATGTATCCATTCTTAAGGAAATCAGCCCCGAGTACTCACTGGAAGGACAGATCCTGAAGCTGAGGCTCCAATATTTTGGCCACCTCATGAGAAGAGAAGACTCCCTGGAAAAGACCCTGATGTTGGGAAAGATGGAGGGCACAAGGAGAAGGGGACGACAGAGGATGAGATGGTTGGATGGTGTTCTTGAAGCTACCAGCATGAGTTTGATCAAACTGCGGGAGGCAGTGGAGGACAGAAGTGCCTGGCATGCTCTGGTCCATGGGGTCACGAAGAGTCGGACACGACTAAACGACTAAACAACAACAATATTGTTTCAGAAACTGCCAATTTGATAGATTCAGCTTTAAATGTGAACTGAATTGTATTTCTTCCCCATCCCGAGTACTGAGTATTTTTCCTTAACAGCCCCCATCTTTACCTGGGTGGTTGGTCCAAGTTTGAGGTCTGGCACAGTAGCATTCAACTAATGCGCCCCTTCAGTGCAAGGATTTCCACTTGTGTATTTCCCACCCTCCCCTGCAAATCTGCTCCAGAGGGTTGTGGGGAACCTCTAGAATAATAATAAATAATAATAATAATTTATTTAAATCCCGCTCCTCTGGCTGGGTTTCCCCAGCCACTCTGGGCGGCTTCCAACAGAATATTAAAATACAATAGTCTATTAAACATTAAAAACTTCCCTAAACAGGGCTGCCTTCAGATGTCTTCTAAAAGTCTGGTAGTTGTTTATCTCTTTGACATCTGGTGGGAGGGTGTTCCACAGGGCGGGTGCCACTACCGAGAAGGCCCTCTGCCTGGTTCCCTGTAACTTCACTTCTTGCAGTGAGGGAACTGCCAGAAGGCCCTCGGCACTGGACCTCAGTGTCCGGGCAGAACGATGGAGGTGGAGACGCTCCTTCAGGTATACAGGACTGAGGCCGTTTAGGGCTTTAAAGGTCAGCACCAACACTTTGAATTGTGCTCGGAAACGTACTGGGAGCCAATGTAGGTCTTTCAAGACCGGTTTTATGTGGTTTTGGCGGCTGCTCCCAGTCACCAGTTTAGCTGCTGCATTCTGGATTAGTTGTAGTTTCTGGGTCACCTTCAAAGGTAGCCCCACGTAGAGCGCATTGCAGTAGTCCAAGCGGGAGATAACCAGAGCATGCACCACTCTGGCGAGACAGTCTGCGGGCAGGTAGGGTCTCAGCCTGCGTACCAGATAGAGCTGGTGGACAGCTGCCCTGGACACAGAATTCACCCGTGCCTCCATGGACAGCTGTGAGTCCAAAATGACTCCCAGGCTACTCACCTGGTCCTTCAGGGGCACAGTTACCCCATTCAGGACCAGGGGGTTCTCCACACCCGGTTTAGGGGGGCAAAGGGGAGGAGAAGAGGGGTTAACATTGCATTGCTCACCCAGAAATCTTTACGCTGATAAAATGTTTATGTAGTGCTGCTTTGGATACAACCCATTCTATTCTATTCTCTCTTCTCTCCAAAGAGAAGGCCAAGGAACAATATGTTATCTGCAATTACATCCTGTATAACATTTTCCCTGGATAGGAGGACTGTGGATATTATCTCAACAGCAATGGCAGTGGAGGGGCTGCTTAACCCTTTCTCCTCCAGCCGTTTCCCACCTCATCATCTCCTTTCCAGCTGATTTTCCACCCACAGGGAGATGTAGAGGTGATACTGTTACCTGTATCTTTTACCCCTGTGGGTGGAATAGCAGGTGGGGGTGTTTTTCCTTTTTTGCCATTCGGGACTGAAAAGTCCACTTTGCAGCAGGCCCTGCATGCCAGAGACCAAACACGAACTTCCAGCTTCCATTGCTGAGAATTGCTTCGCTAATAATTTAATCCTTTGCTTTGAACTGGGAACAAGATAATCCTTTGCAGTCCTTTGCATAACAAATGTTGACGACATGCAAATGAAATGCAAACCTCAATAGCTCCCTCAAGACTTCCTGGAGGTTTTTTTTTAAAAAAAACACTCTCTGACAACAGTCTAGCTAGCAAAGCGTTTAAGAAGGGCTTTCCAATTCTGTGTGTAAAATACTTTAAGCACTATTGATTATCAGGAGCAGACACTTGTAGCCAGACTCTGTAAACATGTTTTGTCTGAGGTAAGCCCTACTGAGCTCAATTGGATTTATTTCCCTTCAAGTGTGTTTCGGATTACAGCTTGTGTTGTACGTGGTGGAAACCCAAGTTGGTTGAATCTGGGTCCCATTGATTTGAAAGGGAATTCCATTTCACACACTGAATCTGGATCTAACCTGCACACATGGCACAGAATTGTTGTCTTGCCTCGGTAATGGACAGGATGAGAGCCAACAAACGGAGGCTCAATCCAGATAAGACTTGAGGCACTGTTAGTGGACACCCTAGACCAGATGGGTGGGAGATGGCCTGCTCTTGATGGGGTTAGACTTCCTCTGAAGGAGTGGGTTCGTAGCTTGGGGGTACTCCGGGATCCTCTTCCTGTTGCTTGAGGCTCAGGTGGCCTCGGTGGCGAGGAGTGCCTTCCATCAGCTTTGGTTGGTGGCCCAGCTGCGCCCCTATCTGGACAGGGATAGCTTAACTTCTGTCTATACCAGGGCTTGATTTAGCTTTGATGAGGCCCTAAGCTACTGAAGGTAATGGGGTCCTTTACGTGTCCAGCTGTCCTTTGTCAACAACAAATTTGGCTTTGGGAGGGAAGAACGAAAACAATTTTGATTTTTTTCCTAGTATAATTGGTGGCCTTTTTTTGTACTGTTATGTACTGAGTTGAATAGGATCCAAAAATGCAGCGGTCTGATTGGTCCTAGAACAATAGGATTCAGAATGCAGCAGTCTGATTGGTCCTAGAACAATGCAGCAGTATGATTGGTCTGCAGGAGCCACCCAATCCAGCTCCAGGTGGAAGGGAATCCACAACCTGATTGGCCTACAGGAGAATCCTGGAATTAGCCAGTCACGTGGGGCCCATTGTGTAAATAATGTATATAAAGCAGACATTCTGGGGGAACTTCCATTCCTCCTCACCACTATGAGCTGTATAAAGAGCATGAAATCCACTCTCGACTCCAAGTATATTTCATGTACTGATTTTTTTTTTTAAAAGCCCTGGTGAAATGATAACTGTGGGTATTCTCAGTACGGAAAAATGTGATAATATATAATACGGTTGATGTAAAATTGAAGCAACATCTTATAATTATTAAATTTACATTAAGAAACAAGACAACTTTAACACCAGTGCACAGAAGAGCTGCAGGAAGGGGCTTTTTCAGTAACAGCTTGGGGGGGGGATATTACAGTTGTTCCACAATTTGTGAAGTGTGTGTGAGGAGCAGATATCAGATCACAAGGCACAGAGAAGGAGGAGGTTAGTATTTTCCTGCCACACCTGCCTGTCACAAGTTCTGCAGACCTGCTTGTAAGTTTTATTTAAAAGTATGTTTATCTTTTCCGTTCATGGGTGATTCTTCAATTTTATTTTATTTTTAAAACGTAGTGGAGCAGGAGAACACGCAAAAGAGGACCTTCACAAGTTGGATCAACTCGCAGTTGGAAAAGGTAAGGGAATGACCAGGGCTGGATTTAGGTTTGATGAGGCCCTAAGCTACTGAAGGTAATGGGGCCCTTTACAGTGGTGCCCCGCAAGACGAATGCCTCGCAAGATGGAAAACCCGCTAGACGAAAGGGTTTTCCGTTTTTGAGTTGCTTCGCAAGACGAATTTCCCTATGGGCTTGCTTCGCAAGACGAAACGTCTTGCTAGTCTTGCGATTTTTTTCCCCGCTCCCCCCCCCTTTTCTAAGCCGCTAATAGCCTTTTAGCAGCTAAGCCGCTAAGCCTTTAATAGCCGCTAAGCCGCTAATAGCTCTAATCCTCTTAGCCGCTAATGGGGTTGCTTCGCAAGACGAAAAAACCGCTAGACGAAGAGAATCGCGGAACGGATTCTTTTCGTCTTGCGAGGCACCACTGTATATGTCCAGCTGTCTTTTGTCAACAACAAATTGTCGCTGTTTTTAGTGTTGAGTATATGCTGTATGGTAATTTATGGACCTAATAGGTATCTAAAGCCATTTGCACATAACAAAATATGTATTTTATCAAAGTAATTGTTGCAACTGAAATGCAATTAAGAAGAAGTATATTAAGAGTGAAATAATTATTAAGGTCTAACTTTTTTTAAAAAAAAGGGACGCGGGTGGCGCTGTGGGTAAAACCTCAGTGCCTAGGGCTTGCTGATTGCATGGTCGGCGGTTCGAATCCCTGCGGCGGGGTGAGCTCCCGTCTTTCGGTCCCAGCTCCCGCCCACCTAGCAGTTCGAAAGCACCCTTAAGTGCAAGTAGATAAATAGGTACAGTGGTGCCTCGCAAGACGAAAAGAACCTGTTCCGCAATTCTCTTCGTCTAGCGGTTTTTTCGTCTTGCGAAGCAACCCTATTAGCGGATTAGCGCTATTAGCGGTTTAGCGGCTTAGCGGCTATTAAAGGCTTAGCAGCTTAGCTGCTAAAAGGCTATTAGCGGCTTAGCGGCTTAGAAAAAGGGGGGGGAAGCGGAAAAAAAATTGCAAGACTAGCAAGACGTTTCGTCTTGTGAATCAAGCCCATAGGGAAAATCGTCTTGTGAAGCAACTCAAAAACTGAAAACCCTTTCATCTAGCGGGTTTTCCGTCTTGCGAGGCATTCGTCTTGCGGGGCACCACTGTACCGCTTTATAGCGGGAAGGTAAACGGCATTTCCGTGTGCTGCTCTGGTGCTGGCTCGCCAGAGCAGCTTCGTCACGCTAGCCACGTGACCCGGAAGTGTCTCTGGACAGCGCTGGCCCCCGGCCTCTTAAGTGAGATGGGGGCACAACCCTAGAGTCGTACACAACTGACCCGTATGGGCAGGGGTACCTTTACCTTTACCTTTAACTTAAAATGATTTTTTATTCATAACAAACTTAATAACACAAACACATTGGCATTTGGCAATAACAAAAGTTCCTTTAGAAACACAATTTGCAAAGACTCATAATCTAGTCTCTAGAAACTTGCTATAACATGAAATGATAATAGCAAACCAGTGAGATTTTAGGAAGCAGGCTAGTAGCATGACTTACATCATAGGAGCCTACGCAACACAAAACACTGTTGCTGTATGTAGGTTTTATTTTATTTGTTTGTCTTATATTTTGGAAATGTACATCCAGTTTTTTCCCCTTTTAATTTTTTGGGGGACCCATAAGAGAGTGGGGCCCTAAGCTATAGCTTGTTTAGCTTATATGTAAATCAGGCACTGGGTCCTCACTCGTTTTCCATTCAACATGGTACTGCTTTTCTGAGAGTAGTACTTGCAGATTTTTTTATGATGGTGCTCTCCAGTATTTCCATAAAATCACAGAACTGTTGAGAGTTGAATTGGACCATGAGGCTCGTCTGGTCAAACCCCCTGAAATTCAGTGATCTTTCACCCAACACCATTTTTATCAAGATATGAGTTCCGGCACCTCATTTTTAACCCCTCCAAAAGAAAAAATACTGGCTTGGCTTGGTTTTTACCAGTTACTGAGCCATTAGTGTGGCAGGCTGTGCCCTTGCCAGTAGAGGTCTGGCAGCAATCACTGCCAGCTTTCTTATAGACTTGTTTTGAAACCTGTACAGTTCAGACAGCAGAATGTGGACTATTGTTTTTAACCAACCGGTTTATTGATATGCCGTTGGTGTTTCTGACTGCTCTTATTATTGCAGTGTTAGGTTTCTATGTCGTATACTGCCTTACTATGCCCTCCCTTGGATGTATGGCTTATAAATATTAGAATAAGAAAGGTTGCTTAACGACAAATATTTTTGCAGCATTCCCCACCTTCCTTTGTCTCGGACTTGTATACGGACATCGGGCAGGGACATGTGCTTTTGGATCTGCTGGAGGTTCTCTCAGGACAACAAATGGTAAGGTATCCCCACTGCATGTGATTCTTTTTGTCTAAAGTCAATTTAAAAAGCAATGAACTTACTGTATTTTTCGCTCTATTGGACGCACTGGACCATAGGATGCACCGGACCATAGGAGGGGGAGAATAGGAAAAATTTTTTTTTCCCTTGTTCTCCCCCTCAAAAACAAGGTGTGTTCAAGGTGCGTTCAAGAGCAGGCCTTTCCGCTGCCCCCAGAGCTTGTGGGGCTGGTGGTGGAGGAAAGCGCTGCTTTGAAGCATTGGACCCTGGTCTGCATTCGCTCCATAGGATGCACACACTTTCCCCCTTCATTTTTGGAGGGGGGAAAGTGCGTCCTGTAGAGCGAAAAATACGGTACTTATTGCCCATCAGTCCTCATGCTTGAATTTGAGTTTGACATGCAGTTTGACATGCAGACAGAAACTCATCTTTGTTGTACCAAATTAAGGATCTTGAGGTTCTGAACTTTCTCTCAAGAAAACATCCCAAGTTTCTAGCTCTTAAGAATGCTAGGAGAAGCTTGGAAATGTCTCAACACTTTCCCCCTTTTCCCACAGTTCTATCAACTCCTTCCTCGCGCACTCTCAAAAAATTGCTGAAATTTCTAAACCGCAAAAGCAGAAAATATTCTGCGAAATTAACATAAGAACATGAGAAGAGCCATTCGAATTTTGCAATTAGTAATGTGGAGCCTGATTTTTTGTTTTGTTTGTATCCCCTCTTTCTCTCCCTCCAGCCACGTGAGAAAGGATCTAACACTTTCCAGTGCAGAAGCAACATTGAAAATGCGTTGACGTTCCTAAAGAACAGATCGGTCAGTATTACTCCAGCCTCAAAGACGGTTTTGAGTTTGCTCAGGTGCCAAAGTGTTGTAAAAAAAGACAAGAACAGCACATTCGAAGCAAAGCTGTACGGTGACATGCTTTAGAACAGAACTGGATATGCTGTTATACTTTATATTTATTTTCAGCAGGAAATTCCACTAAAGCGTTTATTATAGATCCCAGCTACAGTCAATGCAAGAGCTGAAAGGACTCCATAATTCAGGTCTTGAGGATGCTTTTATCCACACTTTTATAGATATGAATGAGCAACCTAGGTTCACTATGAGCTCTCTGCAGCTTACACACACCTTTTACATTATCAACCAAATAATGATTTTTTTGGGGGTTTAACTTACTTTAGGGGATGCGGGTGGTGCTGTGGGTTAAACCACAGAGCCTAGGACTTGCCGATCAGAAGGTCGGCGGTTCGAATCCCCACGACGGGGTGAGCTTCCATTGCTCAATCCCAGCTCCTGCCAACCTAGCAGTTCAAAAGCACGTCAAAGTGCATGTAGATAAATAGGTACCACTCCAGCGGGAAGGTAAACAGCGTTTCCGTGCGCTGCTCTGGTTCGCCAGAAGCAGCTTAGTCATGCTGGCCACATGACCCGGAAGCTGTACGCCGGCTCCCTCGGCCAATAAAGCGAGATGAGCGCCGCAACCCCAGAGTCGGTCACGACTGGACCTAATGGTCAGGGGTTCCTTTACCTTTACCTTAACTTACTTTGCTGGATTGCAGCTTGGCAAATTGGCTATTAATTAACTTTTGCAAGGACTTTCGGCACCACCTAAACTTTGGAACTTCCTGCCCATTGACATTAGGTGGGTTCCGTCATTGTACGCTGTTCAGCAACTGCTTACAACATTTTTGTTCAGGAAAACAAAATTGTCTATCCAGACACCATAGAAATTACGTATTTTATTTATTTGTTTTTAGCTACCATTGATTTTATTCATCGTTCAGCTTATTTTTAAATACCTGTTTTTAATTGTTTTTTTATCCATAGTATTAAAGTTTTATATTTTTTGTAAACTGTTTAGAGCAGGGGTCATCAAACTTTTTTTTTAGCAGGGGGCCGGTCCACTGTCCCTCAGACCATGTGGGGGGCCGGACTATATTTTTTTTGCCGGGGAAATGAACGAACTCCTATGCCCCACAGATAACCCGGAGATGCATTTTAAATAAAAGCACACATTCTACTCCTGTAAAAACACGCTGATTCCCAGACCATACGCGGGCCGGATTTAGAAGGCAATTGGGCCAGATCCGGCCCCCTGGCTTTATTTTGCCGACCCATGGCTTAGACTTAGAGGCTTAAACAACAAGAACAACAATAAAGCAATATAGAGGTTGTATTAAATAAAGAGATAAATGACAAGAAACAGCTTGTTGTACATGGCTAGAGGTGGATTTGGATTGTGATGTTTTCATAGGAGTCCAGTATATACCATATTTTTTCTTCTTTCTTTTTGAACTCCATTGTTGGGTTGTGATTAAACACACACACACAAAAATACACAGCATTACAGGTTTAAACATCCCACAAGAGCTGTTTTAAAACAGTGATTCATTTCCCTTCACTTTGTTCTATAATAATAATTAATAATAATAATTAAATTACCGTATTTTTCGCCCTATAGGACGCACCTTTTCCCCTCCAAAAATGAAGGGGAAATCTGGGTGCGTCCTATGGGGCGAATGCAGGCTTTCGCTGAAGCTTGGAGAGCGACGCTGCGGATAGCAGCCTGCCACCCGGCGGGCGGGGCGCCCTGAAGCAGAGCGCCTCGCGTGCCGGACAGACATCCGCAGCGTGGGGAGCCCTGCAGGAGTTCCCTGCAGGGCTCCCCACGCTGCGGATAGCAGCCTGCCGCCCGGCGGGTCGCCCTAAAACAGAGCGCCCCTCGCGCCGGGCAGACATCGGCCAGCCCCACAAGCTCGGGGGACAGCAAGGAGGCGCAGTGCCGCCATCCCGCTGTTCCTCGACCTGGTTCCGTTTCCCCGACCTGCTTTGGGGGGGAAATAAAGGGGAAAAAAATTTCCTTTATTTCCCCCCAAAAAAACTAGGTGCGTCCTATGGGACGAAGCATCCTATGGGACGAAAAATACTGTAATAAGATAAAATAATTTTATTTATATCCTGCCCTCCCCAGCCGAAGCCAGGCTCAGAGTGGCTAACAATAGTTATTCTTCTTTTCCCAGATCAAGCTGATCAACATTCATGTTGCTGATATCATTGAAGGGAAACCGTCCATTGTCCTTGGCCTGATTTGGACAATCATATTGCATTTTCACGTGAGTAGCTGATCAAGGTTGGAAGAAAGTTTTCCCAAGTTAGTTTTTGCCGAAATAGGCTCAGGGGATGGAGGCAAGGAGAATGCCCCCCCCCGAACAGTGTGTCAGGGGAGGAGAGCGGTGATCATGCCATCTGAAAAGCTATGCCTAGGTGTTTGAGGTGAAATGGCCCTTAGGAGAGGACTGTACCATCTCAGTTTTCACAGTTTCCATTCATTTTAAAGTTGCCTTGATGTGCAAATCAAGTCCCACATGACCAACATACCATGCCCCATTTGAATAACTAACACTTTTAACAGGCCTTTGGTTCCCCCCAAAGAATCCTGGGAACTGTAGTTTGTTAAGGGTTCTGGGAGTTATTAAGGAAGACCGCTATTCCCCTTACGGAGCTACAATTCCCAGAGTTCCCTGGGAAGAAGGATTGATTGTTAAACCACAAGTGGAGGTGATTCTTCAAGTACTTAGGCCCAAGTCATTTAAGCAGAGATGGATTTAGGGGCGAGCTACCAGTTTGGTTGCATTGGGCATGAAGCATAGGGGCCTCCAGAACTTTTATGAAGAATGGAAGGCGAGAGGCAGGGCTTTGTACGCCAGATTTTGATGCCCGCACAGGTCGCTGCTGAAATTCAAGACCCCAAGGTCTGTCACTGATTTATGACTTTGTACCCTACTTCTTGGGATGCAGGTGGCACTGTGGTCTAAACCACAGAGCCTAGGACTTGCCGATCAGAAGGTCGGTGGTTCGAATCCCCATGACGGGGTGAGCTCCTGTTGCTCGGTCCCTGCTCCTGCCAACCTAGCAGTTCGAAAGCACGTCAAAGTACAAGTAGATAAATAGGTACCGCTCCAGCGGGAAGGTAAACGGCGTTTCCGTGCGCTGCTCTGGTTCACCAGAAGCGGCTTAGTCCTGCTGGCCACATGACCTGGAAGCTGTACCCCGGCTCCCTCGGCCAATAAAGCGAGATGAGCGCCGCAACCCCAGAGTCGGTGACGACTGGACCTAATGGTCAGGGGTCCCTTTACCTTTACCTTTACCTTACCCTAGTTCTTGGGATGCAGGTGGCACTGTGGACAAACTCCAGCTCCCTTGGCCTATAGAGCGATAAGAGTGCCGCAACCCCAGAGTCGTTCGTGACTGGACTTAACGGTCAGGGGTCCCTTTACCTTTACCTTTTAAGGTAAAGGTAAAGGTACCCCTGCCCGTACGGGCCAGTCTTGACAGACTCTAGGGTTGTGCGCTCATCTCACTCTATAGGCCGGGAGCCAGCGCTGTCCGGAGACACTTCTGGGTCACGTGGCCAGCGTGACAAGCTGCATCTGGCGAGCCAGCGCAGCACACGGAAACGCCGTTTACCTTCCCGCTAGTAAGCGGTCCCTATTTATCTACTTGCACTTTGACATGCTTTCGAACTGCTAGGTTGGCAGGCACTGGGACCGAGCGACGGGAGCGCACCCCGCCGCGGGGATTCGAACCGCTGACCTGATGATCGGCAAGTCCTAGGCACTGAGGCTCTTACCCACAGCGCCACCCGCGTCCCTCCTTTACCTTTTACCCTAGTTCTTATCAATGACTGTGGAATAAATCTGTTCCTTTCCCTCCCCCGCCCTCTATTCTTCATTGGTAGATTGAAGAGTTAGCCCAGACTCTTGCTTGTGGCTACGGTCATCCTTCGCCGGACAGTTCGAGTGCCGTGGACTCATCACCGACAGCAAGCCCACCGGCAAAACGAAATGCTAAAGCGAAGGAACGGTGGAAGATGTCTGCAAAGAAGGCTCTTCTGTTGTGGGCCAAGGAGCAGTGCGCCACGTATGTAGGGTTGCTCAAATCAGTCCGTCTGCAGTCCGTGTCGCTTTTGCATGCGTTCACTTGCAAGCCCATTCCATCCTGTTTTCTGCACTAATCTGCAATGCTTAGGAACACAGAAAGCTGCCTTGCATTGAATCAGACCATTGATCCACAGCAGCCCTCCAGTTTAAGATTCATTTCATTTTCCTTTATTAGACGTATTAGTCGCCTGCCTCCAAAAGGTCTCCAAGTGGCTTACAGCAAAAGAAAGAAAGAAAGAAAGAAAGAAAGATATACAATACATATTACCATAGCAGAAAAGTGCTTTTAAAATATGTTAGGGAGAGAGGCGGATTATTGGATTTTGCTTGTTTTTACAGTAATTTTATTATGTATTTTATGTTAAGAGCCGTCTTGAGACCTGCAGGTATAGGGTGGCACACAAAGTTTTAATAATAATAGACATTAATATTTCATATAGCATAACATCTGTGAAAGAAACCATAATCAAATGATAAGCAAAACAATACTCAAGCCTGCTTACTAACAATTTTTTAAAAAATATTTAAATAAACATATTAATATTTGAAAGAAGTATGTTGAATTCACGAGCAGGATTTGAACTATGAGCAACAGAAGGAGTTAGAGTTTATTGTATGGTGGTTATGATATAAGACGGAGAAGATAGGGTACAGCAAGGGGGAGAAATTAAAAACACCATGGAAAATGGGGGTGGGGGAGTAAAAATAAAGCGAAGAAAAATGATTATGTTTTGGAATGCATATGTGCAATTTTTTAGATGTATGGTATTTGGTTTATTATTATTATTATATTTTGTTAAACAAAAATAAAGAAAGCCTCAACTTCCCGTAGTCCAAAAAAACCCATTCACCTGAAACCCACAGTTGCCCCCCTTTAACCCCACCACCCCACCCAATTCAGTGCTGGGGGTTGGCAATGTCCTCCAGGGATGGTCCTTGTGGCGATCACACGGGGTCCCCGGATGTTTGACAGTCTATTGACCCTGTGCCACCACTTCAATTGCTTTTTTCCACTGCCACCACCCCGTATCTCACAGGGACACATGGAGTCCAGTCAGTTGTTAACATTAACAAATAATCAAGTTTATTTTTAAATGCAGGAACAAGCTTATGGGTACAGTTAATTTTTCTTGGCAGTTTCTTAATCTTAGTTCCTAACAACCTCAAACTGATTATTCCCAACTATATATCTGACTCCACCTAACAATTCCTCTCACTCTCTCACAATACAACTCTACCAACCCACACCTGAACCTCCCTCTTCCTTCTTCAACTCCCAAACCTCAACTGACTTTCAAAACCTCCCACTCTAACTTTTGCTCCCCCCTTGCATTCCCACTGGCCAATCACATCACACTCATTTAACCCTTTCCTAATGACCCACCTAGGAGGCAAACGCCACAGTCCTGAATCCCTCTTCTCCCTTCAGGAGGGGAGCAGTAGCAGAGCAAAGCAGAGAGGTGGTAACTTTACCTGCTTTGCAGATGACTCAGTTACTCCTCCTCTCCTGCTGCTGGTAGAGGTTCAGATGTTGTGGGTTCTTCCTGAGGACTCCTGCATGCAAATCAGATGCTGAGCCACTAGGTTATGGCACTTGCTTTAAAAACTATATTGAGATTCTAGTCCTCGTCGTTGATATAAATAGGGCATGCAAAGCTGCCTTCTACTGAGTCAGACCAGTGGTCCATCTGCCTCAGTATTGTCTACACCAACTGGCAGCGTCTCTCCAGAATTTCGGCAGTCTGTTTCGGCCCTTCTTGGAGACGCCATGTTTCTGACCTGGGACCTTTTGCAGACAAGGCGTGTGCCGTGCCGCTGAGCTACATACAGCACTTCCCCAAAGAGAGCGGCCTGATCCTGTAGGCTGGTCAGCGGGGCCAAAGAGCTTTCTTTAGCCTAGCCAAAGGACTTTTAAGTTGATTTCCTCAACAGTGGTGGAGTTGAATAGCAGGACAAAGAACAAAGAGAAAGTCTGACAAGTTAAGTGGTTTCCACTCCCCAAGTGAGTTTGGCCACTCTGCCAACAAACCCTGACATTCTGAACAAGTGAGATCGCTGATTTCACCCCGCGGTGCCCAGCCTTAGCCTTTGTCCTCCTTCCTGCATATCTACAATGCACAACCCATTTTTATGTCAGCACTCATTCTGACTCATGCCTTCGTCTCTCGGTATGGCTGCATTTTCTAGGAAACAAATGTGCTGTAGGAAGTCACCGGGCACATTTCTCTCAAACGTTGTCTGTAATTGCCTCGAAATAGATTTGCCACCGGGCGGAAAGTATAATATAATGGCTCCCATTCTTAAAACGGAGCCCCTTCCCTGCCAGACTGCTCATTTAGGGCAGGTATATTCTTCAACACTTCTTAGATACTATAATTGTGCATTAGCAGTGGAGCTAATTCTGCTTTAGTGATATCACATGGCTCGTAGCCTTGTCCTCCATTAATCTTGTCTAACCCCCTTTTAGGGACGCGGGTGGCACTGTGGGTTAAACCACAGAGCCTAGGACTTGCCGATCAGAAGGTCGGTGGTTCGAATCCCCGTGATGGGGTGAGCTCCCGTTGTTTGGTCCCTGCTCCTGCCAACCTAGCAGTTCAAAAGCACGTCAGAGTTCAAGTAGATAAATAGGTACCACTCCAGCGGGAAGGTAAACGGCGTTTCCGTGCGCTGCTCTGGTTTGCCAGAAGCGGCTTAGTCATGCTGGCCACATGACCTGGAAGCTGTACGCCGGCTCCCTCGGCCGATAAAGCGAGATGTGCGCCGCAACCCCAGAGTCGGTCACGACTGGACCTAATGGTCAGGGGTCCCTTTACCTTTAACCCCCTTTTAAGGCCTTCAAGGTTCTCCCCAAAACCAGCGTTTTTGAACTCATTTCAATCTCTGGTTAATTGGGGGAACCCAGGTTAGCATGAGTCTTGGGTTAACCTCGGTGCAGATGTAAGGCAGATCTAAGGGAGGTTTTTACCCCTGTGGGGTGGGAGAGGGTGCCTATGGGTCTACAACTTGCTCCCCATCCCTTAGCTGGTTAAGAGACAGTGTTATACTGTCAGGCCAGGCTGTAAAAATAGGGCGCTTGTGGGAAAGGGAGTTACTTGCATGGTTGGCAGTGCAGCGTCACTGCTTACAGGAATAACTGAAGAGACATTTTTGTGTGTGTGTGTGTTTGGACGCAGGCATGGCTCCATCAGCGTTGCAGACTTCAAATCCAGTTGGAGGAATGGGTTGGCGTTCTTGGCCATCATTCACGCCTTGAGGCCGGACTTGGTAGACATGGAGAGAGCAAAAGATAGACCCAACAAAGAGAACCTGGAGGAAGCCTTCGAAATTGCAGAGACAGAACTCAGTATACCCCGGCTGCTTGAACCTGACGGTAAACCTTCCGAGAATGGAGCGTCTCCAGTCATAACAGTGTCGGTTGTGTTTTCACGGACATAGATTTTAGACCCTGTTTTCAATATGAATGTGCTAGATTGGGAGGGGAAGTGTACCAAAATCTGTGAATGGAAATAAATATCACCAAGCAGATTACTAAACAGGTGCTTTCATAATACAGGCAACTTTTTGTTCACATGTTGACTCTTTTATAGTGTGTCTTTCATACGGACATGTGTTGAAAGCCCTAAATGACTCAGGCTCCAAATATCTGAAAGACCGCCTCGTTCGCTTTAGACTAAGGTTACCAGGTTTTTTTCAATGAATCTGGGGACACAATGAATGAATGAATGAATGAATGAATACTACACGTTGAGGAAGAGCCCCATCCCAACTCCTACTTGTGTGCAAGCTGGAGGGAGCAGGGATCTCTCAGGCAGCACGATGCCTCCCTTCCCATCGGAGCAGCCCCAATCCCACTCCTACTTGTGTGCAAGCAGGCGGGGACAGGGATCCCTCAGCTGGGAAGGGAGGCTTCCCATTGCCTAACTGAGAGATTCCTGTCCCCTCCTGCTTGCACGCAAGTAGGAGTTGGGAGGCTGCTCCGATAGGCAGCATGAAGCCTCCCTTCACAGCTTAGTTGCTGGGGTCGGGGAAGGTGGAGGCAGCCCGGAAGCTGCACCTTAGAGCCCCTGCACCACCATCATATGGGGACTTCCAAGCAGCTCCTGAAGCCAGCCAGAGCCAACTGCTCCAGGCTGCTGAGACTGCCGCTGCTGCATTTCCCGGGGACATTAGATGAAATCCGGGGACATTCCAGGGATGGAATTTGTCCGGGGACTTATTCGCAAATCTGGGACTGTCCCTGGGAAACGGGGACATCTGGTAACCCTACTTTACACCCTTTGGGATGCTGAGATGTTTAATAGCTTCTGGCATTTTACAGATGTTGATGTCGTCAGTCCAGATGAGAAATCCATCATGACATACGTGGCTCAGTTTCTGCAGTATTTCAAAAGTCTACCTGTGGCTGAAGATGAGATGCAGGTATGGTGACCTGTTTTGTTTTTGGACCGAAGCCTCATATGTTCCCTGTTTGCTTTGGAATACGAAGTCTTGAGTTATCTCTAAGCATCCCTATAGCAGGGGAAGCTGACCCCGGGTCAGGGGCCTGATCTGTCCACCCCTCAAAACATTTTTTCCCCTGGTGCCCAAGGTTCTTCCAGTAAATGAATAAATAGTAGACCCAGTGCTGTGGTTACAAGGAATCCCAACAACCTGAGAGGGTAGGAATTGCCCTCTTCCCGATCGATTGTCAGATTGATCATTTGATGAATGGAACAAGGAAAGGAACCCCCCCTTCTCAGCTGATCTGCACAGATCAATGGAATGTGTGCTTGTGTGTCTGCCTGGGTATGCGCGCATGGGGAAATGTGTGGGGTGGCCACACCCCTTTGGTCACGCCCACTGCTGGCAACCTGGAGGGTTGGCTTAAGGGTGATGTAGCTCTTGGACCAAAAAAGAGCAGCCCGAATCTGGCAAGACTCACAGCATTCATAAAGGGAGAATCGGACCAGAAATTATTAAAAGAATGGCGATGCGCTAAAGATTATATGAAAAAACATTGTTCTGGAGCAAGCATATCGGTATGTAATGAATGACGCTTTGCAGGGTTAAAGAAAAAGAAAAATGATGTAAAAAGTATAAAGATAGAGGTAATCTACATTTGTTGTTTAGTCGTTTAGTCGTGTCCAACTCTTCGTGACCCCATGGACCAGAGCACGCCAGGCACTCCTGTCTTCCACTGCCTCCCGCAGTTTGGTCAAACTCATGCTGGTAGCTTCGAGAACACTGTCCAACCATCTCATCCTCTGTCGTCCCCTTCTCCTTGTGCCCTCCATCTTCCCCAACATCAGGGTCTTTTCCAGGGAGTCTTCTCTTCTCATGAGGTGGCCAAAGTATTGGAGCCTCAGCTTCACGATCTGTCCTTCCAGTGAGCACTCAGGGCTGATTTCCTTAAGAATGGATAGGTTGGATCTTCTTGCAGTCCATGGGACTCTCAAGAGTCTCCTCCAGCACCATAATTCAAAAGCATCAATTCTTTGGTGATCAGCCTTCTTTATGGTCCAGCTCTCACTTCCATACATCACTACTGGTAAAACCATAGCTTTAACTATACAGACATGTATAGTTAGCTACATTAGACACAACAATTTAGAAAGAGTAAAATTTTTGAGGTCTTAGAACAAAGGAAGGAGGTCAATATGTGTATATGTATGTAATGACTAGATTAGTATGAAGATATGGTTTTATTTGTAGATGTGTGCTCTTTTTTCCCTTTCCTTTTTTGTGTTCTGTTTTTCTTTCTTGTTTGTATAGTTTTATTTCGAATTCAATGTTTGTAATTTTTGTTGTAATTTTGCATTGAAAATAAAAAAAATTAAAAAGGGGGGGAAGAGTAGCCCATAGCACAGATGGCTCTTGCAGATGTAATATTCCCTGACCCTTAACCTTGAACCAAGTGATAAAAAGACGATATAAAAAACACAAAGTACATAATAAAAGCAAACGCAACCAATAACCCACCCACCCCTTCTACAAACACATTTAAAAGGATATAGGATGTTAATCAGTGCAATGCCTGGTTGAAGGGTAATGTTTTTCCTGGCTTCCAAAGGTATAAAATGAAGGTGCTAGTCGTGACTCTCTGGGGGGAGCCTTCCACAAACGAGGAGCCACAGTAAATCGTTGTTGTTTGAACTCGTTTGTCTTTTATATTTTATTTTATTTTTACAAAAAAAGTAGCTCAAAGCAACTTACAAAAAACCCCAGCATATGCATTAAAAGCAACATAGAACTGTTGTTGTTGTTTAGTCGTTTAGTCGTGTCCGACTCTTCTTGACCCCATGGACCAGAGCACGCCAGGCACTCCTGTCTTCCACTGCCTCCCGCAGTTTGGTCAAACTCATGCTGGTAGCTTCGGGAACACTATCCAACCATCTTGTCCTCTGTTGTCCCCTTCTCCTTGTGCCCTCCATCTTTCCCAACATCAGGGTCTTTTCCAGGGAGTCTTCTCTTCTCCATGAGGTGGCCAAAGTATTGGAGCCTCAGCTTCAGGATCTGTCCTTCCAGTGAGCATTCGGGCTGATTTCCTTCAGAATGGATAGGTTTGATCTTCTTGCAGTCCATGGGACTCTCAAGAGTCTCCTCCAGCACCATAATTCAAAAGCATCCATTCTTCGGCGATCAGCTTCTTTATGGTCCAGCTCTCACTTTCATACATCACTACTGGGAAACCATAGCTTTTACCATACGGACCTTTGTTGGCAAGGTGATGTCTCTACTTTTTAAGATGCTGTCTAGGTCTAGAACTAAAGCAAAGCTAATAAACCTCTTCCAAAATACTGTTGGATTGCTGCATTTGTTTCCCTATTTTTGCACTGAAGCAGTTTGCAAAGGGAAAGAGCCTTGGGAATATGCTTGACAAGGCGCCTTCTCTTGCAACAGTGCAAACTGCAGTTGTCAGGAGGAGCGATAAAAAAGAAAACAAAAATGGCAACTTTCTGTTCTGTTTCCCAGGGGAAAGTCAACCAGACCTTGAGTTGGCTGAACTCTCAAGAAAAGAAGTTAGCAAGGTTGTTGTCGGAGACAGAAAGTATGCCCTTCTCTGAGAAGTTCCAAGTAAGTTACATTGTAGACTTATACATTCAGAGATAGTAGCAATTGCAAGGTAAATAACTGAAGGTTATTTTTTGTGTCATTTGTAAAACAAAGTTTCAGTGTTCCGTCTTTTGGGAACTGTCCCCCCCAAAAGGAAAAAGAAAATGTGCTCATTCAGTTTTATAAAAGTGTTAAACTTCTGAATACAGTGGTACCTCGGGTTAAGTACTTAATTCGTTCTGGAGGTCCGTTCTTAACCTGAAACTGTTCTTAACCTGAAGCACCACTTTAGTTAATGGGGCCTCCTGCTGCCGCTGCAAAGTTCTTAACCCGAGGTACTATTTCTGGATTAGCAGAGTATGTAACCTGAAGCATATGTAACCCGAGGTACCACTGTATTGGAATGAATAACACAATTTAGAACCCAGGAAACAAATTCAAAACACCGAGGGGAGAACCACAAACATATTAAACAAAATGATCAAACAGACAGATGAATATTGTAGCCTATCCATCATTCACAGCAGAGCCGGAAGTCTCCAAGGGGCTTGTTAGTCGTGGGAAATATAAGCATCACTTTATGATAACAGGAGAAGAGTCCTGCTGAACCAGACAGTTCTCCACTTGGTCCAGCATCATTTTCTCACAGTGGCCAAACAGATTCCCCTTTGAAGCAGGCAAGCAGAAGCTGTCCCACTCATGTCCCCCATGTTCTGGAATCCAGAGGCATATTGCATCTGATTCTGGAGGTAGCACATGGCCACTGCGACTAGTTGCCATTGATAAGAACATAAGAACACCCCTCTTGCAGCCCTCACCCATGATTGCATCCCAATAGCGTAAAAGGTAAAGGACCCCTGGACGGTTAAGTCCAGTCAAAGGCGACTATGGGGTTGTGGCATTCATCTCACTTTCAAGCCGAGGGAGCCGGCATTTGTCCACAGACAGCTTTTCTGGGTCATGTGGCCAGCATGACTAAACCACTTCTGGCACAATGGAACACTGTGATGGAAACCAGAGCGCACAGAAACGCTGCTTACCTTCCTGCTGCAGCGGTACCTATTTATCTACTTGCACTGGTGTGCTTTCGAACTGCTAGCTTGGCAAGAGCTGGGACAGAGCAATGGGAGCTCACTCCGCCACGGGGATTCTGACTGGCAAGCCTAAGAGTCTCTGTGATTTAGACCACAGCACCTCCCGTGTCTCACCCATGATTGCACTCCAATAGCATAAGATGTGCCTGCTGGATTAAGCCAAAAGCCCCTCCCTGTCCACACACTGGCCAAACCAATGTGTGTGGGAAACCTGCAAGTTAGACATGAGAGCAGTGGCACTCTGCCAGCCTGTGATTCTTGGCAACTGGTATTCAGAGGCATTCTGCCTTTGGCAGCGTAGGTGGCATGGAATCTGGAGGTTCCATGAGCCACTGTAGGCATTGATAGCCTTTTGTGTTAATTTCTTGAGTCCCCTTTTTCAAGCCATCTAGTGGCCATCATAGGAAACTGTGCCAGACCCCTGTTCCATCTAGCTTAGCGTTGTCTGCCTAGTATTGGAGCAGATTGGGAGGAGAAAGGAAACTGGTCCTAAACCTACGCTGGCTTGGATATCTTTGGGAGAAGAAAAGGCTAAGGAGTTGGAAACAGGAGTACAAGAAAGCACACAAGCAGGAATTGAGCACAACAGAATGTCAGCGTCTGTATGCTTCTGAATACAAGTTGCTGGAAGCTGCAGGAAGGGAGAGAGCTGTTATGTTCAGTTCCCGCTTGCAAGCTTCTCATAGACAACTGGTTGGCTAGTGTGAGAACAGGATGCTGGACTAAGATGGGCCATTGACCTGGCCAAGCAGGGCTGTTCTTAAACTCTTGACTATTATCCACCCCCATCGTTCTGCCCGGACACTGAGGTCCAGCGCTGAGGGCCTTCTGGTGGTTCCCTCATTGCGAGAAGCTAAGCTACAGGGAACCAGGCAGAGGGCCTTCTAGGTAGTGGCACCCGCCCTGTGGAACACCCTCCTACCAGATGTCAAAGAGATAAACAACTACCTGACATTTAGAAGACATCTGAAGGCAGCCCTGTTTAGGGAAGTTTTTAATGTGTGACATTTTAATGTATTTTTAATCTTTGTTGGAAGCCGCCCAGAGTGGGCGGGGTACAAAAAATAAATTACTATTACTATTATAGCTAATAGCTGTTGACAGATCTATCCTCTGTCTATTAATCTATTCCTGCTTTAAAAGTTTCTGAAACTGAATTTATTTATTTTTCTAATTATCCCTAGGAGATGTTATCATTTATGGAATCATTTAACACAGAGAAAAAGGCCTTTCAGTCCTTCCTGACATCTAAAAGAAAAGCATCGGAGCCGAGCGGAGATTATCTAAAGATGAAAGATGCATGGGACGGCCTAACCTCTCAGGTCATTGGAAATATTTTTGTGGCAACTGCCGTTTATGCTGCCGATGGGAAAGCCTTTTGCTCATGTCTAGGATGGTGGGTTGGGCCAGGAAATACTTCTTTGCGCTTTCCAGGCGTGATGCAAATAGGGCATCACAGCATCATAGAGATTGAGAGGACGCTGTTGCCTGTTGAGTCTGGAGGCTGAATGTGGTCCTCCAAGCCTTTCCTTTTTTTTAATAATATTTATTGAAAGTTTCCAACATTATTTCCCATCACATAAAAACCCATCCCCAACATACAATACAGAAAGAAAAACACACAAAGAAAAGGGGAAAAAAGCATACAACATCAAAATCACGTCCTTAATGGTCATAGTTTTCATCATCTTATTAGACTTCCTCACGTCTCTCGTTCCTGCGTCCAGTTCCCAGCAAATTATCGCCTTGTTTCAATTCTTATTTTGTATTCTTCCAATATTATGTCTTAATTTTAAATACTTTAATCCACAACTTAAATATTTAACTTTAGGCATAATACTAACCCAAAATTTAACTTTTCCTCAAATTTCACTTATTCTCAATTTCCTCTTAACTAATTTACTGATGCCATGTTATTTTTATTCTTGCATCTCTCTTAACACTCATACAATTTACAATATTTTTGTAGATAATCCTTGAATTTCTTCCAATCCTCTTCCACTGCTTCTTCTCCCAGGTCGCAGATTCTGCCAGTCATCTCTGCTAGTTCCATATAGTCTATCATTTGCGTCTGCCCCTCCAAGCCTTTCCATCTGGCCCTTGGGACTCTTCCAGACCCCGCCACCTCTCACTGGCCCTGCTCCATGTCCTTCTCATGTCCTTTGGCTTAACTGGAATGTCTCCAATTGTGATGAGGTCCTTTGCTTGCCTGATGGGGAGACGCACGTGCAGAAATCTCTTCCTTCTGCCTGGCCTGCTCACTATTGCTTGTGGCCACATGTGCCCCATGGAAGGTTGTTCCTAAGGCAATGCAGCTCTCAGGTTCAAAGAAGTTCCCTGCCCCTAAGCTAGCCCAAGACTCCATGCAAGACGTTCAGACCTAGAAATCCCCAGGAGATGGCTTCTCTACTTCTCCACAATCTTCAGCAAGGGAAGAGCCCAAAATCCCTCTTGGCAATGGGTTCCATTGCTGAAATTGCTCTTACCATCATGGCGGTTCTTCCTAGTGTTCGACCGAAATCTGTCCACCTGTAACTTAGGGCCCATGGGATGCAGTTCTGCCCTCTGTGGCAACAGTGGTCATGCATTTGCCCTCTTATGTGTGACAGCCCTTCAAGGATTTGAAGAGTGCTCTCTCTCCTTCCCAGGCTTCTCACTTCCAGGCCAAAAACACTCTGTCCCTTCAGCCTTTCCTGGTAGAACTCAGCCAATCAGACTGGGCATCTACCACCATCCCAATACTGGTAGATTTTTGGGTTATATGCAACAGGCCAGCAGGTGATCCTAGGTCAAGGTAAAGGGACCCCTGACAATTAAGTCCAGTCTGGGTTTGTGGCGCTCATCTCACTTTACTGGCCGAGGGAGCCGGCGTTTGTCCGAAGACAGTTTTTCCGGGTCATGTGGCCAGCATGACTAAGCCGCTTCTGGCAAAACCAGAGCAGCATACGGAAACGACGTTTACTGATTCCCGCCGGAGTGGTACCTATTTATCTACTTGCACTTTGACGTGCTTTCGAACTGCTAGGTTGGCAGGAGCTGGGACTGAGCAATAGGAGCTCACCCCGTCGCGGGGATTCAAACTGCTGACCTTCTGATCGGCAAGCCCTAGGTTCAGTGGTTTAACCCACAGCGCCACCCGCAGGTGATCCTAATGGTCCCCAAATGCTTCCCTTCCCCCTAAGTTTGAGTGGTTGCCCCTGCCAAAAATCGTTTCAGCAATAAAACTGACGTATTCTGGGTTCTGCAGGATTGTCTGCATCTCACACATTTTGTAAGCGTGACGACATTTGAGCCTTCCTAGATGTTTCTACCTGTGCACTGTGTGGATGGAGCAGATCCACCTGGTTTAATAGCCTAGTTTGTTTGTTAACTTGAACTTGGTGTGTTGTGTGTGAAACAAATACAGAACCTTTTGTGTACACCTGTGTCTTGCCTTCCTAGATGAATGAATGGAAAGCAAAGCTGGACAGTTTATTGCCTCCACCTCTAGATGCAATAGAGTCCTGGTTGCAAGAGGTAGAACGCCAGCTGGCGGAAGATCTACCGGATTCTCAAGACCACTGTGAAGCCATGGCTGCCCTAGAAGGAAAAATGAGGTCCACCCAGGTTGGTTACAGAAAACAAAACAGGATTTTTAAAAAGACATCTGCTCATGTAGAAAATATAAAAATAATAATTTAAGGAACCGCAGGAAGATGGGGGAAGGAAGTCGAGTTTTGAAATATTAAAATGATTGTAAAATTGTTGAAATGTATAAAATTGAAAAAAATAGGCTCAGCTTTGCTACACAAACACAGGAACAGAGGTAGTACTGGTTTGCACCTTCCGTGATTCTGCAGCTACAGTGTGGTTTGCCATGCCTTTTCCATTGTAATGCTCACACTTGACAAGCAGAAATTCATTAAAAAGCAACAACTTTGGAACATAGGAAGCTGCCTTATACCTGGGTTTCCCAAACTTAGGTCTCCACCTGTTTTTGGACTACAACTCCCATCATCCCTAGCTAGCAGGACCAGTGGTCAGGGATGATGGGAACTGATTGTTTGGATGGGAACTCCAAAAACAGGTGGAGACCCAAGTTTGGGAAACACTGGTCTACACCAAGGGTGGGGAATCCAGTGTCAAATTAACTCTGGGAAGAGCTGGCCGCAGCACATGGCTGTTTCCCCCTGTGATGGTGTGAAATATGTGAATGGAGCCATGCTTCTTCTTTCAGAGCCTGATGGACCATTTCAAAGACCACTTGGAGATGCTGCAGTCCTTTGAGAACAGAGATGAGGCAGGCATGCCGCTGGTGCCACCGCAGAAACTGGAAGAGATGAGAAGAAGGTTTGTCACTGTCAGATTTCTCTTATCACCCTAGGTGGCTGCGTTCAGCTGAAGAGCCAGTGTGCCATGTAGTGGTTACAGTGTCAGACTAGGACTTGGGTTCAAATCCTCCCTCCTCCTTGAAGCCCATTGGGTGACCTTGGGCCAGTCACTTTCTCTCAGCCTGTACTGCCTCGCAGGGTTGTTAGTTGGGGGGAGAGAGAAGCATGTATGCCCCCTTTCCTTGGAGGAAAGATGGAGTTATAAATGTACTCTATCCAAACCAGTGGTGTCTCTCCAGGGTTTCAGATAGGAAACAATTCCCAGCCTTGTCTGGAGATGCCAGGGATCTGGGGCTTTCCTCATTCGGACTTTTTAGTTTAGAGAAAAGGCAAGTAAGAGGTCAGTGTGCTTTGTCCCCACAGCTGGAGGCAGTCATGCTACTGAATTTCAGTTGCTGGAAACCACAGGAGGGGAAAGGGCTCTTGTTCTTGAGAATCTCTTGCAGGCGTCTGGTTGGCCACTGTGAGGATAGGACTCTGGACTAGGTGGGCCATTGGCCTGATCCTGCTGCCTCTTCTTACATTCTTATGCAAGGCAGGAGCTCTACCATGGCGTAGCACCATAACGTCCGCATTTCGCTTTTTGGCGGGCCATTCAACGTAACTGTTCCCCATGTCAGTGTTAGAAAAAGAAAAGGTTCTGACCTCCTTTTTACTCCTTTGCCTGGTCCTCAGACCTTAGTTGGCACAAAAGAGTCCTTGAGAAAGAGTATTCTTGCAGAGTATTGCTGCTTTTATTCTTAAAAAGTCTTCTTCTCCAACCACAACCGACAGCTTTTATGCACACCAAACACAACCAGCTTTCTACCATCCAGCCAACCCACACCCAACACTAACACTGACCACTCTATATATACAGGTACAATTTGGTGAAAGGTTGCATGAGTCATTGTAGGCCGCTGACTCAGGCTGACTTAGTTCTTTTAGCATCAAAGAAACAGCAGTCAATTTTTAGCTGTTACACCCCAGCCTCACAGATAAATGCAGAACAGCTTTAAAAGGGAGCTGGGCATGTTTAGCCTGGAGAAGAGGAGGTTAAGGGGTGATATGATAGCCATGTTCAAATATATAAAGGGATGTCATATAGAGGAGGGAGAAAGGTTGTTTTCTGCTGCTCCAGAGAAGCGGACACGGAGCAATGGATCCAAACTACAAGAAAGAAGATTCCACCTAAACATTAGGAAGAACTTCCTGACAGTAAGAGCTGTTCGACAGTGGAATTTGCTGCCAAGGAGTGTGGTGGAGTCTCCTTCTTTGGAGGTCTTTAAGCAGAGGCTTGACAACCATATGTCAGGAGTGCTCTGATGGTGTTTCCTGCTTGGCAGGGGGTTGGACTCGATGGCCCTTGTGGTCTATTCCAACTCTATGATTCTATGAAAAGGTAAAGGGACCCCTGACCGTCAAGTCCAGTCGCAGATGACTCTGGGGTTGCAGCGCTCATCTCGCTTTACTGGCTGAGGGAGCCGGCGTTTGTCTGCAGGCAGTTTTTCCGGGTCATGTGGCCAGCATGACTAAGCCGCTGCTGGCGAACCAGAGCAGCGCACGGAAATGCCGTTTACCTTCCCGCCAGAGCTGTGCCTATTTATCTACTTGCACTTGGACGTGCTTTTGAACTGCTAGGTTGGCAGGAGCAGGGACCGAGCAACGGGAGCTCACCTCGTCGCGGGGAATCGATCCGCTGACCTTCTGATCGGCAAGCCCAAGGCTCTGTGGTTATCCACCCGTTAATATAATTGTGCATTCCTATCAGTGTTAGAAACTGGGATAGAAAAGCTAGGAGCCAAATGGCTTCAGGGACGTGGGTTGTGGGCGCCATAACAGAATGTCTAGTCGCCACTGCTGCAACACTTTTTACTTACTATTTTGATAAGCATGAATGAATATGCAATTCATGTAAATGGCACATTGTTAATATCACACTCTTAGCAGAAATTCTTAATGCATGTTTAATTTGTTGTTGACAATGAACATATTGGTGCCACACTTCAGTTTTCAAAACGCTTGACTCTTTATTGTTAAGCTCCATAACGTATCATCTGTACTTAACAAATACAGTGGTGCCGCGCAAGACGAAATTAATTCGTTCCGCAAGTTTTTTCTTCTTGCGAGTTTTTCGTCTTGCGAAGCACGGTTTCCCATAGGAATGCATTGAAAATCAATTAATGCGTTCCTAGGGAAACCGACTTCAGACCAGGTCCGGGGACAGTCTGTCCCCCGACCTCTTCTGAAGGCTGGGGGGGGGGGGACGAAGGGCTTTTCTTCCCACCCCCAGCATTTTAAAAAACCCCGGGACAGCGGAGGACTTCTCCGCTGTCCCGGGGCGATTTAAAAGCCCCCGGGAAGGCAGGCAGGGGGGACAAAGACTTTTGCCCCCCGCCAGCCTTCAGAAGAGGTCCAGGACCTCTTTGCTCCCCCCCGCCTGCCTTCAAAAGCCGTCGGGGACAGCGGAGAAACGCGCCGCCCGGAGCGATTTTAAACCCGCTGTCCTGGGTTTTTTTAAACGCTGCCGGGCGTCAGCGCTGCCGCCCAGCAGCATTTTAAAATCGCCCCGACAGCAGAGAAGTCCCCCGCTGTCCCGGGGTTTTTAAAAAACCTCTCCGCCCCCCCTGCCAGGCTTCGGAGCAGCCTTCCGAAGCCTGGCTGCGGAGGAGGTCCGAGGACAGTGGGGAAGAGGCGCTGCGCTTCCCCGCTGTCCCGGAGATTTCCCTATGGGCTTTCGTCTTGCGAAGGAAGCCCATAGGGAAATTCGTTTTGCGAAGCGCCTCCGCGACGGAAAACCCTTTCGTCTAGCGGGTTTTCCGTCTTGCGAGGCGTTCGTCTTGCGGGGCACCACTGTAGTTTGAGACTTCAAAGCACAAACATTTCAGTAATCCTCAAGTGTCAGCCAGGCACAAAAAAATGGCACCCAGACTTTTGGAGGTGCTCATGAATGCAGCATCTCTTGCATGGTGCCCAGCGCACTTGCCGTTTTTGCCTGCTTTCTTAATCAGGATGTTGGGTTTCCTTTCAGGTTCAGCAGCATCCAGCTTGCAGATTTCAGCAATCTTGTGGAGTGCCACCAATTGTTCTGCTCGGCTATCTTGAAGGAACTGGTATCCAAGCTTAACATCTGGCACATCAAGCATGGGACCAAGGAGAATGTGGAGTCGCTGCTGTCAGATTGGAATGTAAGCATCATAAGCTGTTTCCGTATGCTGGCTGGCTAGTTTTGTAGAATAGCGGCCAAGAGATTGTGGCATGAATCAGGATGTCCTCCCATTCAAAAACGCTAAGCCTCAGTCCTTCCCTGCCTTCATCTGCAAAATGGGGCTAAGAAGTGCTGTATGCCCATTGAATAGTGCAGCTGCCCAGCTTTTTGATGTGAAGCCGCAGTTGTCGAATTCAGCAGCTTTCAGGCTGGAATAAAAACGCTACATTTATTTATTTGACAAAATGTGTAGCCTGCTTAATAAAACAAATAAACCTCTAAATGGTGTACATAAAGTGTGTGTGTATGAAAGCACCACTTAATTAACAAACTTTGAAAGCAAGTAGACGTAATAAAAATTATTCAAATACAGATAAATCAGCAGAATTTAAGAACAAGTATACATAATAAAATTTTGTGTCTGGGTATGGCTGCCTAAACAAAAAAGTTTTTTTGCAGGCATCATTATGATGTGGTCTAGGCATCCAGCAGATGTCACTGCAAAACTGCAATTTGTTAACAGAAGGCTGGTTGCGGGGGAAACAGCCATATTCCCTCCTCCAAGAAGGTTTAAACCCTGACAGCAATTTGATGTGCTGAAGCATTTATTGAGGGGTGATGTGGGGGTGTGTGGCTCTTTCCTCAGCACTCTGTATCAAACCGTCGGTGACACCTGCCCAAGTTTTGAATGGATTTGTCCTATTTGTTCAGAAGGGTATAAAAGCTTTCTAGAATTTCTGCCATGGCTTGAATTCAAAAAGTACTGAATTGAAACTGTGGCTGCAGAGAGGGAATCATGAGAGCCTTAAGGGGGCGCTAAATTCAAGCTGCAGCTGCAAAGGAAGAATCCAATTCACCCTCTGAAGCTGTGGCTTGAAGTTTCTCTGTACCTGACATCATCAGGTGCCCTGATATCGTGAAACATCATGTGATTTGGCAGGTGGGCTGGCTGCTTTCAGATCTGCTTCCCTGGCCCAAAGCGGCCCTCCTCTCTGATTTAAAATATTTTTAACAAAATAAAAAAATTCCTTCCAGTAGCACCTTAGAGACAACTAAGTTAGTTGTTGGTATGAGCTTTCGTGTGCATGCACACTTCTTCAGATACACTGAAACAGAAGTCACCAGACCCTTATATATAGGGAGAGGGTGGGGAGGGGTATTACTCAGAAGGGTGGTGGAAGATGGGTGACTGGCTGATAGGTGTGGTAAACCTGTTGATGACTGTTAACGACTGCAGTTGGTCTTACAGGAAAAAGCAAGGGGTGAGATGGCTGATAATAGCTTTATCATGTATAATGAGATAAGAATCCAATGTCTCTATTCAGACCAGGTCTCTCCATGGTTTTAAGTTTGGTAATAAGTTGCAATTCAGCAACTTCTCTTTCCAGTCTATTTCTGAAATTCTTTTGTAATAAGACAGCTACTTATCACCCACCACCCTTCTGAGTAATACCCCTCCCCACTCTCTCGCTATATATAAGGGTCTGGTGACTTCTGTTTCAGTGTACAGTGGTACCTCTGGTTACGTACTTAATTCATTCCGGAGATCCATTCTTAACCTGAAGCACCACTTTAGCTAATGGGGCCTCCTGCTGCCGTTGCGCCGCCACTGCACAATTTCTGTTCTCATCCTGAAGCAAAGTTCTTAACCCGAGGTACTGTTTCTGGGTTAGCGGAGTCTGTAACCTGAAGCGTATGTAACCTGAAGCGTATGTAACCCAAGGTACCACTGTATTTGAAGAAGTGTGCATGCACACGAAAGCTCATACCAATAACAAGCTTAGTTGGTCTCTAAGGTGCTACTGGAAGGGATTTTTTTGTTTCGGCTATGGCAGACCAACACGGCTACCTACCTGTAACTAAAATATTTTTACACTTCCTTTTACCTACCTACCTGAAGCAGGGGTGGAGAACTTCAGGCCTGGGGGCCAAACGCGCCCGCTTAGGCCTTGCTGTCGGAACCCCTCAAAATTACATCCCAGAGACCTTCCTTACACCCAAGAACTTTTGCCTAGCTGAAATCTGTTCCTGGATTCTGATAATGCCTGTTTCTTATTAAGAGAGGGGCGAGCGAGTCTGTGTGTGTGTCAAAACTTGCCTTCCACAGAAAGGTAAAATTTACTTGGTCTGCTGCAGGTACTTTTGGCTTTGGCCACAGCCATCACTGGCACATGGGCCACAGGACATTGTCCGGAAGGGAATGTGGCGCTTGGGCTGAGGAAAGGGTTCTCACCTCTGCCTTAGAGCATTAGAAACAGCCGTAGTCTCACAAAGAATGAAGTGACCGCTTCTATCAGTGGTCAGCAGAATCCTGGGAAAACAAGTTTTGTTTTGTTTTTAGCAAGCGTTGAAAGCACATCACTGTTTACATATCAGTCACTGTAGCTTTTAGGCAGGAAGCCCACATGACTGACAGGTCTGAGGTGGGGTGTAAATGCCACAATCCTTCACGATGATAAGACTCAACCTGACTGTTGTAATGCATAAAATAGGTGATATGATAGAGAAGAGCGAGGGGATGCCAAACCAATACGAAAATATTTTGGTTTCTAGTTGGATTTTCCTTCTAACTAGGAACCAAAATATTCCATTATTCTCTTATTTTATTTCACTGATTGCCATCGTGGCATATGTACAAATGCAACAGTATCTGTAAAATGTATAACAATCCATATAATAATAATCAACAAACAAGGTAAAGGTAAAGGTACCCCTGCCTGTACGGGCCAGTCTTGACAGACTCTAGGGTTGTGCGCCCATCTCACTTAAGAGGCCGGGGGCCAGCGCTGTCCGCAGACACTTCCAGGTCACGTGGTCAGCGTGACAAGCTGCATCTGGCGAGCCAGCGCAGCACACGGAACGCCGTTTACCTTCCCGCTGGTAAGCGGTCCCTATTTATCTACTTGCACCCAGGGGTGCTTTCGAACTGCTAGGTTGGCAGGCGCTGGGACCGAACGACGGGAGCGCACCCCGCCACGGGGATTCAAACCGCCGACGTTTCGATCGGCAAGCCCTAGGCGCTGAGGCTCTTACCCACAGCGCCACCCGCGTCCCGTTTGTCAACAAACAAAGGTGACAGTTAACAGCCAATTCTCCAAACTCGCCCTCTGCATTGCAAAAGCAATTATCCAAAGAAGATGCAGCGCAAAATAATTGAGCCAGTAAGGTGCGCTTCAATAATTTTTAAAAAAGAGTTAAAATAATGATTTGTTTATTTTTTAAATCTCAAACTCGATCATCTCCAAATCTCTGTACCAGAAAGCATTTTTCAAATTAATCCATCTTTTTGCTTATTTTTTGTTTGTTTGTGTGGGCAGGGTTTTATTGAAGAAAAAGGATTTCTTAGTCAGCTGGAAACCACATTTCGAGTATGCAGAGAGAAACAGAACAAGATCATGACAACTTCTAATCTGGGTAAGACCTCAAAAGCGCACATACGCTTCTATCTAGACTCCTATCATCTTGTATTGTTGAAATCTTAGGCCTAGTATTCACTGAGCAGATCCTGGCTTTGCCAAGTTGCTCTCTTCCATTTTTAGTTCTCCCATCTGTAAAGAGGGCATAATGGTGACTCACATCGTGGCATTTTGTGATAATGAACCAGGGTCAGAACCAGTCTCGTTGCTCTGCTGTAATTTCTTTTTATTTTAAGATTTTTTAATATATTGCTCTGTTGTAAACCAACAGACCTCTCTAAGTAGTTTACATCAATATAAAATTAAAACTGTTATATAAAAAAACAGCTAAAGACAGGTATTAAAATTATTTAAAAGATGGTTAAAATCAACAATAGCTAAAAAATAAGGCACAAATTCCTTCTACATGTCTGGATAAGCTTGCCTAAAAAAAAAGAATGTAAGCAATTCCCGAAAAAAGCACACCAAAGGCCCCTGTCTGATGTCAATAGGCGGGGAGTTCCAAAGTTCCAAAAATTGATTTTGGAACAAATATTATGCAGCAGTTATGTGCCAGTTCTGCAGATTGAAGCAGTGGAATTGGCATATCAGGGCAAAGACAGTCCTGCAAGTACTGTAGCAATGGGTTATGACAGCATCGTTATTTAACATTCTAGGAGCTGATCCTGAGGATGCAAGTAAATTATTTAAGATGGTAGAATCTCAGGTTTCCAGATGCAACGAGTACATTGACAACGTGAATGCGACCTTGCGGAAGATTTTGTTGTCCTGGGACACCTATACGGAGAACATCCGCTTGCTGCAGGCTTGGCTGGAAGACACGCGGAAAAAGCACCCTCCGAATGTATGTTTGCATTTCTTCCTGACTCTTACGGTCGATTCACACACTTTATGGTTGGGGAAGTATTGTGAGCTCCAGATGTGACGGACAGCCAACTCAACATTATACGCAGGGGTTTGGTTCAAAGGTTCACATGTATACATGAAAATTGCCTTCTGAGCTGTAGGTGGGATATGTGTTTAAGTCCAACTCTATGGGAGGAAGAGAAAGCCGCTCCAAGGTTAGCCAGCTGCATTCTATAAGGCAGCTGGTAAGGGGAAGGCTCACAGGGACGCGGGTGGCGCTGTGGGTTAAACCACAGAGCCTAGGACTTGCTGATCAGAAGGTCAGCGGTTCGAATCCCCGTGATGGGGTGAGCTCCCATTGCTCGGTCCCTGCTCCTGCCAACCTAGCAGTTCAAAAGCACGTCAAAGTGCAAGTAGATAAATAGGCACTGCTCCGGTGGGAAGGTAAACAGTGTTTCCGTGTGCTGCTCTGGTTCGCCAGAAGCGGCTTAGTCATGCTGGCCACATGACCCGGAAGCTGTACGCCGGCTCCCTTGGCCAATAAAGCGAGATGAGCACCGCAACCCCAGAGTCGGTCACAACTGGACCTAATGGTCAGGGGTCCCTTTACCTTTACTAAGGGGAAGGCTCAGAGGTCGGAGGAAATCTGGAAGCCACAAGTAGACCTGGCCCCAAAGTAGCTTTCAAGCTCTCTGCCTTTCTTCCCAGGCAAATCCTGTTTGGTGAACCCTGCAAGGTTCTTCTTCTTCTTTGGCGATCACTCGTAGCCGATTAAGATTGTCTTCCATAAACATGGTTTTAATCGTGAGTCCGTAAGTGACTATGGGGGCCAATTCTGGATCCACACGTCCTTCCACAGTGGGGACATAGGTTTCCACGCGGGAGTTGATCACGGTGAGGGCAACATTGGCAGGTGGGAGCAGCGGGTATGCTCCTGAGAGATCTCGCGGGCAGTTGGATTGCCTTGTGAGTTCTTGCGAAACCATCTCCGCCATTCTCAAAGCCACCATGCTGAGCGGGACTTGCCCAGGGAAGGCACATGTTTGTGGAAAGTCGGAAGAGAGGAAGAGAGAGAGGCTGGTATAGGGAGATGTAGCCAAGTGTGTGTGGTTGAAATCGCCCACGACAAATGCGTGCGAGATGTGGACTTACTGTCTTGTGTTGCATTGTGTTGTGTACTAGGTTCCCACAGAAGTCTTGGCTGCCTGGAACTCCCGGCACGGATCTGTCAACGAAGCAGGGAACTTTTTGATCGAATCCTGCAACGAGGAAGTGGGTTCAGCCGTTTCCAGTGAGCTGAAGAAACTGAACAGAAAATGGGCAAAGCTTATAAAGAAAACACAGTTTGTGAGTTGTCGCAGATATTTTTTAAAAGCCTTGTGGAGTTGCTGTTAGCTTTATGGTATCGTTAAGCATAAAAATGCAACATGGAATATTTAGGCTAACAGATTTATTGTAACATAGGTTTTCATGGACCAGAGCACACTTCCTCAGATGCACGAGGTGTTAATCCTTAGCAGATATTTTTTTTGTAAATTAGTAAAGAACCTTGATGTGCACAAAGCTACAGTTTATCTGTGACAGTCCCATGGAAGGTCCAAACTCATACAAGATAAGAACAGTGAACGTTCTTAATATGATAGTTCTTTTTAAGGCAGCTATGGGGACCCTTTTGCCCTCCAGATGTTTTGCTGAACTACAACTCCCATCACCCCTGGCCATTGGCCACACTTGTTAGAGCTGATGGGAGTTGTAGTTCAGCAATATCTGGCGCGTTAGAGGTTCCCCACTCCTCCCTTGCTATACTAATTTGACACCAGTTTTGGAGAGAAAACCATGGTCTCCATTAAGACCTAAACAAATAAAACAGAATGAAATGTTCTGATAAATTTTAGGGTGAGACTCAACCTAGGATTTTAATTTTTATCAGAATTCGTGATAACACCAGTCATTAATTGGTGTTTGGTAGTAATTGAATAATTGGGGGGTTATAACAAATGACATTTGATGTCCCTAGGAGATGAGATTGCTGGGAATGCAAGAGGAAGAGGTGGAGGTGAAGCTGGCAGCTGGCAGTAATGGAAAAATGGATTCTCCCACAACAGCAGAACCAGATGACCCTGCAGTGGACAGCTCAGAGGAGGTTCTTAAGAGCCCTTGTTCTTCCAGTTCGGTGGATCAAAAGTCTATGAATGTGTAGTGACTGTGCACAGTGGGAGAGTGGGGTCCCCTCCATCTTCTGGGCAGACCAGTCCTGCTTTTGGGCCCCACAGATACGTTTGTATTGATGCTGCAGTGGCAGATGAGTTTAGTCTTGACCTCTGAAGTTGCTCGTGGCTCCAAGCCATGATTTCTAAACACACCTTTCAAGTTCTTGGTGTTATGCCAGTCACTAGAGCACATGAGAAGTACTGTTGCGCTCGTGTGCTCTTTGTGGGTTCTCCGTAGGGATTTGGTTGGGTACCATGCCAGCAAATTGGTGAGCATGATGGTCCCTTGGTCTGAACCAGCAGGGCAGTTCTTATGCTCTTATGATAATGTGGTTCAGGCCTAAACACATTCAAGTTTCTAGGCCCATTGCGAACCCGTGGCCAGTCCATGGATTCCACTAAACCCAGGTTCAGGAGAGGTTCGTCAAGTCAGTGAGACAGGGGTGTGTGATCCTGAATCGAGGCCACGCATAGCCTCTATATGCATCTGAACTCAGCCAGCCTTTTTACAGGATGCTGCCCTATATCCCAATCTATTTTCTTTTTTAAAGTGGGTTTGAACCCCTTCAGAGATCACATCAACAGAAGAAGCTTTTGGGCCTTGACTATCGAGGGAGTGAGCAAATCATCCTGTTTTAACTTATCTGGAAAGACAGTTTTCTCAAAAAACCATTTTTTACCTGTTGTTAAACAGGTAAAATTCCAGTAAATTCACATTTACTGGAAAATGTGAATAAAAGTTCTTGTTTTCCTCTTTTCCCGCCTTTTTTATTTCCTAGACTCTTGATGCTGGTTCACTATCTCCGGACGAGTCTTTATCAGAAGAAGAGGTTAAGCTAAATTTCGAAGATGCTCACAAGGAGCTTGAAGCATCCATTTTAAAAGCTATGCAAATCCTTGGCCAAAAGACCAGGCCTGAGGGGCCAGTTTCGAAACATGAGGTGAGGCAAACCGTTACCGATTACTGCATAATTCATCCTGTCTTTAGGGATGGATGGAGATGGATCCTTTCCAGTTCATGTCAGTTTCACGCGTGTTTGTTTATAAGTCTGTTGTATTCTGTTTCCATATTAATGCGTCCATTGAAAAAGAAATCTGTACAAAATGCTGTATTTAAATACCGTATTTTTCCCTCTATAACATGCAGATTTTTTCTCCTAAAAAGGGAGGGGAAATGTCTGTGCGTGTTATTGAGCGAATGTGTGGTCCCTGGAGCAGAATGGGGCAAGTGGAGGCAAAAAAAAGCAGACAAAAATCAAATCGCGCTTCACGGAGAAGGGAAGCCTGAAAAGAGGAAGCGGCTGCTTTCCTGCATTCTGCCTCAGGGTCTTACTGCCCACCCTCCTCTGTTTCGTTGCTGTGATTGCTGAAATGGAACAAAGAGCAGGGAAAGCCCCTCCCCTCCAGGCAAGCAGAGGGGAAAGAGAGCGTCCTTCATTCTAATTCCTCTCCGTGAAAACATGCAGGAGGGGGGGGAGAGAGAGAGAGAGAGAGAGAGAGAGAGAGCTGGCTGGCTTGGGTGGGTGAATGGGGGAAAACTTTTGCCTTCCTTTCCTCCCTCCCGTTATACCCCTCTCCTGCATTCTTAGCCAGCTGCTTCTCTGCACACCCCTCTCGTGCTCCTTTTCCCTTCTGTGTTTTTCCTTCCCTCCCCACTTAAAATGTGGTTACAAAGCATGGATCCACATGGATCCTCAGGATCTTTTCATTGAGTCACCCCAAATTCACCATCAGAGCACATAGCATGTCCATGGCTACAGCCTGCCCCCCAAAAATCACGCACCCACTGTTGCCTGGGGCTGCAATGGTGCAAAAATGTGGTTACAAAGCATGGATCCACATGGATCCTCAGGATCTTTGCATTGGGCCACCCCAAATTCACCATCAGATCACATAGCATGTCCATGGCTACAGCCTGCCCCCCAAAAATCACGCACCCACTGTTGCCTGGGGCTGCAATGGTGCAAAAATGTGGTTAAAAAGCATGGATCCACATGGATCCTCAGGATCTTTGCATTGGGCCACCCCAAATTCACCATCAGAGCACATGTCCATGGCTACAGCCTGCCCCCCAAAAATCACGCACCCACTGTTGCCTGGGGCTGCAATGGTGCAAAAACGTGGTTACAAAGCATGAATCCACAGGGATTCTCAGGATTTTTGCATTGGGTCACCCCAAATTCACCATCAGATCACATGTCTGTGGCCACAGCATGAAGCACAAAAATGATACATCCACTGTTTCATTCAGAATGTTTTTTCCCTTGTTTTCCTCCTCTAAAAACGATGTGCGTGTTATGGTCAGGTGCGTGTTATAGAGCGAAAAATACGGTATGTATTTTATCTCAACGTATGTGTTTCTAAAAGCATTTTGTTCCAAAATACACATTGTTAAAATGCATTTTGGCATGTATCACAAAATTTGGAGAAGGGCAAAATCTGAAAGGGTAATTGCGTTCTGATCCATATCTTAGTCCAGGAGGTGTGAATTTGGTTGGTCCAATTAAAAATACAGACCAGGCAAAATTCTTCTCTAACCTTAGTTGTAGTAGTGGTGGCCTTGTTGTCTCAAGTGGTAAACAAGGTAGGGCACAGCCTCCTTAAATGAGTGGGCCTTGGTGAACTAACATTTTGATCAGCACTCGGTAGCTTGGAGGCGCCATTTTAACTTGCCTCCCACAATGCTCTGGGTCTATGCTAAGTTGAGGGCTCTTTGGAAGTGAAATTAAAATGGCGCCTTCCATGTTAAAGAACTGTAGTAGGAGTTCATTGACTGAATATGCTGTTTGGTGATGTTGGGCTTGAGGAACGGGCCACAAACAGTGGTGCTGGGCAAGATTGGGCTCTTTGTCCCCCAGCGATGGACTCAATGAACTCCTTCAAAATCGGTTCCTTTGCCATTCAATCCCAGCACAGCTCTGTATAGCTCTGTAATACTGCCAGCTTGGAAAGGGGCCCCTTCAAGAGGCCAGGCTACCAGTCCCACCATCCCTGACCATTGGCTATCCAGACGGATTGACAGGTGTTATAGAGCATACCACTTTGGCTCCCCCCGGCATGGCACTCATCTATTTTTAGACAGGTAGTGTGTTTTTATTATTATTCTATAATATTAGGCTATATCCCCCTGCCTTCCCCTTCTTTCAGGAAGCTTTTAGCATCTTGGATACCAACAGCCTCCGCAAGTTTTCGAGAGCAGCAGAACAATTGAAAGACATTTTGCCCGCTTGTGAAAAGGCAGCGGTGGAGGAAAAGAGCAAAGACGTCCGCGAGAGATGGGAGGTGAGAAAATGTACCTGGGAGACCAAGAGTCCTTTTAATCACAGAGAAGCCACTTGGGGATATTTTTTGTTAGGTGTGATGCTCTAAAGGCCTTTTTGACAGAGCTGGTGTGATGTGGGAGCTAGTTATCAGCTTGGTCCAGGGAGACCCGGGTTCAAGATTGGGGTTGATTATAAGCCTCACAGGAAAGCCACAGGTGTCGGTGTGTGGACCTCGTAGGCATGGTCCCACTCTGTCCTCCATGCACTGGCTAAATGTGCAGTGGACTTTTCTCAATGTCTTTGTATTCTCAGTCCTATCTGTCCTCTAGGACTGAGAGATTAGAGAGCCACTCTGGTGATTAAACTGTTGGACCTGGGAGACCAGGGTTCAGTTCTCCTCTTGGCCAGGAAGCTCACTGGGTGACCTTTAGGCCTCTCAACCTAAACTACCTCACAGGGATTAAGTGAGTAGGGGGGAAACCATGCATGCCAGTGTGGTGTAGTGGTTAAGAGCAATAGACTCGTAATCTGGTGAACCGGGTTCGCTTCCCCGCTCCCCCACATGCAGCTGCTAGTCACTCTTCTTTGAAGTCTCTCAGCCCCACTCACCTCACAGAGTGTTTGTTGTGGGGGAGGAAGGGAAAGGAGAATGTTAACCGCTTTGAGACTCCTTCGGGTAGTGATAAAGTGGGATATCAAATCCAAACTCTTCTTCTTCTTCTTGATCTCCTCGGGGGAGGAAAGCTGGGATATAAAAACAATAAATTGATTTCCCTGGAAGATGGTTAGGGTAGAACCTGTCTTGTCTCCACCATATCCTCTCCCAAATACCCCTCTTAACCTGCTTGTTTTGTTTGTTACCGTCGTTTCTCAACATGTATCCCATATTCTGCAGGCTGTTCGCTGTGAAATTGTATCCTATGTTGAATTAAAAATGGAAATCGAACGAGGGAAGCTGAACAATGCCTTTTCAAAACTCAATAAGCAAATAAATAAAGAAAAGAAGCTGCTCAAGGCGGGAAAGACGAAGGGGCTCATTGCAGAACATGAGGTATTGCATAAAACCAATACAGTTGTACCTTGGATCTCGAACGCCTTGGCTCCCAAACAAATCGGCTCCTGAACGGTCAAAACCTGGAATGAGTGTTCCGGTTTTCGAACGATTTTTGGAAGCCGAACGTCTGGTGGGGCTTCCGATTGGCTGTAGGAGCTTCCTGCATCCAGTCAGAAGCCACGCTTTGGTTTTCGAACGTTTTGGAAGTCAATCAGACTTCCGGAACGGATTCCTTTCGACTTCCAAGGTACAACTGTATTATTCTCTCTTTGATTCTCTTTGATGGGTTACCTTAAGAAACTGCTGCTGGCAGTTTTGTTTTGTTTTAGTACTTATAGCCCTCCCTTCTCTGAATGGTCCCAGGGTGGGTTACAGAAACGTCACCATCAGAACAAGTCACAGAATCATGAAATGAAAGCACAAAACAGCTTAGGGGAAAGTGACCGAGGCAAGTTGCAGCAGTGTGTATTAATGCAGGGAGAGGGTAGGCACCCACCCAGTCAAAAGTCTGAGTAAAGAAGCGTGTCTTGACAAATAATCGAAAAGTGTGATTTTTGTATTCCTCTGTCTGTTTAGGCGATATTTTCTCAGCAAGGTGTCCTGGGCGAGCTACACACTTCCTTGCAAGCCCTGAAAGCCATGAGCAAGAACATGACGGAGGAAGAAAAGCAGGCTGAGAAAAAGACCCCGGTTGTAGAATATGAGCGGAAGAAGGAAGAGCTTCAGAGACAGGCTTTGGCTGTTCACAGCGAGCTGTTGTCTATGGCAGCTGATAGCCATTCACCCAAGAGAGGGTGGGTATTTTTTTTTCTTTTTTCAATTTTTTCAATTGATTTTCCAGAATTTTTAAACAAACAAACATACATACATCTTAACTGTACTTAATCCAATCTTAGTAACATTGTTAAGTGACTTCCTCAAATCCTCCTAGCTGAATTTCAGTGTATTTCATTGTAACATTTTTCCAAAACCAATTTTCTCATAAAATTAATCACTTAACATCTTTCAACCTTTTCATTTTAACTTTAAAGATATTATTCTCTAACATCACAAATTTAAATCCTAGGCCTATCTGGTATTTGCAAGTTTTTCCAATTAAGTTATCTTAGCATATTTAGCAAGTTCTTAAAGAAATGGGAGTGCCTGATCACCTCATCTGTCTCCTGAGAAATCTCTATGTGGGACAAGAAGCTACAGTTAGAACTGGATATGGAACAACTGATTGGTTCAAAATTGGGAAAGGAGTACGACAAGGCTGTATATTGTCCCCCTGCTTATTTAACTTATATGCAGAATTCATCATGCGAAAGGCTGGGCTGGATGAATCCCAAGCCGGAATTAAGATCGCCGGAAGAAATATCAACAACCTCAGATATGCAGATGACACAACCTTGATGGCAGAAAGTGAGGAGGAATTAAAGAACCTTTTAATGAGGGTGAAAGAGGAAAGCGCAAAATATGGTCTGAAGCTCAACATCAAAAAAACGAAGATCATGACCACTGGTCCCATCACCTCCTGGCAAATAGAAGGGGAAGAAATGGAGGCAGTGAGAGATTTTATTTTCTTGGGCTCCATGATCACTGCAGATGGTGACAGCAGTCACGAAATTAAAAGACGCCTGCTCCTTGGGAGAAAGGCGATGGCAAATCTAGACAACATCTTAAAAAGTAGAGACATCACCTTACCAACAAAGGTCCGTTAAAGTTAAAGCCATTATTTTCCCAGTGGTGATGTATGGAAGTGAGAGCTGGACCATAAAGAAGGCTGATCGCCGAAGAATTGATGCTTTTGAATTATGGTGCTGGAGGAGACTCTTGAGAGTCCCATGGACTGCAAGAAGATCAAACACATCCATTCTTAAGGAAATCAGACCTGAGTGCTCACTGGAAGGACAGATCGTGAAGCTGAGGCTCCAGTACTTTGGCCACCTCATGAGAAGAGAAGACTCCCTGGAAAAGACCCTGATGTTGGGAAAGATGGAGGGCACAAGGAGAAGGGGACGACAGAGGACGAGATGGTTGGACAGTGTTCTCGAAGCTGCCAACATGAGCCTGACCAAACTGCGGGAGGCGGTGGAAGACAGGAGTGCCTGGCGTGCTCTGGTCCATGGGGTCACGAAGAGTCGGACACGACTAAACGACTAAACAACAACAACAACAACAAGCATATTTAGCTAAGTGTGGTGTAGTGGTTAAGAGCGGTAGTCTTGTAATCTGGGGAACCGGGTTCGCGTCTCCGCTCCTCCACATGCAGCTGCTGGGTGACCTTGGGCTAGTCACACTTCTCTGAAGTCTCTCAGCCCCACTCACCTCACAGAGTGTTTGTTGTGGGGGAGGAAGGGAAAGGAGAATATTAGCCGCTTTGAGACTCCTGAAGGGGAGTGAAAGGCGGGATATCAAATCCAAACTCTTCTTCTTCTTAAATAGTCTTTGAATTTCATCCATTCCTCCTGGTACTCCTCCTCCTTCTGGTCGTGGACTCTTCCAGTCAGATTGGCTTGCTCCGAAAAGTCCATCATCTTCATCTGCCATTCCTCCACTGTTGGGACTTTTTGTGTTTTCTAATTCTTAGCTAACAAAATTCTAGCTGCAGTTGTGGCATACTAGAGAGGGTGGGTGTTGCCAGTGGGCGCTTTGGTACTGCTTGATGGGGGCTTCCCAGATGATTGTGTTCAGTTGCAAACACATAACAGGTGATCCACAGAAGGCAGGTCCTTCTTCGCTTTTATATGCATTATCCTTCATGACGCCAGGGTCCAGCAGCAGCCAAGACCCTGGGTGGGTCAGAGGCTGCAGACTTTCCAGCAAAGGAGCTAGACCAGCTGAGGCCAACGAACACGAGTCCCAGGAAAAATCTCCTGGATCTGTAGAGTCAGAGCATGGATCCTCAGGGCACCTTACGCTGAGCCCCAGGAACCAAATGCCCCCACCAGGAGCTCACAAGGAATGGAGGAGGAGTGCTGATCTGGAGATGAGCGGGTTGGCCCTTCAAGAATCTATAGAGTTAGTCACAAGAGGGTGGAGCCTGAGAGAGAAAGAGGCTGAGAGCAGGAGCTTAAGAAGTCTGCTTCCACTCTTCATTGGAGCAAGTTGCTCCATTTGGAGCTCTCCAGGGTCCTGCAACTTCTGACCCATCTTATTCCCCCCCCCAAAAAAAATCAACAACAGCTGTTGGGTGGAAGAACCACAGAACTTTCTGCCAGATGTAATTTTGCGGTGGAAGTTAATCTTTTTGGGTGTACGAACAAGTGTGTCAAATTTTAATTTGCAGGTGGGCGCAGGGAATTATACTTTGGCTGCAGGACTTTGGGAAACTCCGCATTCCATTTTCAGTGGTCGTGCGTGTGGACCGTATTATATATCAAATATTTTATTCTTAGCACCCTATACTCAAAGCAAATTTTCTGCTCTTTGGGCAACTGTACTTTTCATGTAGCTGTGTTTTTATACATTGATTTAAAAATGTAATTCAGAGTTTATTGTTTTCAGCATATTGAAGCCTGGCCTGTAAACCACTGATGAACATAATAATTGAAAAAATGCATGGTCATTTCATAGAATCATAGAATTGTAGAGTTGGAATGGATCCCAAAGGCCATCTATCTAGTCCAACCCCTTGCAATACAGGAATTGTTTTGTTTTGCATTGTACCAAGCTGATGTTGTTGTTGTTATTTTAATCCAGAGAGTTTGCCCTTGCTTCTGCCAATGGAGAGAAGACATCATTTCTTAATCCTGGCAATGGGTTTTCAACTGAAAGGGTAAGACGTTTGGATATGCTCCTAGAGTTTCCTTAGGGATGCTTCCCATGAGACACTTTGCTCCCAATGAATCAGAGTAGGTTCAGCAATGCAAGCATGAATTCCCAGAGTATCAGTGACACTCTAGTTCTTATTTATACTTTCGGGGGGGGGACCACCTACTGCTGCAGAAAGTTCAAATCTTGAATAAGGTAAAGGGACCCCTGACCATTAGGTCCAGTCGTGACCGACTCTGGGGTTGCGGCGCTCATTTCGCTTTATTGGCTTAGGGAGCCGCCGTACAGTTTCCGGGTCATGTGGCCAGCATGACTAAGCCGCTTCTGGCGAGCCAGAGCAGCACACAGAAACGCCGTGTACCTTCCCACCGGAGTGGTACTTATTTATCTACTTGCACTTTGACGTGCTTTTGAACTGCTAGGTTGGCAGTATCAGGGACCAAGCAACGGGAGCTCACCCTGTCGCGGAGATTCGAACCGCCGACCTTCTGATCGGCAAGTCCTAGGCTCTGTGGTTTAACCCACAGCGCCACCCGTGTGCTATTAGAAATTCTGCCCCCTCTAAACTTGGGTGACCTGTTCTCCCCAGCGATTTCCCCATGTTTGCTCTAGTCCTGCTTTCCTATAACTTCGTATATGCATTTGTCTGAAGCATTTTTAAACTGGCCTTAGCAGTGTGGAACCTTGTTGGCCTTCAACTCTCATCAGCCCCAGCCAATATGCCGTGGTGAGGGATAATGGGAGTTGTTGTCCAACAACATGTGGAGGGCTGGCAGTTTCCCATTCCCTAACCTGCAGTATACTACTGTTATATGTGCATGTATTGTGAGTAGAGCTGAACTAAAAAAAGTTCTCAGGTGATAACTTTTTACCAGATTTTTTTAGGTGGGAGAAAAGGAGAAGAACCATTGGATTGAAATAATGTTTTAACTATAATTGATTTTAGAATGGTGTACTGAAACTGCTTTTTAGATGTTATAAACTGTTTGTTTTTTTAGAATGCCTTAACAATTTTAGAGTGTTTTTGCTTTGTTTCTAAATTGTGCATCCGTTTGTTGCCCTGGACTCCTTGGAGAGGAAATCTTTATTATTAAAGATGCTCACATGTGTACAACAGCTTCTTCATGTATACAGAGCTTCCCTCTACATTAAAACTAATGGGAAAACTTCCATGTTCAAGAGCACCATGTGTTCATTGGTTCATGTAGGGGACTCTGAATAGGGAAGTGGAAGTGTTTGGCAGAAATTTCCCATGCGGCTTAAAAAAGCTCTTGCGTTTATTGAGGTTATGTTTTTAAATAGAGCCTCTAGTCTAGTATCATGAAAGTTTTGTCTCTCCTCTCCCTTCCCCCCGACCTGGGAAAAAACTCTAATAAAATAACATGTATGTTTGTAATTTGCTATTATGGATTGAAACTGAGATTTTGATGTTTTGTCCAGGGTCCAGGAGACGTGGAACTAGAAAAGAAACTTCAGAGTGCAGAGAAGTTTGGAAAACACGGAGACTTGTCTCTGAAGGAATTACAAAAGAGGTACTGCCCAATATAGAATGTGGAAGCAGCAATGAATAAATGTATACCAAAAGTATCAGGAGCAAAGCTGCATCATCGCCACAATACCTCAAGGACCGCTTCTTTCCATATGAACTATCTGGACCTTGAGATCATCTTCTGAGACCCTCCTTCGTGTGCCTCCTCCTAGAGAGGGTGGCAACACAGGAACAGGGCCTTCTCTGCAGTGGCTCCCCGTCTGTGGAATGCTCTCTCTAAGGAAGTTCACTTGGCGCCTTCATTATATCTCTTTAGGCACCAGGCAAAAATGTTCCTTTTTAACCAGGCCTTTGGCTGATCTGATCAACATCCTATGTGACTTTTTTGGGGGGGGGGTGTTACTGGGTTGCTGTTTTTATTTTGATTATATATACTGTGGTTTTTACATTGATCTTTTCTGTGAACTGCCCTGAAACCTCCGGGTATAGGGCGGTATATAAATTCAATAAATCATCACCATGGCAAATTTGTATTTTCCTAATCAATGAAACAAAATTGGCGTTCAGTATCGTCTTAATTTGACTTTTTGGTTCACAGCTTGCTTGTGTTTTGAAATGAGTAAAAAAAAAGGAAGAATCACATGAATAGTGCATTCTTCTTATGCCTGACATACCGTATTTTTCGCTCTGTAAGACGCACCAGATCACAAGACGCACCTAGTTTTTGGAGGAGGAAAACAAGAGAAAAAAAAATTCTGAATCTCTGAAGCCAGAACAGCAAGAGGGATCGCTGCGCAGTGAAAGCAGCAATCCCTCTTGCTGTTCTGGCTTCTGGGATAGCTGTGCAGCCTGCATTCGCTCCATAAGACGCACACACATTTCCCCTTACTTTTTAGGAGGGAAAAAGTGAGTCTTATAGAGCAAAAAATACAGTATATTGTTGAGCCTATTTTGCCCAGGAAAAAGTGGTGGATGGTCTAATTCATGGGTAGCCAACACGGTGCCCTCTAGCTTGTACACCGAAGCCCATCAGCTCCAGCCGGCATGATGTATGTTTTAGTTAGCTGGTGATGTTTTAGTCTGCTTTGTATTTTCCATTGCTTCTGTCATTTGCAGAGTTATATTTTTATAAGTTTATCATTGTGTGTTATATTTTTATGTGTTGCACCCTGCTCTGGTATCTGCCTAGACGAAGGGTGGGTTATGAATATTCCTCGTGGTTGATGATAATAATAGTTGTTGTTTTTCTCTAGCTACCACACAGAAAGACATAATCTGAAGCTTTGCTTAAACACCATCAGAGAAAAAACAGCATCTGCTTTTCCTGGCGGTGTGAAAGATATTTTCAGCCTTCAGAATAAGCTGCAAGAGTTGGAGGTAAATATCAAAACCCTACTGTGTATTAAGGCTGATATCTGATTAACCAGAAACTATGCAGTGCTGCATTCAGGCATCACCTGAGCCCTTATATCCTAGCTTGATCACTGAGATCATCCAGAGGGGCTGCTGTGGTCTGAACCACAGAGCCTAGGGCTTGCTGATCAGAAGGTCGGCGGTTCGAATCCCCGCGAAGGGGTGAGCTCCCGTTGCTCAGTCCCAGCTCCTGCCAACCCAGCAGTTCGAAAGCATGTCAAAGTGCAAGTAGATAAATAGGTACCACTCTGGCGGGAAGGTAAACGGCGTTTCCGTGTGCTGCTCTGGTTTTGCCAGAAGCGGCTTAGTCATGCTGGCCACATGACCTGGAAGCTGTCTGCGGACAAACGCCGGCTCCCTCAGCCAGTAAAGCGAGATGAGCGCCGCAACCCCAGAGTCGTCCGCAACTGGATCTAACAGTCAGGGGTACTTTTACCTTTACATTATAGAGGCCTTAGTAGAAGTTGGGCATTTACTGTAGTGTCGCCGGTCCCCGTGCTGTCGGACACACTTCCAGCAGGGATTTGGCAGCCAGTTCTTTGCTTTTGACTTTCAGGAATCTCTTGATGACTTTTCTGTGGTGACAGACAGGACTTTGCACCTTTTTTAATGTTTTATTTTGTTACTAGGCAACCACTGTAATGATTATCTGTCTTGCCTTTTGTGGGTGTTTAATGCATCATGCTGCCCTGGTGGTTTATGACTTGGCAGTATAGAAATACTTATATGAATGGAAAGGGTTATTTATGTATGCCGCTGCCGCGGCTCTTGTTTTGTTAGCCCCAAAATGGAAAACAAGGGAAGTCCCAACTAAAGAAGATTGTCAACTTAAATTGATGGAATATGAGCAGCTTGTGGACCTAACGCATAGAATAAGAGAACAAGAAGAACATACGTCTAAAGAAGACTGGAAAATGTTTATTGAATATATGGGGGAAATTGTGTTTATTTGAAAACATGGGCAGCATTAAGATAAATTCAACAGTGTAAATAAGTTTTAATGGATGTAAAATGGAATACTGAATAGTTTAGTTTATATAAAATCTGCAGGGGTTTATGTTGTGCAGAATGAACCATGGAAAGAGAGGAAGGGAAGTCATTGATATTTTCAGGTTGTTTAAGTGAATATTCTAAAATGTAAAACAGAAATTTAAAAAGTAAACTAAAAAAATACTTATATGAATTAATAAATAAACCATGAAAACTGTGGTCTGCAACTGAAATATCACTATCTGAAGGTTTAATAAAAACATTTTGATAGGTTTGCTGTTCAGCTTTATAGAACAGAACAGTGTTTGCTGCATAGCAGAATAAAACAACAACATCCCAGTCATGCAACGCATATTTATCCCTGTGGATGTTATATCTGAACAATTGCCACGTTATCATTAACATTTAAACCCCTTGTTAACATTCTATATTTGTTAACCTTTCCACCTCTCGTTATTTCAATCACCAGCATTTTCTTTCTCTTGTTTCAGGCCTTGGAGAGCGAAGGCGATTCTTCTTGGAAACAGTTTGAAAGGATGGTTTTGCTGCTGGGCAAGTTTTCCTGCAAAGCAGATGAGTCTCAGGAAGAGCTGCTCAGAGAGTGGAACAGAGCCTGGAATGCTCTGAAGGAGAGGTACAGCCTGCACATAGAGACTGGGGAGGAGTCGGGACTATCAGGGACAGCCCGCCAGATGTTCCCTCCAGATGTTGTTGGGACTCCCTTCAGCCCCAGCTCACAGGGCCAGTAATCGGGGTGTGTGTGTGTGTTGTGCTCCAGGGACATCTGCAGAAATAAATATGAAATATGACTTTCTTTTCCCCGGCCATTTTTAAATTGATGTTTTCATTGATCTTATTGCAATTCTGCATGCTGTACATCGCCAGGCTCCATTTTTTTTTAAAATGAAAAATGTGCCCTGTAAATAAATATTTGCAGAAGAAATACAACCTGTGCCGTTAATAATGATTGTGCAACCTGTACAGCACATAGGCGGCAATTATTCACACAATATTTTTGTTCAAAAACAATTTTTTTCACCATTTATCAGATTTGTGAGAATAAGACAACTGCTTACAAAGTGCCATGAAAACTTACAAGCTATCCAAAATAAAGTGAACTTGCAGTGTCAGATTTTACTAAGTTCTTACAACTTCTTGGCTCAATTTTTCTTTTTTCTTGTTTTTTAGGTGCGTTCAAGAAGAAGGTAGGTAAGTTCAACGACGTTCCCAGTAGCTGTGAAGTTTCGCCCTAGCAGTCCATAAAGTTGAAGAGCTGCTATTTCGCCCCCGACAGGGCCAGTTTATTGGGGTTGGCTGATAGCCTACTCCCTGAGCACAGTTTTCTGGGCTTCCTCAGTGGTCTCGAGCCATTAATGTGACTGTTAGTGCTAAATGTAGTTATAGAAACAATTTTTTGGCTTAAGCATAAAGAACTGAATAGCTTAGCTATTCGGGGGCGAAATAGCAGCTCTTCAACTTTATGGACTGCTAGGGCGAAACAGGGATAGAACTTGTCACCCTGTCTTCCGTCTGCACTTGACAGCTACCGGGAACATCACTGAACTTACCTACTAGCTTCTTGAACTTACCCAAAAAACAAGACTCTGAAGTCTCTCAGCCTCGCTCACCTCACAGAGTGTTTGTTGTGGGGGAGGAAGGGAAAGGAGATTATAGCTGCTTTGAGACTCCTTTGGGTAGTGATAAAGCGGGATAGCAAATCCAAACTCCTCCTCCTCCTCCTCCTCTTCTTCTTCTTCTTCTTCTTCTTCTTCTTCTTCTTCTTCTGGAAGCAACTGTAAGTGTCATCTATGACAATAAACATGTACAGTGGTGCCTCGCAAGACGAAATTAATTCGTTCCGCGAGTTTTGCCGTCTTGCGATTTTTTTCGTCTTGCGAAGCACGGTGTCAGGAAAGTTTTGGAAAAGCTTCAAAAATCACCAAAGTCTTTAAAAACCTCAAAAAAGGCTACCACACCGCGTTCTATGAGTTGCTCCTCGAAGTCAAGTCGCAACTGTATTAACGGTGTTAAGAAAAAGGAAACAAACGTGCAAGACGTTTCCGTCTTGCGAAGCAAGCCCATAGGGAAAATCGTCTTGCGAAGCAGCTCAAAAAACAAAAAACCCTTTCGTCTAGCGAGTTTTTTGTCTTGCGAGGCATTCGTCTTGCGAGGTACCACTGTAACTATCTGCCGTGCTGGGAAGTGCCCTTGACACAGGTGTTCTATAACTGAGCCACAGCTGATTTCCTCTCCATGTCTCCTGATCAAATTTATCCTCTTCTTTTGTAGGATTCACTCTTTAAAGGCTGTTTTGGCCCTTCTAGCCCCTGTAGAAAGCGAATGGGTTCAGCTGTGCAACGCGGACGAAGAGCTCCGCCAGAGAGACATTCCCCGGAGCGTGCTAAGTAACACTAGCCTTCCCTTCAAGAAAGTGAAGGTTTGTGCTCATTATTCTTTCTTGGAATCTCGTCTTGGCTTAACGAAGGGCTCCCAGATTGGGCCAGTAAGTGTGCTTCTAAACCCGCTGCAGATCCTGCCCCACTAATGAGAGGCCACAAATACTTGAAGCCCTTCAATATAAGGGCCAAAAACCCAAGCAAAAAGGAAAGTTTTTGGCTAGTGCCTAAAAATAGACCAAGATGGTGACTGGGGAAAGCACTCTGCAAGCAGAGAGCCACCGCTGAAAAAGGCCCGTTTCTGTGTCACCAGCCTTCAGACCTTGCCTGGAGGAGGAACACAGAAAAGGATCTCAGATGCCAATCACAGGATCTGGGATGGTTTACTTTTGTGAATATTCTCAAACAAGCCAGAGAAGATTGGGAAGTTGTTCCAGAACCAGTAGCAAGGTGGTGCAATGTTCAGAATTGCCCTGATGACAAAGAGGAGCTTAGGTAAAGGTAAAGGGACCCCTGACCATTAGGTCCAGTCGTGACCGACTCTGGGGTTGCGGCGCTCATCTCGCTTTATTGGCTGAGGGAGCCGGCGTACAGCTTCCGGGTCATGTGGGCAGCATGACTAAGCCACTTCTGGTGAAGAAGAGCAGCACACGGAAACGCCGTTTACCTTCCCACCGGAGCGGTACCTATTTATCTACTTGCACTTTGACGTGCTTTCAAACTGCTAGGTTGGCAGGAGCTGGGACCAAGCAACGGGAGCTCACCCTGCCACGGGGATTCGAACCGCCAACCTTCTGACTGGCAAGTCCCAGGCTCTGTGGTTTAACCCACAGAGCCACCTGCGTCCCTAAGATGCAGAGGAGCTTACTTCCTCTCAAAAGAGTGGTGGCAACATGCTTGAGATGATGTATGAGAAGCCAGAGAGATAGCCTGACTCCCTCCTTTGGCAATCCTCACAGAACAGCCCAATGGTTGCCATTAATCTGATTGGAATTAATTTTATAATGAAATGATTTTAGAATGTTTTATCATTTTACTGTTGTTAGCCGCTCTGAGCCCGGCTTTGGCTGGGGAGGATGGGATATAAATAAAATTTATTATTATTATTATTATTATTATTATTATTATTATTATTATGTGGGAAGAGGGGCTATTTGAGCTATTTATGCTGAGTCAACCATTCACCTGCCTAGCCCAGCATTATCTAATACAGTGTTTCTGAAACTTGGGGCCCCAACTTGGACTACAACTCCCATCATCCCTAGCTAGCAGGACCAGTGGTCAGGGATGATGGGAGTTGTAGTCCGACAGCAGCTGGGAACCAAAGTTTGAGGAACACAGGATGGCAGGAACTCCCTAAGTGTTATTTTGGCTACTTGACGCTTTTTCCTGGAGATGCCCAAGAGCTTAACCTCCTAGGGGCCTGCAGGGAATGCAAAGCACGTGCTCTTCCTATGGGTCCCATCACTCACCCCCTATGCTTGACAGGTAACAAAATCATAGAGTTGAAAGGGACCAGGAGACTCGATGCTCAGTGCTGCTTTTTACAGCACAATTTGTCTGATCGCCGTTGCAATCCCTTGCTTTTCAGAAAATGCAGACATCTATAGCAAATTGTACCAAACAGTGCAGCTTGCTAGAACAAGGCAGGCGTCAAAGAACAGAGGTTGATCCAAAAGACTGGGAAGAAGCAAGCGCAGTCGCCGCTGAATACAAAGTGCGATTGGGGGAGCTGGGTTGCAAGATGCAGGTGATTGAGACAATCCTGCGTGACATGGAAACTTTTCTGGCTTTGCTGATGCACGCGAAACAGTCTTTGGGTGCCTCTGTGCCTCTCAGCCTCGCCCCAGGATCACCCGGGGAAGCTATGCTGCAGGAGGTGTCTCTGATAAAAAGGGAGGCCAAATCTCTCGACGAGAGGTTGAAGCAAGTCAGCATTTACATCAACGATGATGAAAGTGGGAAAAAGATGTGTTGCGAAGACCTCGTCGCTGCGTTACCTGTGAACGAAAACCCTGTGGTTGGCTCCGTGGAGGAACAAGACAGCAACCAGAACAGGGAGGCTCAGGAAGAATTTACCTCAAAGAATAGCGATCTCTTTAAAAACATCCAAGACGTGCATGTTAAGATCAGCAAAATAGGCCTGAGGGAGCCAACTATCCCTGCTGTTCAGCAAAGGTGAGATTTCTCTTTTTCCCCTCCCTCTCAGATTCAGTCAAGTAAAGTTGAGGATATTTTGCCTTGGGAAAATGGAAAATGGGTTAGGGGAAAAGAAAAGGGGTGTCTACAGTGATAGCTCGGGTTAAGAACTTAATTCATTCTGGGGGTCCGTTCTTAACCTGAAACTGTTCTTAACCTGAGGTACCACTTTAGCTAATGGGGCCTCCCGCTGCCACCGCGCCGCTGCTGCACGATTTCTGTTCTCATCCTGAAGCAAAGTTCTTAACCCGAGGTACTATTTCTGGGTTAGCGGAGTCTGTAACCTGAAGCGTCTGTAACCAGAAGTACCACTGTATATGACTATTGCTTTAGGGTTCATGGGTTCACCTGCCTCCCCCCCAAATCCAATAAGTAAATAGAAATACTTAACTACCTGAGCAATTGTATTGCAGATAACTTGGTTCTGTCCTCCTAACATAAAGGCTACCCACCCCCACCCCCCAATAAATCCTGGCTATGCCCATGTTAGGGTTCATTGTTTTTAATCACAAAACTGAGAAACAGTAAGGTACCCTGTGGAAGTGGGAGGAGCATAGCACGCCTAGGAGCTTTTATACCAGGCAGTGGCATGGAAATTGTATTCATCAACACCCTAAATACCCTGCAGCGCAGGTGACAAAAACTGATGCGACTTGTTCCTGTTTCTAGGTTGAAGTCGATCAGCGAACTGCGGCAGAAGCTGGACCGCCTTGCTGCGGAGATGAGGTCCTTGAATGAAGTCGCCAGCCGGCTTTCGCGGTCCGCAAATGGCCAGGGGGAAGAAGTCAAGCGGCAGTGGAAACTCACAGAGGGCTTGTGGAAGAAAACAAAGCTTGCCATTGCCGAAAAGTGAGAGGCTAAGTTTGTGTGATTTCGTGCAACATTTTCCGGAGCCGGACAGTGGGGTGGGGCAGCGGCTCTTAACTGACCTCCTGGCAGTGCTGCTTACAGGGAAGAGAGTGGGAGGGGCAAGCGCCATATTGGCTCCGCCCATGTTTTTGCAGTGCCAGCCTCCCTGCCACCTTGCCTCTCCCTCTCTCCCAGGTAAGCAGCAGCAAACCATCTGCTGGGAGATCACCGCTTCCCCTCTAGACCAGGGTTTCCCAAACTTGGGTGTCCAGCTGTTTTTGGACTACAACTCCCATCATCCATAGCTAACAGAACCAGCAGTCAGGGTTGATGGGAATTGTAGTCCACAGACAGCTGGAGACCCAAGTTTGGGAACCCCTGGGCTAGAGGGAGTGCACTATGCCATAATGCAAAGAGGAGACTGCACAATGGAATTCTGCTCCATATTAAAAGCTGCCAGTTGATGGAAACGTAACTTCCCATCAATTGAGAGTTGTCCATTTTTTAGCACAATTCCCCCCTTACTGCAAAAACTGTTGTTTTTTAATTAAAGAATGTGGATTTGTAATGCCAGAATGCTTTGATCTATTTCAACTGCGGAAACCTAAATTTCTGGTATGCAGTTGAATCTCTACTGCAAAATAGTGACCCTGTTCTCTCTCTTTCTCCTTTACATAAAGCTCAAATTCCCTAGAATTGGATGGATGTCCATTAGTTTCTCTTGGTCAGGAAATACATTAAAATATCTTCCTGTTCCAAATGAAGCCTTGCTTCATTTTTTCAAAAGCAAGTTTCTAGTTCCTGCGGTTGCAAAGCAAGACTGTAAACCTGTGGCCTTCTTGATGTTGCTTGGGTTCTGTACTAAAAGCCAGGTCCCTTGATTTGGAAAACGAGTGCCTTCAGGCTTCGGCCATCCTGCGAACGTGTCAATTATTTTTGCTTTGCTTCCTTTCAAATAGGCAGGAACACTGTGCGAGAGTGATGGAGCTCTTGAAGCAATATCACAGCTGCAAAAACTGTCTGACAGGCATTATTCAGAAGCAAGAGCATACCTTGTCTCAGCAAGTGTCTTACATGGGAAAAGAGAACTTGCAGAGGATAATTGCCATGGTGAGTTTATTGTGGTACCGTGCAAAAGCAGATAAAGCGGCACAATTTTTATGGTGGCCACGCAATCCTAGCTTTCATTTTTTATACAATGAAATAAGAAACGGGTTTGTATGGTGGGCTTTAAATCGAAAGAAGTCAACCTTAAATGTTGTTGGGCTCCATTTCTCATCATCCCTGATGGCTGACCATGTTGTGTGGAACTGACAGGAGGGACCCCATCAACACCTGTAGGGCCACAGGTTGTCCACCTCTGCTTCAAAGTATAAGGGAAGCTTGAAAGTAGGTCCAGGCCTCCGCCTTCTTGTTGCATCCAGCAATTCATAGTGGGTATTTGTGTCCTGACGAAAATTCCAAGGGCCAAGTCAGGGGACTGCCATCGGGACAGGGGAGGGAGGCAGGATGTGCTGGTCCCGGGGGGGTGGGTGTTACCGTGTGGTCTGAGTCCAGTCCAAGGTTGAGGGTATGGAGACTGTCCGTCAAGGGCGAAGTGGGGTCCAAGGCAAGGAGTCGGGCGTGGTCAGGAACTCTGGAAGAGCAGGACAGGGTCTGGCAGGAACAGGTTACCAACGATGTTGCTCCCGCAACCTGGGACTGGGCAGGCTGGCCTTTATCTCCTCTGAGGCATAGGGCAGCCCCGGTCCACAGGTGACTCGCCTCTCCTGGCCTGGAGGTGAGCACTCCTCCTGCAAGAACTTAGTTCCCTCCGCCTCTCTGCCCTGAGCCTCTGCAGCTCAGGAGAGGCTGGAGAGTTACTGGACCCAGAGGCAACCTCCCCTTCCCCTGACAGGGCTGAGAGTGGAGCACCTGCAGGCAATGGGTCCTCGATCACCTCTGGAGCCAGAGCAGATTCAGCTGGTTTCTGCTCCTGAGGATCCGGCACAGGTGAGGGCCCTTCAGGTTCAAGGCCCTGCCCCAGCTCAGCAGGCCCTGGAGGCGGGGACTCCTGTGCAGACTGCGATTCCTCCGGTTCAGCCTCTGAATCAGATTCCCAGGCCATCACACAGGGGGGCCGTTGGGATACAGAGAGCCTCCCAAACTCCTGAGGACCAGTGGAGAAGAGAGGGAAGGGGCCAGCCAAGCGAGGAAAGGGCTCGAGGATGCTGCTGAGAGCCCCAGCACTTCCGTTGCCCACCTTGTGCTGAGGGGTGGAATGCAAGGAAGAGAGGAGGTGGCTTCGGGTGCCGAAGTTCTTTTGTTGGGGGTGAAGCCGGAAGGGGCCACTCCCGGATTCTGCAAGTGACTGAGACAGACATGAACTTGGTAGATCTGCACTGTAAATAAAAAGGTAAAGGTGCCCCTGCCCGTACGGACCAGTCTTGCCAGACTCTAGGGTTGGGCGCTCATCTCACTCTAGAGGCCGGGAGCCAGCGCTGTCCGCAGACACTTCCGGGTCACGTGGCCAGCGTGACAAGCTGCATCTGGCGAGCCAGAGCCGCACACGGAACGCCGTTTACCTTCCCGCTGGTAAGCGGTCCCTATTAATCTACTTGCACCCGGGGGTGCTTTCGAACTGCTAGGTTGGCAGGCGCTGGGACCAAACGACGGGAGCGCACCCCGCCGCGGGGATTCGAACCGCCGACCTTTCGATCGGCAAGTCCTAGGTGCTGAGGTTTTACCCACAGCGCCACCCGCGTCCCCTGCACTGTAAATAGTTTGCACAATAAAACCTGTAAAAGACAGGTCGGAGTCCTGCCTGGTTACTCACGAGCAACCACCACCACCACCCGACAGACCATATAGAGAGTGGCTGGAGTGCTGCCTATGACCCTTGGTCTTGAGTATTGTGACCCCAAGTGTAGGCTGAAGTATTGCAATTACAATGATGCAGGGATAAAGGCACACAGGAGAGGCATTATGGGTAACACTAAACGGTAAAGGACTCCTGGACGGTTAAGTCCAGTTAAAGGCGACTTTGGGGTTGCAGCGCTCATCTCGCTTTCAGGCCGAGGGAGCCATCGTTTGTCCACAGCTTTCCAGGTCATGTGACTTTCCAGGTCATGACTAAACTGCTTCTGGTGCAACGGAACACCGTGACAGAAACCAGAGTACATGGAAATGCCGTTTACCTTCCTGCCACAGCAGTACCTATTTATCTACTTACACTGGTGCGCTTTAAAACTGCTAGGTTGGCAGGAGCTGGGACAGAGCATCATGAACTCACCCCGTTGCGGGGATTTGAACCGCCGACCTTCTGATAGGCAAGCCCAAGAGGCTCAATAGGCAAGCCCAAGAGGCTCAGTGGATTAGACCATGGGTAGGCCCAGGGGCCAGATCTGGCCCAATCACCTTCTAAATCTGGCCCGCGGACAGTCTGGGAATCAGTGTGTTTTTACATGAGTAGAATGTGTCCTTTTATTTAAAATGCATCTCTGGGTTATTTGTGGGGCATAGGAATTCGTTCATTTTTTTCCTTCAAAATATAGTCCGGCCCCCCACAAGGTCTGAGGGACAGTGGACTGGCCCCCTGCTGAAAAAGATTGCTGACCCCTGGGTTAGACCACAGTGCCACCCACATTCTCAGAGCCATTGTATGCCACTCCAAATACACACACAGGAATACCAATCCTACATACAAACTGTCCTATAGGTTTAAATTAAAACTATTTCTTTTTAAAAATAAGTGTCCAAGCGCCCAAATCCATACACCTCTCTCTCAAGGGAAGAAACCAGCCAGGTTGCAAAATTTCGGCGTTATTTTCCCCATGGAAAGGATAGGAGAGGGGGTTTGCTGCTATCTGTTGCGTCAAGCCCTTTGCCCTACTTTCTCACCGTCTGCCCAGCTGTATCAACTGCAGAACAGACTTCATTGTCTGCCAGAAAACAAAGACCTAGTTAGCGAATGTTGTCTAATCGCCAGACGCTAGAGGTCAGGGTTTCAGTGGCCGTGCTCCATTGGTGCACAAACAAGCAGCCTTATAGAGTTCTGAGATGGAAAGTTAAGAAGCAAAACATGGTGCCTTGTTCTCTTCCTCATTTGGAAACTACTGGTTTAGATTATGATGCACCCTTACACCCAAAGATAGGTCTTCCAATTTTAAATTTCAGAAAGTCAGCTCTTATTTCACACGACTGTAGGAAGCAGAATCGTTTGCACAAAATATCTGAAGCAAATAAAATATGCACATGCTCCATAACGCAATAGTATTTTCTCCCCTTCCAAAATCTTGTGTAAAGTAATCCGGAAACCAGAATCATGTGACTGATGCCTGATGTTAATGTTTAATTGATTGGTGTTGCAGTTTTGAGGTTCTCTTTATTGGATTCCTGTGGCTTTGTTTCTCTCTTTTTAAAAATGTGTTTTAAACAGCTGTGTTAATACTCTATTTTTGTTGTTTTCAATAGTACTGTAAGCAGCCTAGAATTTTTAGAATGGGAAAAGCTTGAGGCTGGATACAGTTTTTAAAAAACAAAATGAACAGGCAAACAAATAATTGGAATTTTGTCTACAAATGAACAGGCTGACAAGTCATGCCTTCCTAAAAAGGGAGAAGGCAGAACTGTAAAACCCATCTGAAAGATAACATAACCGGTATAGACCTTATTCTGAACAAAATGTTATTAAAAATAAGTATTTTTCTTTGCTCTTAATGGTATCTGTTTGTTTCATTTCTGATTCTTATTTTTATCTTTTTTTTAAAAATGATTACAAATATTAAAGGTAACTTCAAAAGCACTGTATTTCAGATGGATAGGCACCCAGGATTCTTCCTGTTTAAATTGCCCCAAATGCAAGGTGCTTATAGGTGCATATTATCACATTTCCACAGGTCAACGTGGTCAAACAAGAATTTAACAACCATTCCGAAGACATTGACAGAATAAACCAGATTGGCAAAAGCCTTCAGTCCCAGCTGAACAAAATGAAAAGCTTGGAGGATCCTCCCTTTGAGAATGAGGCTAACGCTATTGTGGACAGATGGCTGGATGTATGTAAAAAGTAAATGATCAGGGTAGTCTGATCTGTTATGCATTATAGTAATTGAATCTGGCTCGCAACTAATATTTCGGATGAATTAAATGCGGTATGCCGGAGACTCCTAAACGTGGTGGGGGAGGGGGGGAATCAAGCTTTCACCAAAGAGTGCGGGTTAAGAGTGTCAGGTTATCAGTTTTGTATGGCTTTCTGTCTCGTGTCGGTCATGGTCTCCCCTAAGGGATAATTCTGGGAGATATAGACAAGCAGCTTTAATAGGTTGCGCCTTTTGGGAACGCTAAGCCCTCCAGGAAACATTTCAGCAGCGCAAATCTTAGGGATCGGCTGTAGGAATGCTTTTCTTCAAATGCAAGAAGATGTTGGATCTGCTTGAGTCTGGGACTAGTTGGGACACATTATGGGGAGGTGATCAGATCTGATGAGCCCAAACCACCTTGCCAGACCTGTCTTTAGAACCTGGAGTGTTGCCATTGTCTTTGATGTGATAATATCCTAAGCCATATTTGGTAAGAAACTGTCTCCATCCAACGGATTAACCTCCCCTCCTCCCCCACTTCTTGTTTATGTGGCTGACTTCGTCTCACGCTCCCTTTGCTGACGAAGGTGCTCGCTTGGAAATATTTATTCTTCGATCTTTTTTGATCTGCTAGGTCAATGAATGGACTGAAAACTACTGCAAAAATCTGGAAAGAGCTCTGGCTTTGTGGGACAAGCTCCTTAATTTATCAAGTTCAGCCGAGGAGTGGTTAAACGCAGAGCTGAAGAAGTTGGACGGTGGCTGCCTGACTGAAAAGGAGCTGGCAGACTTGGAGGTAAGGTCGATGGGGGTGGCATGGGGAATAGCTGTGGCTCAGTGACAGAGCACCTGACTCGGTCCCCAGATTCAATCCCCAGCATCTCCAGGTGAGACTGGGAGCCGCTACCAGGTGGACCAGTGGCCTGACTCATAGAGCCATAGAACTGCGGAGTTGGAAGGGACCCTGAGGATCATCTAGGCCAACCCCTTGCAAGGCAGCCGTCCCATACGGGAATTGAACCTGCAACAATGGCATTATTAAGCGGCTCAGGACCGCAATACCTCTTCCCAAATGAACCTACACAGACCCTGAGATCATCTTCTGAGGCCCTTCTTCGTGTGCCTCCTCCTCGAGAGGTCCAGAGGGTGGCAATATGAGAACAGGGCCTTCTCTGCAGTGGCTCCCTGTCTGTGGAATGTTCTCTCCAGAGAAGTTTGACTGGCACCTTCATTATACACCTTTAGGCACCAGGCAAAAACATTCCTTTTTAACCAGGCCTTTGGTTGACCTGATTGAATCCTATACCCTTTAAAATGTGGCTTCTTTGAAGGGAAAGGTGTTATTGGGTTATTGTTCTTACTTTGATTTTATACATTGTGATCTTTTCTGTGAACCGCCCTGAGACCTCCGGGTATAGGGCATTATATAAATTCAATAAATAAAATAAATAAATTATCAGCATCACGCTCTAAGAACCAACTGAGCTTTCCAGTTGGTTTAAGTTAGTAACATAGAAATCTTATCTGCCAATTAATTACAGTGGTACCTCAGGTTACATACGCTTCAGGTTACATACTCCGCTAACCCAGAAATAGTGCTTCAGGTTAAAAACTTTGCTTCAGGATGAGAACAGAAATCGTGCTCCGGCGGCGCGGCGGCAACAGGAGGCCCCATTAGCTAAAGTGGTGCTTCAGGTTAAGAACAGTACTTAACCCGAGGTACCACTGTAATGCCGTTGACTGGTTCTAAACTAGATGGTGATTGGAACGATGCAATTTACCCTGCAGTTGAAGTTGTTGATTCCCCTCACCCTCTGGTCTTCGGCCTTAGAGTTTTAACCTAAGTGCTGTGTAGGATCCATAATGGAAATGCTTTCCTTTTTCCTTTTTTTAAAGTGTGGGGGTGTGAGCGGAGATTGGAGAGGCATATATGTTTGAGACAGTAACTTTATTCAAGTGTTCAGAAAAGGGCATGAGGACAAACCGGGGAGCTGAAAGTAGCCCAGGAAGCAGGAGTAGCTCAGTAGCAGAGAATTTGCCTTGTGTGCAGAAGGTCCCCAGATTCAGTCCCTGGAATCACAAGTTGGGCTGGGGAAAAACCCAGTCAATGAACACAGTACTGAGGTAGGTGGACCAATGGTCTGCCTTGGTCCAAGGCAACTTCTATTCAAGGAGGAGTGATATCCCGGTGGGAAATGTGCTGAACTGCTCCTTCCCACCATGGCCAAATATAAGTGTTTGGAACGGAGCTATTTGGGTCTCTGCAACATGGTGTATGAAAACAAACCATTGCTGTTCCTGGACTTAAGCACACCCTAAAGCACGTGGGGACACGGGTGGCGCTGTAGGTTAAACCACAGAGCCTAGGACTTGCCGATCAGAAGGTTGGTGGTTCGAATCCCCGTGACAGGGTGAGCTCCCGTTGCTCGCTCCCTGCTCCTGCCAACCTAGCAGTTTGAAAGCACGTCAAAGTGCAAGTAGATCAATAGGCACCGCTCCGGCAGGAAGGTAAACAGCGTTTCCGTGCACTGCCCTGGTTCACCAGAGGCGGCTTAGTCATGCTGGCCACATGACCCGGAAGCTGTACGCCGGCTCCCTTGGCCAGTAAAGCGAGATGAGCGCCGCAACCCCAGAGTCGGCCACAACTGGACCTAACGGTCAGGGGTCCCTTTACCTTTACCTTGAAGCATGTATCCATGACACTGTTTTAATTCTGTTAGTGTTTGATTACGTTTTAATGCAGTTTAATCACATTTCCCCCACTGCTGTGTGGGACATCTTCGGGAGAAGGAAAGGCTAAGGAATAAACCTTACACAAATCCAGAATTGAGTCCCTAAGATGGTTGGATGGCACCTTGTACAGTGGTAACTCGGTTTACGAACTTAATTTGTTCCAGAAGTCCATTCTTAAACCAAAGCGTTCTTAAACCGAGGCACGCTTTCCTTACTGAGACCACCCGCTGCTGGTGCCCTTCCACCATTCGGCTTCCGAGGCAAAGTTCTCTAACTGGGACACCTACTTCCGATTTTGTGGAGTTTGTTGCCCGAATTGTTTGTTAACAGGACTGTTCTGTAGACTGAGGTCCCACTGTATGCCTCCTTCCTGCAACTCCTGCAGCCTGGCTGGGGCCAAACATGTTGCTCTGCTTTCCTTTGGACCACAAGGCGGGGGGGGGGTGTCTTTTAATCCAGGCAGCCCAGGAACTCCATGCACACGGCCCAGGCTTGCTCCCTGAACAGGTCACTTTGGTGCTGCCAGCACCGCAAAAGCAACACGGGAGGCATCAGTTACAAGTTCCTGGTCTCTGCATCCACAGCAGGCGCTGTGATTCTCCAGCAGTTTGGCTGTACCTTCAGAGATGCGCTCCGTTGTCTCTCGTGACAGACGGATGCCAACAACGTTTTAATGATCGCGTTTTCTAGCTTGTTCTCTTTTTATCTGTGATTCTTCAACCTCGTGCCCAGTGGAAATCTGTTCAGTGTCTCGAAAGATTTATAAGCCATCTGTGTGGTCGTTCGTTTCTAACCTGCGGAACGAAAGTTAAAACTTGTTTGGCCCGTGAGACAATTTCGCCCTCTTTCTTCGTAGGCTGGCTTGAAGTCCCAACAAAAGAATCTAGAGGAGTTTGATGCAAAGGTGGATGAAATTCAGTATCTCCTCAATGGCTACGAGACCCCACTTGAATTGCAGGTGAAAGGGAGAGGGGGGCTATCATTGCGATCACGATTCGTCAGGAGGTTATGTATTGATATAGATAGGATGCCTGCCACCAGGGGGATTGCTGTTGAGAAGGGGAGAAACGATTGCAACCTTCTTTTTCTACCTGTGCATATGAAGAAATGCAAAATAGCACTAGTATATATACTTAGGTTTTTACCCAGTGAAATTGTCTCGTTGGCAAAAGGACATCTACATGTGTATCAGAACTTCTCTCTCTCTCTCTGCTCCTTCACACAGTGCATACTGTATTTTTCCATGTATAACGCGCAACCGTGTATAAGACGTCCCCTATTTTTTGGGTACTCCAATTTAAGAAAATGGGGGGAGGTGGCCCAGAGTCGTCGAGCTTTTTGCCGGCAATCGCACCCCCAATTGCAGGAGCAAGAGCAAATTCAAATCAGACCTTTCCGCAGCCACCAATCATAAAACCAATCGCCGCAGCAGCACCCAATCCAAAGCAGCCCTTGCCGCAGCCACCAATCACACACAACATCGTCACTGACAAGCTCCTGCTAGCGGCTGTGACCAATCCCCCACCCCCCACCTGCACTATCCGTGTATAAGACGACCCCCGATTTTGATCATTATTTTACAGTAAAAAAAACACCTCGTCTTATACACCGAAAAGTACGGTAGTTCTCCTGCGGAACTCCCTCCCACTGGAGGCAGCAATGGCCACCAACTTGGCTGGCTTTACAAGTGGATTATACAGATTCATGGAGGGTAAGGCTACCAGTGGCTGCTCGCTATGCTCCCCCTTCCACAGTTGGAGGCAGTAATGTTTCTGAATGCCCATTGCTGGGAACCACAGGAGGGGAGAGTGTTGGTCTTGTGCTCAGGTCCTGCGTGTGAGTTTACTGCAGGCACCAGGTCGGTTGCTGTGACGATGCTTGGGCTAGACGGTCCAGCTGGGCTCTTTTTATCTTCTTATGCAAGTCCTCTGTTTCCCCCCTTTTCCAGGTCATCAAATCGTCTCTTTTGAACAAAATGGAGCTAATAATAAAGCACTTACCGAATCAGTCAATACCCACTGAACTCAATGGCAACACAGCTGAGCTGAAAGAAGATCTTGACCTGGCCAAGACGCAGATTGGAATGACAGAATCGCTTCTCAGATCATTGTCTCCTTCTAACACCTTGGGGATTTTTGCTAAATTGGAGGTATTCTAAAAACACACAAACACCTGCTCTCTCTCTCTCACTCTTCTTTGGTTAACACCTGTCTGCCTTCCGAACTGTATTCAGAACTTCTCTAATGCTAACAAAGGCATCTAAGGATTTATAGGGCTGGCACAGATTTAACAGGTTTGGGAGCAGGGCCAAAGGATGATATATTTACACTATTGTTCCACTTGTGCGGCAGACTTCTTCTTGCACAGCAGAACTTCCCCTTCCTTTTCCCTGCATTATATTAGGAAAAATGTGTTTTGCAAAAATGTATTATTAGGCGAAATAGCGTACCAAAAGGAGAAATTCACACTCAAATGCTGATGAATTGCAAACTGATGTGGAAATGTGGGGAACTGAACAAAAGACTTGAAAAACAAGATACTGAAATAAATCCAGTTGTCAGATTTGCACATCCCTAGCGAGAGCACTTCAGACACTCAAAGACTTCTGTCATATTCCTCCCCCGCTCTGTTTCTTCGTTAAACATAATTTCTTCAGCCTTTCTTCTTAGGATACCCTCGAACATCCTTGCTGCTACTCCTCTGAACCTGATTTCATTTCCTTCTGGGAAATCCTTCTTAAAAGTGCCACCCAGAACTGGACACAGGACTCCACACAAGTTCGGACTAGTGCAGAAGAAAAGTGGAGCTATTACTTCTTGTGAATTTGATGGCTCCTCTCTGTTATTTGTCCCTAGCACTTCTGAGCACAGGGATTCCGTTTAGCTATTTATTTTAAATTATTTCTAGAACACTTTCCCAAGCCTTGCCTAGCCAAAAGCAGCTTGCGACGGCAAAATCCAACGCAGAGGTATAGCAGCAACAACACTAAGAAAATGGAAAAACGAAAACCCATCTACTACTGCTTGCTATCATGGCACTGGCAGGACTGTCCTCCAAAATCAAAGCCCTTGCGTGATTCCTTGATTTAGGGCTAGATGGCTGAATACCACCATTCTCCTCTTCAAGGGAAAGAGACCTTAAATGTTGAAGGCTCCATGGCTGGAATGACATTATTCCACAAAATGGCGGATCACCAGAAAGTTGGGGTGGTTAGGAAAATAAGTGCCCAGGGAAAGAGGCAGAAGCTGGCAGTTTTGAGTGGTCTAGGGCAGGAGAGAAACAAGGGCCCAATCCTTTCACAGTATATTTCCATAAAGCAGAGGTAAGGAACTGGATTTGGCCACCAGCTCCCACGGGCCATTTTTGATAGGTCGTTGGGGCTGCCTACCGGTCAATGCTTTCTGAAACACGCTGACAGGAAGCTTATGAATACTATCAGCGTTTTTTTAAAGAAGGATTGTTTTCTTTCTGTATTTTAATTTAGGAGATACACCAGAAGATTCTTCAGCAAAAACACCATGTGAAGTTACTTGAAAAAGAGACAAGTTGTTTGAACCCCGAGGTGGTTGAATTAAACAAACAACTCAAAAGCGTCACTGATCTATTTGATTCCAAGATGCAAATGTTCCAGGATCATTTTATGACTCTCCTAAACTGTAAGTAAAATAAGCACTACTTCTAGAGATCCCTTGAAAAAGAAAAAGAAAAAAAGACATCCTTAGATAGATAGATAATTTATTACGGTCAAAGACCAGCTGACATAACATAACACAATAAAAACAGCATTCATAAAGATAAAATATACAATGGGAGCAGATTGCAGCAATAGCTCATGAGTTAAAATTGAGATATATACATACACCCATACAATTGAGATTTGGGCTACCATAAAAAATCGACCCTGAGGCTCCCCAAAGGGCAACTTCAGCATTTCCCTAGTAAGTGATTTTATTCTAGAGGATGATCTGTGCCTACAAATCTGGGTGCAGAATCTGGCTACCAGCCAGGTCGTCATATGATCTTTGCCTAAGAGGAGAGAATTAAGTTTAGACTTGTCTGAAAGATCAGCGAGCCTCTTCAGCAAAGGATCAATGGTGTCTCTACGAATCTCAACATAAAAAGGACATCTAAAAAATATATGTTCGAGGCTTCCTATTTCCTCTAAGGAAAGATATCCATTATTTACGTTAATCAGCTACTCACACACTGGCTGGGTTCAACCATCACACAAAGTGTGGTTTGTTTGAATGTCTGAAGTTCCCTAGATTGAATGCTTGAGAAGGCCTAGAAATGGCAGAGCCTAACACAGCTGCCATAGTGTCGTACTTCCTTTCAACTAAGGCTGCACTGTGGAAGTTGTTTACACATCCCTTCTCTTTCTCCCTTCTAATCTTCTAGGAGATCCACCGTCTCACTTTTAATATATATATATTTCTTTCTGCAGACCACTGCCAGGATTTCTGTGACTGGTTCAGTAGTACCCGGCTAAATCTGAAGGAATGTTTTGATCCCTCAGAAACAAAAGAGATATTGGAAGAGAAAATTCAGCGGCTGGCGGTAAGGCACGAGGCTTGGACTTGGTGTTGCAACCAATAGTTCAGTGTTTCTCCAAATGGCATGGGGGGCACCTATATACAGTGGATGCTCGGGTTGTGAACATGATCTGTGCGGGATGCACGTTCGCAACCCACAGTGTTCGCAACCCACAGTGGCGCATCTGGGCACGCGCGGGTTGCAATTCGGTGCTTTTTCGCATGCACAAAGCGCGATTTAGGTAGAATGATGGGGGTGGAGACGCTCCTTCAGGTATACTGGGCCGAGGCCGTTTAGTGCTTTAAAGGTCAGCACCAATCTAGATGCCGCATTCTGGATTAGTTGTAGTTTCCAGGTCACCTTCAAAGGTAGCCCCGCATAGAGCGCATAAATGTGTTGTGAGTCTATTGGTTTGCTGTTGTTTGTAATTTTATTATGTGTTTTGTGGTTTTTAGATTGTAATTTTATGTTGTGAACTGCCCTGAGATCTATGAATAAAGGGTGGCATACAAACTACTACAGTCATACCTCATGTTATGTTTGCTTCAGGTTGCGCATTTTCAGGTTGCGTCCCCGAAATACCGGAAAGGGTTACTTCTGGGTTTCGCCACATGCGTAGACGTGCAAAATAACGTCACGCGCATGCACAGACGTGGCAAATTGCGACCCGCACATGCGCAGACGCGGGTTGCGTTCTTTTCAGGTTGCGAATGGGCCTCTGGAATGGATCCCATTCACAACCAGAGGTACTACTGTACTAATAATAATAATAATAATAGGGCCAGCCAAACCTTCCTGGGTAGGGCATTCCACACACGGAACCACTGCCACAAAGGCCCTACTCGTGTTGCCACAATCCAGACCTCTCATGGAGACGGCACATGAAGAAGGACCTCCGATGATGACCTCAGGGTCTGAGTCCGTTCATATGGAGAGAGGTGGTCCTTGAGGTATTGCGGTCCTGAACTGTTTAAGGCTTTATAGGTCCAAACCAGCACTTTGAGTTGGGCCTAGAAACTAATTGGCAGCCAGCACAGTTGGGCCATGATCGATGTGCTGCACTCAAACCGTCTTACCCCGGTGAGCAACCTGAACGCCGAATTCTGCACCAGCTGAATTTGGCTTCTCACATTTCCCTCTGAATGGCACGGAGGGTAGGGATTTGTATCCTGCTAAACGACTGCAGCAGCCAACAGATTTTAGCATTTTACACACACACACGTACAGACATATATTGTGTTTTGTGTTTGGGTTTATTTTCGTCCAGACCTTCCTAACCTTTGAAGGCAAAGGCAGTGCTTTCCAGGAGGTGAAAACACTCTTGAGCCAGGTGGAGAGCTATTTCCCCGAAGTGGACGTCAGCCACATGAGCAGATGGATGAAGAGCCAAGAAGCAGAATTACAGAGCGTGATCAGCAGGTGTCAGGGAAGGGAGAAGGAGCTCCACGTCACTTTGCAGCAGTTTGCTAGGTAAGAAGGCCAAGTGCACTAGGCCCAGCTTATTTTAAGGACCACCAACAGCCCTTTTATGTATTTATTCGAGACGTTTCTATCCTACCTTGAGATTACGTTGTCTTCAAGGTTAAAGGTAAAGGGACTCCTGACCAGTTGTGACCGACTCAGGTTGCGGCACTCATCTTGCTTTATTGGCTGAGGGAGCCGGCGTACAGCTTCCGAGTCATGTGGCCAGCATGACTAAGCCGCTTCTGGCAAACCAGAGCAGCGCACGGAAACGCCGTTTACCTTCCCACTGGAGCGGTACCTATTTATCTACTTGCACTTTGACGTGCTTTCAAACTGCTAGGTGGGCAGGAGCAGGGACTGAGCAACGGGAGCTCACCCCGTCGCAGGGATTCGAACCGCCGACCTTCTGATCAGCAACCCCTAGGCTCTGTGGTTTAACCCACGGCGCCACCCGTGTCCCTTGTCTTCAAGGTTACCCACACAATATTATAACAATAAACGGCAGCAACAACAGAAACCCACAAATGTGGGTGCATGCGCACAGAGAAGGAGATACAAGCCAGGGAAGGTCAGGTTCCAGCTTTGGGGGAGTAACTTTTGTTTGTTGTGGCTAGAATCCCAAGATCCACCACTCAGAATTAAAGGATTTTGAGTACCTCTACTGAAAAACCCACAAACTTTCTTCATCCACCTCAGCCGTATAACTTTAGGAATCAATTCATTTTGCTGTTGCGGTTTTTAAAGATTTTCTTGGTTTACAAAAATATGTGCAGTGTCTCTTTTCTCAGGTTGCAAAGTCTTTTATATATATCAGCTACGTACAGTGGTACCTCGCAAGACAAAAATAATCCGTTCCGCGAGTCTCTTCGTCTAGCGGTTTTTTCGTCTTGCGAAGCAACCCTATTAGCGGATTAGCGGATTAGCGCTATTAGCGGTTTAGCAGCTTAGCGGCTATTAAAGGCTTAGCGGCTAAAAGGCTATTAGCGGCTTAGAAAAAGGGGGGGAGCGAAAAAAATCGCAAGACGTTTCCGTCTTGCGAAGCAAGCCCATAGGGAAAATCGTCTTGCGAAGCGCACCGAAAAACGGAAAACCCTTTCGTTTAGCGGGTTATTCGTCTTGCAAGGCATTCGTCTTGCGGGGCACCACTGTATACAGTGGTACCTTGGTTGTCGAACTTAATCCATTCTGGGAGTCCGTTCGACTCCCGGAACGGTTCGAAAACAATGGCGAGGCTTCCGATTGGCTGCAGGAGTGTCCTGCACTCAGTTGGAAGTTGCATCGGACTTTCGGCTTCCAAAAAATGTTTGCAAACCGGAACACTCACTTCCGGGTTTGTGGTGTTTGTGAGCCAAACCGTCCAAGTACCAAGGCATTTGACAACCAAGGTATGACTGTAATGTGAGACATGTAATTAGTGTTGTATACAGAATAAGGTTTGGGAAGAAGAAAAGGGGGGGAGTGGTTGCTGTTGTTGTTAAGCAATTAAGAGCCAGCAATCTTTGCCAACCTTATGTCAAATCAGTTGGTAGAGCATGAGACTCTGGATCTCGGGGTCATAGGTTTGAGCCTCACGTTGGGCAAAATATTCCTGTATCGCAGGGGTTGGACCTGGTCTCTTCCAGCTCTACAAGTTCCATGATTCTGTGAAATCACCCACAGTCAATCCTGCTTTGCCCTCTCTTTTGTAAGCAATGCAACATGAAAACTATAACTGTGAAAAGCAATAGTGGAAGAGCAAAAACCAGATCCACCATAAATGATCTAGACAAATAAAGTGGTCTGGGCTTGGTGCCTTAAATGCTGGTACTGGGAGCAAGACCCTTTCACAGCATTTGCCTTAAATTGCTGTATAATTATTCTCATGTACCGTAATCCTTGTATTTATTTCCTTACATGTTTTCTCCCCAGACTTGAATATCTGTTCTGTAGCTTAGAGGAATGGCTAAGCCTTCAGGAAAAGAAATGGCAAGAGAATCAAGTAGAGAAGCCGAGGCTGGAGCATTTTTATCAAATTCTTCTAAAACAGAGGTATCCTGCCTTTAGGTTTTTAAATATTTGTTCACTGCTTTGGCCAGTTATACGGGATAAACAGATCATATGAAGTTGCCCGCTGTTGATTCTGATTGATATCGGTAGACATCTGGTACTGTGGCAGCTAGCACTTTGGAGTCTCGAGGGCCATATTGCCCCATGGTAAATGCTCCAGGGGCAATATACCAAAGTTAGGGCTGCCATACATCTGTATTTTCCTGGACAAGACCGGGATTTGGGCAGCCAAATTGGCAAAATGTTCCGGAAATCCGGGAGAGGGGTGTAATTAAAAACAAACAAACCAGAAAAATGACAAAAAAGCCCCTAAACTTGATAAATAATTTTTTTAAAAAGAGTAAATGTGGGTGTGGCTGAAGCTGCAGTTGTAAAGACGACATAAATGAATAAGCCGAAGCAATTATTTTAAAATGTTTTTTAAAGCACCAAGAATAAATTATTTTTGATAAATATACCCCGAATCCCACCAAACCCCTCATTGAATAAGTTTGTTGAATGAGTTAAATGTTTAACAAGAGCTGCCAACAATTGAACCTAATAATAATAATAATAATAATAATAATAATTAATAATAATAATAATTTATTATTTATACCCCGCCCATCCGGCTCGGTTTCCCCAGCCACTCCGGGTGGCTTCCAACAAAACACTAAAATACAATAACCTATTAAACATTAAAAGCTTCCCTAAACAGGGCTGCCTTCAGATATCTTCTAAAAGTTTGATAAAACAAAAAAATTCCTTCCAGTAGCACCTTAAAGACCAACTAAGTTAGTTCTAGGTATGAGCTTTCGTGTGCATGCACACTTCTTCAGATACACACTTTCTGGGTATCTGAAGAAGTGTGCATGCACACGAAAGCTCATACCTAGAACTAACTTAGTTGGTCTTTAAGGTGCTACTGGAAGGAATTTTTTTGTTTTGACTATGGCAGACCAACACGGCTACCTATCTGTAACTAAAAGTTTGATAGTTATTTTTCTCTTTGACATCTGGTGGGAGGGCGTTCCACAGGGCGGGTGCCACTACCGAGAAGGTCCTCTGCCTGGTTCCCTGTAATTTGGCTGCTCGCAGTGAGGGAAACGCCAGAAGGCCCTCGGAGCTGGACCTCAGTGTCCGGGAAGAACGATGGGGGTGGAGACACTCCTTCAGGTATACTGGACTGAGGCCGTTTAGGGCTTTAAAGGTCAGCACCAACACTTTGAACTGTGTTCGGAAATGTACTGGGAGCCAGTGTAGGTCTTTCAAGACCGGTGTTATATAGTCTTGGTGCCCGCTCCCAGTCACCAGTCTAGCTGCTGCATTCTGGATTAGTTGTAGTTTCCGGGTCACCTTCAAAGGTGGCCCCAGTAGTGCATGCAGAATACGAGCCTTACCTCTCACCTATGGTCCCTTACGTTGCAAAAGAAAATAATCTGTTTTTGTGTGTGTTTTTTTCTTTCCTCTCCCAGAGAGTCATTTGATTCTCTTGCTTGGCTGGCCAATTCTTTGAGGCTCTCTGGTTTATCTAAGGAGGAAGTGGTGCTGGTAACCCCTCAGCTTGTCGACAGGTACAAGACGCTGCTCACCTGTGTCTCTGAAAGCCTTGACGTTTCCCAGGTCCTTTCTGCAGAGGAAAGTAATTTTGAAGAACTTGCCCAGAATATGATCCACTGGGTGCAAAGGCTGAAAGACAAAATCTTGGGCCTAAGCTCTAAGGAATCCAAGGCACCGCTGGAAGAAAGCCTGGAGAAAATAAAGGTACTAAAAGAGACAACTCACATGGTGTGATGTGAACCTTGAACCTCTTCGCTCACTGCCAGCTCAGATGACTCCAATCTGGACCCTGTATTTGTGAATTGACATAGTAGCATCATGACGTAGAATTGAAGCACTATGGCACACAGGGATCCTCTGGACAATGTGTTTATTTGAGCATTCATCCTGGCTTGGTTTCATAAGGCTTTTGCGGGGGTTCAATTATACCTGGCCTTTATTGAGCCTTCTTTCTGATTTCGGCCCCATCTGCACTATACATTTTAAGCAGTTATCATAACACTTTAAAGAGTCATGCATTTCCCCCTCCCCAAAGAATTCTGGGAACTGTAGTTTACTAAGGGTGGTAAAGAGTTCTTAGGAGACCCCTGTTCCCTGCACAGAACCACAATTCTCAGAGTTCCCTGGGGAAAGGGACTTACAGTGGTACCTCGGGTTACAGACGCTTCAGGTTACAGACTCGGCTAACCCAGAAATAGTACCTCGGGTTAAGAACTTTGCTTCAGGATGAGAACAGAAATCACACAGCTGTGGCAGCGGGAGGCCCCATTAGCTAAAGTGGTACCTCAGGTTAAGAACAGTTTCAGGTTAAGAACAGACCTCCAGAACGAATTAAGTTCTTAAACCGAGGTACCACTGTACTGCTAAATCACTCTGAGAATTGTAGCATTCGCGAACTGGCGTAGTTAACATAATTCCTGTAGGACATCCTGCCCATAATTACAAAGGGAATGCTGTAAGTCTGCTGAGGGCAGCAAAGTCACCTCCGGCATTTTTGTTTTTAGAATGGAAACACCCACCCACCCCATCGCCCAAAAGTTCTTTGGTTGCACCCATCCCCTGAAGATTAGTCCAGTTTCTGGTTGGGGGTATTCTTCATCCCCACCCAAAATGTTAAAAAAGTTTTGGGCCAAATACTTTAGCTGAGTAGTAGCACCAGCATTCCAAAAAATGCTTTAATGTTTTAAATACAGTGAGCCCCCCCCCAATATTCCTTTTCCATTTCTTCATATTTTTCTTCCATTCTTTTGCCATCTTTTTCTTCCATTCATGAGCCACTTGGCAATCGGGCTGCAGTAGCATCTACCTTTTACAGTATGGGTCTTTATTGTAGCTACAATATTAAAGGTAAAGGGTAAAGGGATCCCTGACCATTAGGTCCAGTTGTGACCGACTCTGGGGTTGTGACGCTCATCTCGCTTTATTGCCCGAGGGAGCCAGTGTACAGCTTCCGGGTCATGTGGCCAGCATGACTAAGCCACATCTGGCGAACCAGAGCAGTGCATGGAAACGGCATTTAGCTTCCTGCTGGAGCAGTACCTATTTATCTACTTGCACTTTGACGTGCTTTCAAACTGCTAGGTTGGCAGGAGCAGGGACTGAGCAACGGGAGCTCACCCCGTCGCGGGGATTTGAACCGCCAACCTTCTGATCGGCAAACCCAAGGCTCTGTGGTTTAACCCACAGCCCCACCCACATCCCTATAAGCTACAACATTAGGCTTAACCTAAAAAGCAAAACAAGTGTGTGTGGAACCAGTTACCCCCATGCTGTTTCTTACAACACAGGAGATTCTACAGCTGAAAGAGGAGGGTGATGCTAAACTACAAAATATTGTCTGCCTTGGGGAACACGTGAAGAGCAAGAATGGGAGCAAGAATCTCGCTGTTGAGCGTATGATTTCTGATGTCCGAAACCAGTGGGAGAGCACCATTCAAATGGCCAGAGGATATCTAAGGTAGGTAAGGTAGGACCGCACAAGGAAAGATGTCATACAATTGAAAGAGATGGTGGAGCTGTATCTCTTGGTTCTCATTCCCTGGCAGAAAACATTCTTACTCAGGAATTAGAGGTCTCTGGGGTGGTAAATATGTATCTGGACCAATACCTAACTCTGTCTCATGTATAGGCTGTCAGTTTGCATTTCTTAGTGCAGGAAATATTGATCTGATGATGTGAAGAGATCTTCCCTATTTTAATTTATTCAAGAGGGTTCTGGAAGCTTCTCTGTGTGAAAGAAACAAGCAGGAGGTTCATGATGTTTGGGTTATTCCTTCAGAGAAGCTGAGTGCATGAAAGACGAGAAGGCTGAACCACAGACTAAACGGAAGAAGAAAGCGAAACTTGGCTGTGTGGAAGAACGAGAGGCCGGGAACATCCAGAGTACTGCGCTCAGACATGATGGACAGATCCAAGAGAAGGCAGGTGCAGAGGAACTGCTGATCTCATTTGATGCTCCTGATATCAGCCTGATGGAAGTGCTTGGTGGAAGCCAGAAAGGAGGATCAGTAAGTGTTATGGGATGGAATGTGTGCCCACTACAAAGGGAAATCAGAGTAGCCTCTCCCTCTCTGTCTCTCTGAGCTCTGGTTGAGTTCAGTTTTCATGGGCTGGAGGAGAAAGACGAGATTTCTAGAGGATAGGCTTCCATATCCCAGTGGTTCTCAACCTGTGGGTCCCCAGATGTTGTTGGACTACAACTCCCATCATCCCTGAGCTCTGGCCTTGCTAGCTAGGGGTGATGGGAGTTGTAGTTGAACAACATCTGGGGATCCACAGGTTGAGAAAGGCTGCCTAATGTGAACCTATATCAAAAGATCCACTGGTCATTTGACCTAGTGCCTCCACCCACTTGAGGGATCGCCTTGCCCACTTGGCCCCTTGGATCTGCAGAACTGGCACTGCTGAAGGTGCCACACAATATTTGTTCTGCAATGGTAAGAAATCAATCTTTGGGTGTGGCGAACCCTGTACTTTGGAACTCCTTGCATCTTCTCATCAGGAAGGTGCCTTCACTGTACTCTTTTTCAATGCCTGCTAAAAGCATTTATGTCCAGGCAACCCTGTCCATCTGATTATTGTAGATTTTGGTGATTTTTTTGGATTCCTGTTTTTAACTCTGTCTTAATGATCAATTTTAATATTTGTTTCACTTTTATTTTTTGTGAGCTACTTAGAGGTTCTGTTTACAATCAAGAAGTATGTTTTGTTGTTGTTAAATAAAATGCAAAATGGTCTCCCATCTTTGGAGGTGAAGCGAGAGAGAGGTGACCACAGAAACAGTCTTCTTGCTGTGCTGGTGGACTTAGCCTATTTTATCTATTTTTGTGCTCTAGTCATTGCGCATCATGCTAAACATAAGTTTAGTGCCTCAGTTTCACATGCTGCTCCCTTCCTTTCATGCAGCTCAGAGGAGGAGTTAGGAAGTTTCCACTTTGTTTAGCCATGGTTTGTCATGCTGACTGACCTAAGAAACCGTGGCTTACATTAACTAGGCTTTGCTTGAAGCAAGGTTGACTTGAAGGTCAGAAGCAAAGTGGCATGCCAACATGACCATTCTCTTTTAATGAGGAACTGGGTCACAACGCCAACCGTGCAGCCGGCAGCGGGGGCACTGCCAACAAGGCCTCACCTGTCAACTATAAGGTGCAAGATATTGGGAAAGGATGCTTCTTGAAGAACTTGGGGCCCAAGCAATTTAGGACCTTATATGCTAGTACTAATACAGTGGACGCTTGGGTTGTGAATGTGATCCGTGTGGGATGCACGTTCGCAACCCACAGCGTTCGCAACCCGCAGCGGCATGTCTGCACACGTGCGGGTTGCGATTCAGTGCGTCTGCACATGCACAAAGTGTGATTTAGCGCTTCTGCACATGCGCGACTGCCAAAACCTGGAAGTAACCCGTTCTGGTACTTCCGGGTTTCGGCAGTCCGCAACCCAAAAAAACGCAACCTGAAGTGTCTGTAACCCGAGGTATGACTGTACCTTGAATTGGGAATAAGGCATTGCAATATGAGAATTGGGTGTTGGAAAAGTATAACTTGTTAGGCGATGATCCGGCGAACTCAAGATCACCTAGTCAGAGTTGGAGATGTTTAGATTTGTACTATTCTACCAGTGTGAAAGGGAGTTTGGCCACACACCCCAAAAAAGTTGAGTGGGTTGCAAGCCTAATGTTCGAAAAATAGATAAATAAAAATACTGTTCATTCTTGCTTTTGACTCAATTTCCCAGTTGCATTCCACTGGCAAGGAATTGCTCACAATGATTTTTATTATTTTTTGCTTCTGCCTTAAAAATTCTAGACTCCTCTCCCTTGTCATACCTAGCTGATATGATTATTATTCTGCCTTTTTCCTGCCGGTTCTTCGTGGACTTTAATTCTCTCATTTTCTTGTCACCCGAAGAAGGAATCCTTTAGTGCGAACAATCAAATGGAAGGAGGATCTCCGCAGCTTTTCCAGGAATGGCTGACAAATTATGAGCAATTGTCAAGTCCTGTATCAGCTGACACTGGAGAGGAACCAGCTCTGGTTGTTAAGGTAACTCAAGTTTATGCTGCACATCAAACTGTTGACCTCTGTCAGTTTTGGACTACAACTCCCATCAGCCCCAGCCTGCACAATCGCGAAGGAGCAGGCATACATTGCTCCTCTTCTGCTGCTGCTGGGAAACAAACCATTGCCTGGTTTGCTGTGTCGCCTGAACCCCAGGCTCCTGGTTTCTTTCCCCCACACAAGCCACGAGTGATCCCTTGGCTTCAGTTTGTGGTTTGGCTGGAGAAAGGCAAAGCACCAGCTACCTTTAGATCACATGACAAACTGGACCGTGGCTTGTTTTTTCTGAAGCACAGCAGCAGGAGGAGGGAAGTGTACTGCCCACAGCTTCAGCAGCATGCACTGGCCCAGGGGTCAGCAAATTTTTTCAGCCGGGGGCCGGTCCACTGTCCCTCAGACCTTGTGGGGGGCCAGACTATTTTTTTTTGGAGGGGGGGAATGAACGAATTCGTATGCCCCACAGATAACCCAGAGGTGCATTTTTAATAAAAGGACACATTCTACTCATGTAAAAACACCAGGCAGGCCCCACAAATAACCCTGAGATGCATTTTTAATAAAAGGACACATTCTATAGTCATACCTTCGGTTACAGACACTTCAGGTTGAGCGTTTTTGGGATACGGACGCGCCGAAACCCGGAAGTACTGGAAACCCGGAAGTACTGAGGGGTTTGGCGCAGAAGCGCTAAATTGCACTTTGCGCATGTGCAGAAACACCAAATTGCAACCCGCGTGTGCACAGATGCGGTGCGGGTTGCGGATGCTGCGGGCTGCGAACGTGCCTCCCGCATGGATCACGTTCACAATCCGAGCGTCCACTGTACTCATGTAAAAACACGCTGGTTCCTGAACTGTCCGTGGGCCGGATTTAGAAGGTGATTGGGCCGGATCCGGCCCCCGGGCCTTAGTTTGCCTACCCATGCACCAGCCTGCTTGTTAACAGTAAACCATCGTTTTTTCTATGGGCGTCACATGAGTAGTTTTCGTCGCCATCTGTTGTCCAAGGCAGGAAATGTCAACAGTGTGATGCAGAAGCAAAAAAAAAAAAAGGGTGGGGGGGGATGAGAGCTAATGCTATTATAGACTGCATCAACAGAAGTATAGTGTCCAGATCAAGGGAAGTAATAGTACCACTCCATTCTGCCTTAGTCAGACCACACCTGGAATACTGTGTCCAGTTCTGGGCACCACAATTTAAGCAGGATATTGACAAGTTGAAACATGTGCAGAGGAACCTGTGATCAAGGGTCTGGAAACCAAGCCTTATGAGGAACGGTTGAAGGAGCTGGGTATGTTTAGCCTGGAAAAGAGGAGACTAAGAGGAGATATGGTGGCCGTCTTCAGGGATCTCAAGTGCTGTCACATGGAAGAGGGAACAAACTTGTTTTCTCCTGCTCTGGAGGGTAGGACTCAAACCACCAATGGCTTCAAGTAAGAGCTGTTCAGCAGTGGAACCGTCTCCCTCGTGAGATGGTGAGCTCTCCATCCTTGGAGGTTTTTAAGCAGAGGTTGGATGGCCATGTGTCATGGATGGATGCTTTAGCTGAGATACCTGCATTGTAGGGGCTGGACTAGATAACTCTTGGGGTCCCTTCCAATTCTGTAATTCTGTGAAATGATCAGAGTTGAGTTCGAGGTAGAACCATACTGATCAGAGGGCACCAGGTTGTCAAAGACTGGTTTAACACGACAGGCTGTTTACGCCCCTGTTTCTGCAGTCTGAGATTGTATCGGCTTTTTAAGCAGACACCTTAAACTGCTTGCTCAAAGTTCCCACTTGAAGATCCCAGACAGCCCCACAGAGAAGTGGCAGGATTGATTAAGGCAACCAGAGAGGAACTTTTCACATTTACAAGCTTTGCAAGAGCTATAAACAAGTTCCATCCTCACAGAGTGACAATTCTTCTGTGCAAATTTCTGTTCCTCCGACCTTCGTCACCCCTTCAGCCTATTCTTCTTTTGCTATAGAAGTTGGTTCCATTAAGAAAGCAATTGACATTTCAGTAACTTCTGTCCCGAGAAGGTTAAGATTCCCCCCGCCCCTTTCTCTCTCTCGTCTCTCCCCACCTACCTCTCCCCATTTCTATTTATCAGGGGCTAAAAGGAAGCTTGATGGAAGCCCACAATTTCCCAAGCTCGACAGGCAAGAGTGGAAAGCCGCTGCCGAAACCGGGGCAAATACCGCCTGATGATAATCTTCTCAATGAGCTTCAGCAGCAATCACTTGGCTATCAAAAGAAATTGCAAGCTGCGCATTGCCGGTTGGAAGTGCCTCCAATCGCTTTGCCGTTAATGAATGGGAAAGTAATGGGGACTGACCCTGCTCCTTCGTCCATTACAAATCCATCACCAGAAAGCAAGGTAATAATCTCTGTTGTTGCACAACTTCATTGAAGGATGTTGTTAAGTGCTATTATTGAACACGGGCAGCTCTTCAGCCAATACAGCCGTTTATCTAGAGCTCCTGCAGCCTCACACTTTCTCTCTCCGGGTTTCTAGTAACGGAGGGAGGCAGAGATACTGTGAACTATAGCACAGCACTCCAGGTGTTACTAAACTACAACTCCCATCCAGTTGTGTAGTGGCAAATTCAGAAGTGCACAGGTGGTCACAGTCACACCCCTTCCCTTCTAAGATTAAACCGCCGTCTAAGATTTTAGTTATCTTATAATTATTGCAATAATAATAATAATAGCCAGGGGTGCATTACAATGATCACTGCAGATCTCTGCGTGTGGCCTTTCAGCTAGATCTGCTGTTTTCTGTGTACATCCATGGGCAGATGATTTTGGAGGGGCTTAAGCCTCTCTCTTGCTCTCTTATGCATTTTTGAATTTTGGGGGGACATGGGTGGCGCTGTGGGTTAAACCACAGAGCCTAGGACTTGCCGATCAGAAGGTCGGCGGTTCAAATTCCCGCGACGGAGTGAGCTCCCGTTGCTTGGTCCCTGCTCCTGCCAACCTAGCAGTTTGAAAGCATGTCAAAGTGCAAGCAGATAAATAGGTACCACTCTGGCGGGAAGGTAAACGGCATTTCCGTGCGCTGCTCTGGTTCGCCAGAAGCGGCTTAGTCATGCTGGCCACATGACCCGGAAGCTGTACGCCGGCTCCCTCGGCCAATAAAGCGAGATGAGCGCCGCAACCCCGGAGTTGGTCACGACTGGACCTAATGGTCAGGGGTCCCTTTACCTTTACCTTTAAGCCTCTCTCTTGCTCTCTTATGCATTTTTGAAACTGTGAAGGAGCTCACCCCCTGCTGCAAAGACTTGGTAGGAAGTTATGAGTTCAAAACACGGCATCATTCGTGGAAAGAGCTTGTGGATACCCAATGAAGCTGAGCGTTGGCCAGTTTAGGAGAGATGAACGAAGATAGAAACTTCACGCAGTTCATAGTCAAAATCATGAACCTTGCTCCCCAGGAGGCTGTGATTCCCACAAACTTGGGTGACTTTAGAAGAGGACTAGGGAAATTTGTGGAGGGGGATAAAGCTTTCAGCAGATACCAGCCATGCGGGATGTGACGGGCCAATGGCCGTAATAAATATCAATCAATCAATCAATCAATACCAGCCATGCGGCAGCAATCCTTCCAAATGCCAGTTGCTGGAAAGAGTTCTGCTGTGCTCATGTTTTGCTCCCTGGCGCTGTGGGTTAAACCACAGACCTAGGACTTGCCGATCAGAAGGTTGGCGGTTCGAATCTCCGCGATGGGGTGAGCTCCCGTTGCTCGGTCCCTGCTCTTGCCAACCTAGCAGTTCAAAAGCACAAAGTGCAAGTAGATAAATAGGTACCGCTCCAGCGGGAAGGTAAACGGCGTTTCCGTGTGCTGCTCTGGTTCGCCAGAAGCGGCTTAGTCATGCTGGCAACATGACCCAGAAGCTGTACGCCGGCTCCCTCGGCCAATAAAGCGAGATAAGCACCGCAAACCCAGAGTCGGCCACAACTGGACCTAATGGTCAGGGGTCCCTTTACCTTTACCATGGACATCTGGTTGGTCACTGTAAGAACAGGGTGCTGGACTAGATGGGCTATTGGCCTGATCCTGCAGGCTCTTCTTTTCTTCTTATACTCCTTCAGTGAATCTAATGTTTAGCAACCACTCCTCAAAAGTATCGCCTACACAGCAATGAATCTATTAAGCTGCTTCTATCATTAGTATAATTAATTAGCCTATTAAGGGCAAGAACCATACATTAGCAGCCATTACCTGATTGGCAAATATTAGTCTTCAGCTCCGGAGCTTTTTATTGTAACCACTTGCTTGAATGTGTCTCGGTTTAGTTTCTTTGTTCCTTTCTCTGATTTTGCATCCCATTTAGATAGAAATTCCCCACTTATGTCTTTTAGCAGTTGACTGCTCTTTATGCATTTTGCAGTCTCTCTTTAGAGTGAGAGTGATGCATCTTCTTAAATGGATAAAAATTACCATAATTGCATTATCAGGGAAGATGGAAGTTTGGTGTGGTTATGTTCAGTTTTGCATGTGAATGCAAACACTCCCTGGTCTTGCTTCATATTCCCTTCCTCTTTTCTAATCCTTTGGCTTTCTTCATTATCAGGGATTCTTATCTATTGATAGTATTATTTACCTGCACTCTCGTACCTGGTGTTGCTTAGGAGTTCTAAGAAACAAATGAAACCCTGCAGTTTTTCAACCAGTGATTAAAGACCAGTGATATCCTAAGAGTTGTCCAAATGTAGAGCAAATAAATAACTTTCCAAATATATAGTAAAAGGTAAAGGTAAAGGACCCATGACAGTTAAGTCCAGTCGCGAACAACTCTGGGGTAGCGGTGCTCATCTTGCTTTACTGGCCGAGGGAGCTGATATTTGTCTGCAGACAGTGTTTCTGGGTCATGTGGCCAGCATGACTAAGCCGTTTCTGGCAAAACCAGAGCAGCGCACGGAAATGCAGTTTACCTTCCCGCCAGAGTGGTACTTATTTATCTACTTGTACTTTGATGTGCTTTCAAACTGCTAGGTTGGCATGAGCTGGGACCGAGCAACGGGAGCTCACCCTGTCGCGGGGATTCGAACCGCCAACCTTCTGATTGGCAAGCCCAAGAGGCTCAGTGGTTTAAACCAAAGCGCCATCCGCATCCCTAAATATATAGTAGGTACAGTCAAACCTTGACTGTTGAACATAATCCGTTCCAGAAGCACGCTTGGCTTCTGAAATGTTCTACAACTGAGGCTCAGCTTCTGATTGGTTGCAGGAGCTTCCTGAACTCAAGCGGAAGCCACGTCAGACATTTGGCTTTTGAAAACCGGAGCATTTACTTCCGGGTTTTCAGTGTTGGGAGCCGAAGCGTTCCAAAATGGAGGCGTTTGGGACCTGAGGTTTGACTGTACAATGCCCTTAGAATGAAGGGAGGGCAATAAATGAATAAACAATAGTCAGGACCAAAGAGCAAGGCGGGACTGAGTCAGACCCAAAGAATGACCAAGGACAAAAGAGACTAGCAGAGTCCAGGAGCACTTTGTCACTCAAGCAACTCTCAACTGAAACAGGAAGCACTTTACAGTGGTGCCTCGCAAGACGAAATTAATCCGTTCCGCGAGTCTCTTCATCTTGCAGTTTTTTCGTCTTGTGAAGCACGGCTATTAGCGGCTTAGTGGCTATTAGCGGCTTAGCGGCTATTAACGGCTTAGCGGCTTTAAGAAAAAGGAAACAAACCCGCAAGAACTCGCAAGACGTTTCGTCTTGCGAAGCAAGCCCATAGGGAAATTCGTCTTGCGAAGCACCTCAAAAAACAAAAGACCCTTTCGTCTAGCGGGTTTTTCGTCTTGTGAGGCATTCGTCTTGCAGGGCACCACTGTATATATTTTTCCTGCCCAGGAGCATTCAGTGGGTGCAATCACTTTGGAGCCTGAAGTTACTTCTCTGAGAAGCTGTTCGCTGCAGTTCAGAATTCACCAGGTGGAACTGCACACAGATCCACAAGATCCCAACACTGGCTTAGGGTCTCCACTTCTTCCTCAATCCTGATTTGGAAGCACCACAGCCTCCTGGGTTTTGCACAGAACCTTCAGCAAAAAATTGCTTCGCTGAATAACCACAGCCAACACAATGCATCTAAGACAAAGGATATGACTTCTTCCCAGATGATCTGGCGTCCGATTGTGTTTGAGCCCCAGCAGTGCTTCTGTTTGAGATTAACTTCTGGATGGATCACATAGAAATAAATGCTCAGTTGCAGAGTGAGCCAAATGAAAGCAGCGTGTTGATTACCTGTTTGTGTTTTCAGGGCTCTGAGATGGAAATGGTTTCGCAGGGGGGTCATCTTCCCGAAGACCAGGCGACTGCAGATTATGCAGAGATGGTGCAAAAGGTCAAGAAAGCGAAAATCTCGGCTGCAGAGTTAGACATTGTATTGATGAATGGTCAACTGAGGGAAATAGAGGTATGGAAAGAAGAGATTCGGGGCTCAGCCACACTTCCACTTGTTTCGCTGCTTTCCCCTGGGAAAACCCACTGATACCACTGAATTGGAGCCAATCACATTTTTTCCAGGTTGATGTTTGTTCTAATTTAGCAGTAAAGAGTGGGTTTTCCCAGGGAAAAGGAGTAGCAGGGCAAAAGCAAGACCGCTCGGGTTCATCCCTAGAATGCATGGGACAAGCGTAAAACTGCTTGGATCCGTGCTTTTTCTAGGCACAAGATAAGCAGGTGTGAACAAGCCATTATTCATTCATGCTTTCATTAATCGGTGGCTACATATGAAGTGCCCGCTACCCTCTCACCCTTTTGCTCCATCACATGGACATAGTGACATGGAAGCTACTTAGGCATGGTGCAATCCTGCACCACCAAGAAGGGCATGTGAATATTCCAGCCTTCTTATTTTTATTTTAAATTTCTATTCTATGTTCCATCCAATTTGGGCTTCGGGGCAATTCACAGAAGGGTATAAATAATGTAGTAAAGGGTAAAGGGACCCCTGACCATTAGGTCCAGTCGTGGCCGACTCTGGGCTTGCGGCGCTCATCACGCTTTATTGGCCGAGGGAGCCGGCGTACAGCTTCCGGTTCATGTGGCCAGCATGACTAAGCCGCTTCTGGCGAACCAGAGCAGTGCACGGAAACGTCGTTTACCTTTCTGTCGGAGCAGTACCTATTTATCTACTTGCATTTCGTGCTTTCAAACTGCTAGGTTGGCAGGAGCAGGGTACGAGCTAAGGGAGCTCACCCCATCGTGGGGATTCGAACCGCCGACCTTCTGATCGGCAAGTCCTAGGCTCTGTAGTTTAACCCACAGCGCCACCTGTGTCCCTATAAATAATGTAGTACAATAACGCAATAACCTTGATAATAAGGCACATTAGATAAAACCCTTTATGGAGCAGTCCTCTGCTGGCTTGGAATGCAGGTGAGGGGCCATAGGTTGCCACAGGCACGCTTCTTTGCTAGCAGAGGGGAAGGCATGTGGTTAGAGCTTTCTCTCCCCCCCCCCCACAACCCCCAGTACAGTGCCAGAAAGCTCTCTCACCATTGTTCTACTCCAACGGCAATTTGGTCAGAATTTGGGCCTTCTGGGAGCGTATGAGAGGAGGCCTCAGATTGGATCCAAATTCCCACCATTCCCCTGTCATTTCCCTGAAAGGGCAAAAGGTGTGCCAGTCCTGATGCTAAATTATTATTGTTTTTTAAGGCCAAACTGGGGGAAATTGTAAATATGGGAAAGTAGGAAGGTGCCTTATACCAAATCACACTACCCAACCTTATGTTTGTAAATTAAAATGATGGCACGTTGCAGTAAACCGTAGTTAATGGTTTACTGTGAAGGTGCTTCCCATGATTGTGCAGGAGAAGCAATCCCTGACCTGTGGGTTTGGTGTTATAGCCAAACCGAGGATCATGGGGGCTTTTTCTCCAAACAAAACACGATAAGTAGGCAAGGTTTGTTCTTGGCTTACTGGACATGGTTTGTTGGAGCAGAACAAACCATGGTCCTCAGTTCCAAAGTGATGCTGAGCCCAAGATCATGGCCTGCTTCTTCTGTATGCTAGAGAGGAGGAGCAAAATGGTGTGAGATTAGCAAGTATGTCTTACCATGATGTGCAAACAAGGCTGCTTCCGTTTTAAAACCTCTTTCCTGGTCTTCTGACTAGAATTTGTGCGCTCTGCTGGAAAGGCAAAGCTCTGCCAGAAAACAGAAAGCTAAAACTTCTTCATTGCTGGACGGAGATTGCTTGACCACTGCAGAAGGAAGCGGCTCAGTTGTGCCAGATTCAGACAGCGTGGCGGCTTCTAGTTGGGACGAGCTACTGCAGGATATAATGTCTGCTAAAAAGGCCAGGCAGGCGCAGCTTCATTTGCTGAATAATTACCAAGCGTGTCTCACCGAGGTCCAGTCTTCAATGAAACATTTTTCGGAGGAAAAAGAAAACCTAAAAACGTGAGTACATGGGGCAGATTTCTATATCACCTAGACCAACTTGCCAGATGCAGTAGTGGAACACAGGCTCTGCCGGCAGGAGTTGCTAGGTTCGATCTTTGCTGTTTCCACTTAAAAGGATAAGGCAGATCACTCCCTCTTAAGACGGGTCAGGAGATCTTTCTGCCTTAGCATAGGACTAGGCAAAACATGAATGGCAGCGATCTTTTCAGTTGCGCTTGGGCACTTGGATTTTGTACCTTCTTATCAAAAACTAAATGTAAAACCTGACATCCCAAGTAATTGCAACTGGGGGAAGGTGTGTGTTTCAATTGATTAATAAACGTTTATTTACTTGAGTCTTTGACTAAGGCTTCAGTCCTATCCATGCAAGACTAAAATTCCATACAAATTGGGCCTTTGGTATGTAGTTAGTGGTAGGGGTGGGAGAATCTAAATTTGGGTTTTTCATCCCCCCCCCTTTAAATCCACTTCTCCACAATTCAAAATCTGTTCACCATATTTACTTATTTTTTTAAAAGGTCCTCTTGAGCATTCACAAGCATTTTAGTGTGAATTTCTATTCACGTAGCACATGTTTATATTCAAAATTTGCCAAATATGCGCATTTTTCCAAAGCATATTTTCCCTAGTGTAATGTTTTTGTGTGTGTTACTTTTGCTAAATGGTGTATTTTATATAGACCTTGCCACAGTATATGCCTTATTGTATACGTGCATTGCTTAGGTGGAGATCTACATTGCGAAATTGGAAGGTTGGCTCACTTTCGTTTCATGCATTGTTCTGGAGAGTGAAAAATCAGTTTAGGTTCACTTTTAAATGCAAACTGGACAGAATTTCTCGCTGATCTCTAGTTACTGCCTGTGAAATATAGTTCTGAGTATCTTGATTAGCTGGTGTGCTTTGAGCAAAACAGCCTTTCAAAATGTTAGATTTTTACTCCTTTTTTCTTTCTTCCGAAAGGGTACCCCTGTCAGAAGACACAGTTCTCCTGGAGAATATCCAGAAATGCTTGGATTCTATACAAAAAGGGAGAATCCTTTTGCAAAAGCTGAAGGCTGAACAAGGAAACCTATCTAGACAACTAACCAGGATGGACAAGGAGTTAATCCAAAGCCAGGTGGCCCAGATAGACCAGTGGTGGAAACAGATGGAAGACACACTTAAAAGGAAGCAGATCCGGGTTGCAGCACAAGCCAATGAGTTTAAGGTTTTCATGGATAAAGCACAGGAGCTCCAAAAGTTGCTGCAGCAGCAGCACTGTTTGCGAACAGGCGGGGACACCCACAACCAAGCACACTCGGCGTTGATGGCCACAGAATTACAAACGCTTAAAAATAGTGTTTCTATGTTAAAAAGTGGTGCTGAGATGCAGATGAAGAGGATGTGGACCGACACAGGGAAGAGAGCTCTGGAAAGCGCAATAAATGATTTGCAGACTCGAGTGGAGGAGCTAGAGCAGCTGACTCCTACGGAAGATGCCCAAAGAAGCGGCCGTTATCCTCAGGCGTATGACCTCACAAAGAAGATTGAAGAGGCTGTTTTGTGGGCCAGAGTCTCGTTGCTCCACCTGGATGGGAAGGCAGCGCTTTTCCCGGACGATCTGATGTTTGAAATCGAAAGCTGCAAGGTTCTGATTGGGGCCGCCGAGGAGAAAAAGTCAGGTGTCGTGCAACTGGTGGACGAGGCACAGCGCATTGCTCCCCAGTTGGAATCAGGCGAAGCTTCTGCCCTCGCCCTCCTTTCGGACCAGTTGCAAACCTGCTACAAAGACCTTGTTCCGAAATTAGTAGAGCGGTTGGAGCAGCTGGAATCTGAGCTCGGAAAGAGACGGCAGCTTTTTGCAGACACCGAAAAATTGCAAGCAAAACTTAAAGAAGCAGAGAGGGTATCCAAGCCAGGTACCGGTGACACAAGCCTGAAGTCAGAAATGGACCGTTGGCATGCCGTCGTAGAAAAGTCTGCAAAGGAGATCGAGGAAGCAAAAGGTATTGTTGATGCATCCCCTCAGGGGCTAAATGTGTTTGAGAAGTTGTTTCTCAATGACTTCTTGAGAAGCCTCCAGAGCAGAACTGAAAGAGCTCACAGGCTAAACCAGATTAACCGCCGTACAGCAGAAAACAAGGTAGATGCCTATGAAAAAGTCACAAGGACGCTGATGTCATTGGAGCAGGATCTTTGCAGCCTCCAGCGTGAGGAATTGGAACTGGACCAGGCAGGTGTGGACCAAGACATTAAGGGTAAATTGTTTGTGCTTAAAGAGAGAGCAGCGGCCATCCAGTCAGGTTTGTTGCACTTAGAAAAGTACAAGGAGATTTGGGAATGCCTGCATCTGAAATGGGATGTACCAGACCTTGAGAAATTGCAAGGCGAGTGTTGCAAGCTGAAACGTAAGCTTGAGCAGAGGGTTAGCTGTTCTGCGGAGGGCGACGGGCGTAGAACAGCACTCTCAGAAGTTGAGGCTCTCATCTCCATTATACAGAAACACTGTGATGTTTTGAAAGATTGCTCCGACTCTATTGCCTCTGAAACCAGTCCGATGTCAGAAAAGACTTTAAGTTGGAAAGTGCAGCATGCCAGGCACTTAACTCAGGAGGCACTCAGGCTGCTAGGCAAAAGCGAGGCCTTTGGTCCTTCTCTCAAGGAGACCAAGATGCAGCAAATAAAGAGCTTGGGCGTGAAAATAGATGGGCTGGCACAAGTGATCCAATCTAAGATACTGGCTGTTCAAGAAAAATGCGGACACGAGCAAGGTTTCCAGAGCAAGCTGGGTCACAGTTTAGCAGCTTTAAAGCAAATTAAATCCGAGCTCCGGCAGCCCATTCTACTTGACTTGGAAACACAGACGATCCGATGTGAAAATATGTACTGTAAAGTGATTGAAGATGCTGCAGAAGTAGAATCTTGCGCTGCTGAAGATTTAATTAATAGAAAGAGGGGGTCTCAGGAAGGACAATCTTCCCTCCCTGATAGTTTGCAGAGGGAACTGGATGAACTGCAAAGCCTGAAAGTACAGCTGAAATCTGACATTGCCGCACGTAAAGTGAGTAATCCTAGATATCTTGTTTACCTTGTTGACCTTTCCGCTGAGATTCTTTCTGCTGAGGCAGATCTCTGGCCTACCCTGCTTTTCATAGAATCATAGAGTTGGAATAGACCACAAGGGCCATCGAGTCGAACCCCCTGCCAAGCAGGAAACACCATCAGAGCACTCCTGACATATGGTTGTCAAGCCTCTGCTTAAAGACCTCCAAAGAAGGAGGTCTTTTGGCTCCTCTGGCCTACTCTAGATTAGTTCTGGTCTTCTCTGAGCAGCAACAGCTTCTAGTAACAGACTGCCTGACAGGCCTTCAAACGGGGGACTGTCCTCTGTAAAGTAGGAGATGTGACAACATGGTGGTCCCTAAGTGGAACAGTCACCTGTCACACATCTTTTACCTGTCACCATCTCTAACATTTGAGATGCCCGGTGAAGGGTTTGATGAATGGCAGGTTACAATAGCAAAGGGATTCTTGACTGCTGGGGTTTGTATGCATGTTTTCCATGCTGTTTTTATTTGTCTTGGTTTTTCACTTTAGTAAGCCACATTGAAGATTAGTTGTCATTTTCCCTATTGTTTGCTGAGCCAGGGGCCAGAAAGAAGCATATCACCGGAAAGGCAAGCCTGGCTAACTAAAAGGTTGTGTCCAGCCTCTTATGAGGCATTAGCCAACACAATTAAATCTACTAGCTTGGGGATTTATAGGTTTTGGGGCCACCACTGAAAAGGCCTTCCTACTAGTTAGACGTTTACTCAGGGGTCGGCAACCTGTGGCCCATAGGCTACAAGCGGCCCATGAAGGTCATTTAAACAGCCCCCGAGTCGCCCCCGAACCCAGCTGTCTGCTCGGCAAGTCCCCGCGATCCGGCCCACGGAGCGATCTCCGTGGGAGTGAACTGGCCCAGGCAAAGTAAACCTTGCTGACCCCTGCATTAACTTAATCTCTGAAATGGACTTAATCTGGAGCCCAGCTATATGGGCAGGTCTTGTCACATCAGGGCAGAGTAGCATATGAAATAAAAGGTGTGCATTTTCCACCCATGCAATCTTGTGGCATTTTTTAGTTGCCTTTAAAAAATACAATTTTGTTAACCTGTGCAGAGTGCCTTAAATGAAGCCTTTGGGACTGTGAAGTCTTACAGAGAAGCTGTCCTAAGGGCTTCCGACCTCCTCAGCCAGCGTGAAGCCCTTTTCTGCACTCCTCTGCTCGCTCTGGATGAGCTAGAAGAGCCCAGCCTCCTCTCTCGCCAGAGACAAGAAGAACTTGAGTCTGCAATGTCTCAAGTAGAAGCGCTGACCTCTGCGATGGAAAACATAGTCGAACCGCAGGCCAAACTGCAACTGGAAAAAACCCTTGGCGATCTCGTTTCTAAGAGTTTGATAGCAAGAGAGCAGGAGCAAAAGAGAAAATCTGATGTGCAGAGGTAGGTAGTCTGTTCTCACTCTGGGCGGCTTCCAACAAAGAATAAAAATACATTAAAATGTCACACATTAAAAACTTCCCTGAATAGGGCTGCCTTCAGATGTCTTCTGAATGTCAGGTAGTAGTTTATCTCTTTGACATCTGATAGGAGGGTGTTCCACAGGGCGGGTGCCACTACCGAGAAGGCCCTCTGCCTGGTTCCCTGTAACTTGGCTTCTCGCAGTGAGGGAACCGCCAGAAGGCCCTCGGCGCTGGACCTCAGTGTCCGGGCAGAACGATGGGGGTGGAGACGCTCCTTCAGGTATACTGGACCGAGGTCATTTAGGGCTTTAAAGGTCAGCACCAACACTTTGAATTGTGCTCGGAAACATACTGGGACCCAGTGTAGGTCTTTCAAGACCGGTGTTATATGGTCTCGGCGGCCACTCCCAGTCAACTATCTATCTGCTGCATTCTGGATTAGTTGTAGTTTCCGGGTCACCTTCAAAGGTAGCCCCATATAGAATCCCTGCGATGGGGTGAGCTCCCATTGCTCGGTCCCTGCTCCTGCCAACCTAGCAGTTCAAAAGCACGTCAAAGTGCAAGTAGATAAATAGGTACCGCTCCGGCAGGAAGGTAAACGGCGTTTCCGTGCGCTGCTCTGGTTCACCAGAAGCGGCTTAGTCATGCTGGCCACATGACCTGGAAGCTGTACGCCGGCTCCCTCGGCCAATAAAGCGAGATGAGCACCGCAACCCCAGAGTCGGTCACGACTGGACCTAATGGTCAGGGGTCCCTTTACCTTTAAACCCTACAGAGCCGAGCTGGTGGCAAACGCCTTGCTCTGCTTTCCTTTGGACTGCATCAGCAAGGCTGAGAGGGGAGTTTGTTGCCTGGGCAGTCCATACACGCTGCCCAGTCTTGCACCCCAGGGAGGTCAATTTGGTGATGCTAACACAGCGGTTTTACTTTACCCCCCGGACGCTCACTGCGTTGCCTCTCAAGGAAAAGACAGGTGCCAAGAGTGCATCATTGTAGCTCATAGTAAAGCGCCAAAGTTAACAAACGACTTGCCTGGGAATAGGCACATGGGCTCCACCATTGCTCCTGCTAGCATCTTTTCCTTGGATGTCCATTTGTGCATGCTGCTTCTGATCTCAAACAAAGAGATGGTGCCTTGTCTGAGAAAGTAGGGCTTGACAGGGCAGGTGGGGCCTGCTAGGTCCAGGAATAGTGAACGGGTTCATGTGATACGCTAAGCCAAAGGTTGGCTTAGCAAGACCCTACGCATAGCTGTCAACCGTCCTTTATTTGGGGGGAAACTCCCTTATCCCAGCGCCGTTTCCCGCTGCTGTCCCGGATTGATGATATCCCGTAAATTTCCCGGGTTTCAAAGGAAGCAACTCCTCACCCTCCCTCCCTTCCTGCCGGCCAGGGAGGAGGGAGACTCCAACTGTGTTGCTTGGCTGCATTGCTCACCCAATAAGGAGTCAAAGAACGACTGGGGGGTGGAGCTTGCATGCCTTGTGCCGATCAAATTGGCTTCGTTGCCTGGGGACTTGCCTTTGCTCAGCACTTCCCAGCGGAGAGGTGACGGTGGTTTTCCTTGCTGCATCCCCTTTGCCGGGTTGCTGCGCTGTGGGAACCACCGCTTGAGGCTTCGTTTGGCTGCTGGCTGGGCTTTCTGCCTTTGGCTCGGAGGGGCTCAGAAGTCGAACCTCCCTGTGCTCTGGAAATCCCTTATTTTGGCTGCTGATCCCTTATTTGCTAGGCTGCTGGTCCCTTATTTTCAAATCTGTAAGTTGACAGCTATGGGCCCTATGAGCTCGTGGGCTCCTAGAAATGCGTTTGATACCACTTTGCTCCTTCCTGTTCCTTTTAGTTGCTATGCCCAGCTGCACTAAACCAGTGTTTGGCTTAGCTTTCTAACTGGGATATGTTGTCATGCTCTGTCCTCAACTAATCACAAGCTGTATGTAGCCAAGAACGAGCCAGGTGTTGGTTAAGAGGAACTGTTGAAAATCACGTATCATGTCTTGCATCAGCAGAAGTCTTGCATCAGCAAAGCCACCATTGGATAATAATATATATATTTTTAAAAAATCTCTTCTGTTTATACATTTAGTTTGTGCCACTGGTTATAACCTTTGGGCTGACCTTTCCACGACTGGAGAAAAAAAGATGGGTGTGTTTTGATTGCTTTGTTTAATGTTGTTGTGTTCACAGATGCTTGGAAAAATACAACCGCTTCAAAAAATCCAAAGAGGTGATACATGTTAATCTCAACGACGTGGAAAGGGTGCTTCAGAAATCTTTGTACCATATTCCAGTGTCTTATAAAGAAGCTTTAGAGCAGTCGGAACAAAGCAAGGTGAGAATAATCTTCACCACAGTGGCATGTTTTTATGATCATAAATGTTTGCAGTCCTCAAAGCACTTCGCACATACACCCACCCACAGTGTAAAGAATCTTTAACAATAATCCTATGAAGCCGCTCACTGTTATAGCTAAACATAGACGCAGCAGCAGCAGCAAGTCTATGTTTTAACAGAAAGCAAGTGGCTGCGAGAGCCTTTAGTCTATTCTGTGCCCCCACACAATAGCTGTGGAATGCACAACTTTAGACAGCCATTTGCTGCTTAAATTGGCCCCCTTGGGAGGCAGTTATGGGCTGGGTATTAGTCGTAACCAGGGGTTGGCAAAGTTTTGGTGGCTTGGGCCACCAAAGACACCGCAATGGGCCAGAGTGCGCATGCACTTATGCGCAAATGCTATTTCCAGCACGGAGGAGACGTGCGCGGCTTCCCATTGGCTGCAGGAGCTTCCTGCAGCTGATGGGAAGCTGGCCAGCATCGTGGAAGGCGGTCCTCGCTCTTCTCTACACCGGTTTAGCGTGGTGCACGGGAGCCATCCGAGTGAGCGGCGGGGGTCCATGGGCTGGTAAAACAACCCCCAATGGGCTGCTTGTGGCCCATGGGCCTTAGGTTGCCAACCCCTGGTCATAACCATGGTTTGTTTAGCCAAAGTCCAGTTTGTCTGACTGCTTGAACTGAGCCCTACAAAGTAACCCAGCTTTGCTTCTTGGGAGCAAAGCAATATGTAGTTGTTGTTGACCTATGAACCAGGGTTTGCTTTAACTACAGTTCTGCTCTCTGTCCAAACCCAGCAGCTTTGCTTAACCATGGTTTGTTTGGTCACCCACCTATGATGCTCACCAAGTTATTAGAGGCACAAGGCATGGGCAGCTGGAAAACAAACCACGTTTGGAGAAATCAGCCATGCCTTTTTTCTCAGCTGTGAGACTACACATGGTTTGATGGACAAACTGTGGTAAAAACAAACCATGGTTTAATGTTATGTATGGGCACAGTAATTTTATATTTTAGTTTATTGTGCTTGCTGTGTATGTTTTTACTGTCTTTTAGCTTTATTATGTGATTTGAATTTTTTAAAAAATAAGCTGCCCTGAGAGACCTACCATGGGATTTCAAATAGGAAAGACATCTTAAAATAAACAAAAAGAAAATATTTCACCAAAACCAATTGTTTACGCTAATTCTTTCTTTTAAAGATGATGTCCTCCAGACTGGTTTCAATCGAAGAGGATCTAAGGAGGTTGCGTCAGGACTCGGGACAACTGGTTTCGATGTGCAGCGAAAATGATTGTGTGCTGATTGACACCGTTGTGACGACTTTGTGGCTAAAGTGGCTTTATTTGCTCGACACTGCAAAAGAATGGGAGGGAAAGTGTGAAGAACAGAAGCAGGAATGGAAATCCGTCAGTGAAGAAGTGAGTAATTGGGGGGGGGCGGGGGGCATCTCAGCCAGGTGATTATTCCGGGTTTGATGCTCCACAGGCTATTTAAATTCAGGTTTATCTCAAATATGGGGCTGTAGCTGAGTTGTAGAGCATGTGCAGGAGGGAAGTTTGCAGAAGTACAAAAATAATAATAAGGGGGGGGGACTGTTGGCTATTTGCAGTTTAGTTGTGCTGCAGAAAGCTTGCTGGGGAGACCACGCATTACAAGGAACTCAAAAATAACTTTAACCAGGTTTTAACAACAAAAACAAAACCTCCTTTGACATTAAATATATCAACAAGCATGACCCATCCACCAGGGTACTGAGAGAGCTAGGTGCTGCTCTTTATATACTATACCCAATTGCTGACACAGCTTAATTAACACAACTTAGCAGCACCTGCTATCCTGTTTCACAGTTGTAAAACTGGGTCTCGTTATTTGCTCTGGCCCTTAAAGACATACACATCTTGTGGAACAATATGAACCTTCACATTTAAAGAGACCATTCAACAGGGACTTCCCTTAAAAAAACAGTCGATTGAGGACTGAGCATGCTCAGTGGCACAAAGCTGATTGGTTGTCGGGAGGGAAATGGAGAACTGATGAGGAGGGGGAATGGAATGGAGCAGCTGAAACAGAAGCCTTCCATGCTGCAACATTTTGTTGGCAGTCTCTCTTGTATAATGTAAATAATGTTTACTGTACGCAGGGAAATTCTGTTAAGAGCAATAAATAATCATGTCTGTTTTACATTACGTATAAAATAAGTGTTATTAACTGGAGTCATTTATGCATGCTTGCTCAGAAATAAATCCCAATGTGTGCTACTTGCAAGTAAGTGTGCAAAGGATCGTAATCTTGTTTTCCTTCTCCCTCCCCTGGTGGCTATCTTCTTCTTTCTTCAGATGGAACGAGAAAGCATCATTCTAGACAATCTTCAGGAAGAACTGCCCGAAAACCCGAAAGAAAAGGAGAGAGCCAGCAAAGAGGAGCTGGAAGAATTCCTGGAATGTACGAACATTTATGGAGAAAGTGTGAATGCTGAGAAACGGTTGTTGCGTTTAATACTTCAGCGTGTCAGGAGCATTCTCATGGTCCCTGAATGTCCGTCTGCGGAGGGAGGAAGCCTTCCTGTTATGAATGAAATCCAAACCATGCAGAATCGAACAAAAGAGTAAGTCTAAGTAAATTTTGAGGTGTACACATTTATGCTTGGCTTGGAAGAAGTTGACGGAAAAACGTTCTTCTTCATTTCTCATGAGGCTTAAGACTCTGAATCCTCCACTGAAGCCAAATGTGGGAGAATCAGGACACATCAAAGGAAACACCTTCCCACAGTAAAGCATAGTTGTAATTGTAAGCCAGTGTGGTGTAGTGGATAAGAGTGGTGGACTCGTAATCTGGTGAACCAGGTTCGCTTCCTCACTCCTCCACATGCAGCTGCTGGGTGACCTTGGGCTAGTCACACTTCTCTGAAGTCTCTCAGCCCCACTCACCTCACAGAGTGTTTGTTGTGGGGGAGGAAGGGGAAAAGGAGATTGTTAGCCGCTTTGAGACTCCTTAATAGATAAAGGTAAAGGGTCCTTAGGGTAGTGATAAAGCGGGATATCAAATCCAAACTCTTTTCTTCTTCTTCTTCTTCTTCTTCTTCTTCTTCTTCTTCTTCTTCTTCTTCTTCTTCTAAAGCAGGGAAAACCCGTGGTCCTCCAGGTGTTTCGGGACTCCAGCTCCCATCAGTCCCAGCCAGTATTGGTAAAGGATTATGGGAGTTGTAGTCCGGCAACATCTAGAGAGCCACAGGTTCCTTGGGCCTAGTTTAAAAGTGATAAATCTAACCAAGTAATTACCGCATTTTTTGCTCCATAAGACGCACCTAGTTTTTAGAGGGGGAATACAAGAAAAAAAATATTCTTTAAAGGGAGCACTGAGCAGAGCCTGTATGCATCCCAGGCTCTGCTCAGCGCTCCCTTTCACAAGCTGTGTGGAGTGTGTCTTGGGGGCCCCCAAGAGCCACACACACACTCTGTGCGGCTCTTTAAAGGGAGCGCGGCTCTTGCTGGCTTTTGTGGGAGGTGGGGGAAGGGACAGAGCACGGCTAAACCAGAAGCTAGAACAGCGAGAGGGAGCGCAGCTGGCTTCTGGGATAGCTGTGCAGCCTGCATTTGCTCCATAAGTTGCAGACACATTTCCCCTTACTTTTTAGGAGGGAAAAAGTGAGTCTTATAGAGCGAAAAATACGGTACTCATTGCGTATTATGTGCAGTAGCAGGTGGGTTGGCGCAGCATTGCTCTCCTGGCTTCCCAAAACCGTGTCACTAAGAAGAAGAAGAAGAGTAAGTGTAAGGCCGCAGCAGGCTTGGCATGGTGTGGACACGGTGGCAGGAGCATCAGATTGGCTCCTGCCGCCACAACCACACCATGCTGAGCTCCCCCACTGCTTTGCCTCTCCCTGCCTCCCGATAAATGACAGCAATGCATGACATGGGGAAGCTGGGAGATCAAAAGAGCCCCACTCACACTGCCCCACCGCCCACTACTGATTGTGTGTGACGATCCTTAAGCCCACAACCCCAAATGTACTTACTTGGGAGTAAGCCTCATTGAACTCAGTGGGACTTCTAAGTAGACAAGACATCATTTGGTAATAGTTTTAAAGAAGCTTGGCGGTTTTCAGTGAGTGGAAATGAAAGCTGTGCTTGAGTTTAGGGCCTTTAGAAACCAGGTAATGGGTTCATATTAGGAGCCTGCTAGAACTCAGATTCTAGCTTCCCTGGACGCCTCCCCTTAATATTACGACTTGCAATTTTCTCAGGCTCTTCCAAAAGGCTCAAAAGCAAAAGGATGCTGTGCAGTCTGAAATTGAAGAGCGGGACAAAGTGAACGAGGAGATCGGCGCTTTGAAGGCTTCATTACGTGACACTGAATCTTTGCTCCACGAAACAGACTTAGAACCACTTAATGAAAAGACAGCGAAACTTGAGGTTGGTAAAACATCCGCTGTCATGCTTTGTGGTTGCAACACAACTACAGGGTGGGGTCTTCATAGGTGGGGTGATGATAATTATTCCAGACTCCCTCCCTGAGCCTTCAGTGTTAATTTTGAAATCAGCGAATGATCCATTAATATTTCTATTTCGATATGTCAGAGATACAATTTTATTATTGGAGATAGAACTGATAATAAAGCATATGACATTGTATCAAGTAATAGCTATACCACACTTTCCGGAGGGTTTTCCCATCCCATTCCTTATAGGAAAAAATCCAAAAAAACATTTTTAAAGTGGATTTGTTGTGTAGGAGTGCCATTTTAATTGTGAATTTGCCTGTATCTGATTGAATCCCACCTGCAAAGTCTGGAAGCCCCCAAGTCACTCTTAACAATCTACATCAGTGGTTCTCAATTAGCTAATTACTGAGGACCCCCTATTTTTCAAAAGCCAAGCCACGGACTCCCTCATGGAACAAAATTTGGAACAAAATGTGGGGTAGCCCCTAAAAAGCAAAGGATTTTAGGTATACTGAAAAACAGACTAGGGCTGAGTGATATCTGGTTTGCAACATCATGATATATCAGCAGCTAAACATTGCAATATTCTGATATACAGTGGTACCTCGGGTTAAGTACTTAATTCGTTCCGGAGGTCCGTTCTTAACCTGAAGCACCACTTTAGCTAATGGGGCCTCCCGCTGCTGCCACGCAGCCGGAGCACGATTTCTGTTCTCATCCTGAAGCAAAGTTCTTAACCAGAGGTACTATTTCTGGGTTAGCGGAGTCTGTAACCTGAAGCATATGTAACCTGAAGCGTACGTAACCCAAGGTACCACTGTACCGCGATGTCTGAAATTGGAGATCCGGTGTGGGAATGAAGGAAGGAGCAGTCACGGAGATCCGGTGGGCGGGGAGAGGAAGAGGAGTCACCTCCGTCGCATGGTTTGAAGGGGAGGGGATGGGGGGGTGCATCAAGCTGCCATCAGCGGGGCAGCCAGCACCCACTGTGGCGGCTGCTGCTTTCCTGTTGACTGAGAAAAGCTGCTCCGCCTCAGTGCCATGGTGCCTTGAAGTGAGGGCAATCAGCTGCCCAGTTCTCAGTCCATTGTGCAATACAGTCATAAAAGGTAAAGGTAAAGGTACCCCTGCCCGTACGGGCCAGTCTTGACAGACTCTAGGGTTGTGCGCCCATCTCACTCAAGAGGCCGGGGGCCAGCGCTGTCCGGAGACACTTCCGGGTCACGTGGCCAGCGTGACAAAGCTGCATCTGGCGAGCCAGAGCCGCACACGGAAACGCCGTTTACCTTCCCGCTAGTAAGCGGTCCCTATTTATCTACTTGCACCCGGGGGTGCTTTTGAACTGCTAGGTTGGCAGGCGCTGGGACCGAGCAACGGGAGCGCACCCCGCCGCGGGGATTCGAACCGCCGACCTGACGATCGGCAAGCCCTAGGCGCTGAGGCTTTTACCCACAGCGCCACCCGCGTCCCCACAATACAGTCATACCTCGGGATAAATGTGCTTCAGGTTAAGTATTTTCTGGTTGCGTTCCGCGGTGACCCGGAAGTAACGGAGCGTTTTACTTCCAGGTTTTGCCACGCACGCATGCGCAAACGGTCAAAATGACGTCACGCGACCCGCAAAATGGCAAAACGCGACCCGCAGATGCGCGGATGCAGGTTGCGTTCACTTCATGATCCAAACAGGGCTCCGGAATGGATCCCGTTCGCATCCCGAGGTACCACTGTACCAGCAGTGCCTCAAAATCAGCTGCCCTGCTTTCCTTGTTGCAAGGAGCAATATATTGCTATGTATTGCTAGGTCAAAATCGTTATTGCAGTGTGATTTCAAAACCGATTTTGGCCAGTATGTTGAAAAAACGAACAGTGCTAAAACAAGCCGTCAACAACGTGATATTACCATGCAGAAATGACAAAAAATTAGTGTGTGGGGGAGGCAAAGGATGGGGCTGCGGACCCCCTGGGCGCATTCTGCAGACCCCCCAAGGGTCCCCGGACCCCTAAATGGGAACCACTGATCTACACCAAACATTCAAAGCAGTATCAAACCACTTTAAGCAGCTGTGGCTTCCCCACAAAGAATCCTGGGAACTGTAGTCTGTTAAGGCTTCTGAGGGTTGTTAAGAGAGCCCTATTCCCATCACAGAACTACAGTTCCCAGGGTTATTTAGCAACCCATCCCTTTTTCCCGGAGAACTATGGGAACTGTAGATCTGTGATGGGAACAAGGCTCTCCTAACCGCTCTCAGCAAACGACAAACTACAGCACCCATAATTCTTTAAGGGAAGCCATGACTCTTTAAAGTAATTGGATACTGCTTTAAATGTATAGCGGGAGTGTGGCCAAAGATTATAGATAGAAGTTGCATCTTATGCAGGCATAACTCGAGAGGCACTTGCATAAATCAACATCAATGCCCCTGGCATTGATTCACACACACTGTCAGCCAGCCTCTTTTTATTGATAGAAATATGCAGAGTTGTCTTTTTTTGTAGGTTGTTAGCTGAACAAATGCCCTTACTTTTCACTTTCCTACTGTTACTGCACAATACGTTGATTCGAATCTCAAAGTTCAGTATTTAAGTGCCAGGGAAATGCCTTGAACTTAGGAACAACACTGTAAGTAAAACGTCCTAGAAATTTGGCTGAAAATTTCCTTCTTTTCAGTTGTTTCTGCCATGTAGATCAGATTAAATTTCTGGACCACAAATAGGAGACAACTGTTAAGTTCCTTTTAGCTCATGAAACTGATACTCTTCATGCAGAACTGGGACTGGCTGTTTTTCTCCGATCTTTTCGTTAGAATGGACACAAGAGTTAAATATACCAGCTCTGTTGCTTTTTGTTGCATTTTATTGTTGGTAGGACTTCATTTGGTGGGGGTTTTTTTAAGGGTTTTCTTCCCACATGCAACAAAGCCAAGCTGCGAGGTTTAATCGCAGATGTATTTTCTGTGCTCAATATATTATTTCATCTGTCAATATGCCTCGACAGGACAATGGAATGGTATCAGGTTTAATTTATTCTTGGGTGAATTGAAAAGCATCATCCGACTAAACAACGCGAGCATCTCTCAGGTTTAACCTGCTTGCCTGCCTAGTCAAAATGAGGCTTTGTACGGCACCAAAACTACCAGTCCGCTTGCTAACCACAGTGGGGACTCCCCTGCCTAACAATTGCTTCCTTCTCCCTCTTAGGAAATCCAAAGAGCCATTGACAGTCAGAAGCAAATTCTCCAGGAGATAATGGATAAGTTACGTATCAAATACTCTGAAATGTATACGATAGTTCCCGTCGAGATTGAAACTCATTTGGAAGACTGCAAGCAAACTTTGCAAGAGCTAGAAGAAAAGGTAAAAGCCACATTTATTTATTTTGAGGCTCAGAACAGTTTAAATTGGATTTCCGGCTTATTTGCATGCATATCTTGCTTGACATTTGGAAAGACCTGGGTGGCTTATGGTCTCTGTTTAAGGCATTGTCCTGATCTATAACTGCGTGGCTTCAACAGTAAGAGCAGAATATAGGAATAGCATTGGAGGCCGACTTATATGAAGTCAGACTATTGCTCCATCTAGCTCAATGTTGTTTACATGGACTGGCAGTGGCTTTCCAGGGATTTAGGCAGAGGTCTCTTCCTGGAGAAGATGTGGATCAAACCGGGGGCCTTCTGCATACTAAACAGATACCCTACCAGTAGGCTATACCACCTATCAGTCTTCCCACATGTTTACAAACCCATTGGCTAATTTGTCAGGCAGATTCTAGGCAGCCTGCTTAGCTTTAACATGATGACAATTTAATTGGAGGTTGTTCTTTAATCCTTAAAATGTGTATTGCATGTTTGGGTTTCAAAAAAAAAATGTGAACATGGATTATCATAGCATGTTAGTTGCCTTAAAAAGCTAATGCACCTGCGTTTTACTGCTTGGTAAAAAGAACAAGGACCGTGGAAAAGACCAATAATTTTAGTTGCATATGCATTCTATTTGCTGTTTAAAAATAAAAATTGCCAACTTCGTTTGATTTTGCATTTTTGCAATATAGTCCAGTAATTTGACCTTTCTAGTGAAGGGACGTGGGTGGCGCTGTGGGTTAAACCACTGAACCTAGGACTGGTTTAACCCACAGCGCCACCCGCGTCCCTTGATGTATATAGGATTGTTTAAAAAGATCCATTGGTGGTTTCCAGATTATTGTGATTTAAAGAAGGCAAGAAACGTGAACGTAATTTGAAAGGTCCTGTGTTAGTTTGGTCTTTGTGTTTCTCTTCTTCTCTCCCTTGCGTTGCAGGACTTTTCATTGTTGTTTTTCAACCGCTCTAGGTCACCACGGAATCCCTGAAGCTTTCCCCACACTACACGGCAGATAAAAAAATACAAGAGATCAGCAAAGGCCTGCAAGCGGTTGAAAACATGCTGCAGCAGAAGAGCAAGAGCACTGCAAGAGCGAAAGAAATCCAGAAGGTATTAATGGCTCAACAAGGGTGTTGCTTAGGGCTGTTTATTTAAGACATTTGTATCCCACATTTACTCCAAGGTGGCCTACAGGGCTCCTCTTCCCATTATATCCTCACGACAACCCTGGGAGGTAGGTTAGGCTGACAGAGAGTGGCAAACCCAACTTCACGGCTGAGTGGGGATCTGAACCCCTAGTCTCCCAAGTCCTAGTCCAGGGGTCAGCAAACCTTTTCAGCAGGGGGCCAGGTCCACTGTCCCTCACACCTTGTGGGGGGCCAGACTATATTTTGAAGGGAAAAAAAAGAACAAATTCCTATGCCCCACAAATAACCCAGAGATGCATTTTAAATAAAAGGACACATTCCACTCATGTAAAACACCAGGCAGGCCCCACAAATAACCCAGAGATGCATTTTAAATAAAAGGACACATTCCACTCATGTAAAAACACGCTGATTCCCGGTCCATCCGTGGCGATTGGGCTGGATCCGGCCCCCAGGCCTTAGTTTGCCTACCCATGTCCTAGTCCAACACTCTTAACTGTTACACCCCCCTGGCTCTGCTTGCAGGTTACCTCCCATCCTTGTCTAATACCTTCCCCAATCTGGTGCCATCCAAATGATGTTAGGATCAAATCCACATCAGTCCCAGCCAGCATGAGCAGTGGTCAGGGGTGATGGGAGTTGTAGTCCAGCAACATCTGGGGAGCACCAGGTTGTAGAAGATGGCGTGATGTGTAGCAGACCTGCTCCTTCCCCAGGTCCCACCCTCCACAGTTGCATTGACCAGATTGGAATCCACTGCTTCCGTTTTCTACTAACAACAGGTTGTTTCATCCAATCTATGAACCGTCGTGAGCTTTAAACTATGGTTTGTCTGAACTGGCCTGGATTGTAGACTGTGGCTTGATCTTGGGTTGTTCAGAAAATAGCAGAGTTGAAGAAGTAACTATTGTTTGTCTCATTTCGGGCGAAATGAGTAACTGTGGTTATCATTATCATTATTTATAAAATTTATATATGTTCATCCGAGAATGACAGGGCCGTGTACAGTATAACAACACAAAAATGCAGAAATTGATGCTTCCGAACTCCTCCTTATGGCCAGACTGGTGGAGTGGGAAGAGCACTGTAGTAGTTTTGAAACTTTTGATTTTTAAAATAAATTGTACCCCAAAATTCTGCTTGTTTTCCAACGGTTTTTTTTTTAAAATTTAAAAATAAATCTGGATGCTAATTATTTCTGTCTTCTAATAATTCCAAGACCACTTTGTTTCGTTCTTCAATTCTAACTGAGCTTGATGGTCTGTTACTGCCATCTTTGCAATAATCACCTTTTCTTACTCCTGTTTACATTTGTCTCGTCCCTAAATGCTGTTGCAAGTGTCTCCAAACAGATCACAAACAGGAATAAAGGCCCCTTCTGGTTAATGGATGTGCTGTTTTTTGCTACACGCAGAGAATCTGGGACATGCTGGACCTTTGGCATTACAAAATGAACGAACTGGATTCTGAGATTCAAGACCTCGTGGAGCAAGATCCTGGCCAGCAGGGTCAAGAGTTGATGGATCGTTGGATGATTCCGCTGCAACGATACCAGCAAGTCTCTCAGCGGGCCGAGCGCAGAACTGCAGACTTGAACAGGGTAAGAGAAGAAGAGAAGAGTTTGGATTTGATATCCCGCCTTTCACTCCCCTTCAGGAGTCTCAAAGCGGCTAACATTCTCCTTTCCCTTCCTCCCCCACAAAAAAACACTCTGTGAGGTGAGTGGGGCTGAGAGACTCCAGAGAAGTGTGACTAGCCCAAGGTCACCCAGCAGCTGCATGTGGAGGAGCGGAGACGCAAACCCGGTTCCCCAGATTGCAAGACTACCGCTCTTAACCACTACACCACACTGGCTGGAGGCAATGGAAAGGCAGACCCGGCTAATCAAATGTCCAACATGGATAGCTCAGTGAGTTAGACAGGGGACAGCAAACTTTTTTAGCAGGGGGCCGGTCCATTGTCCCTCAGAC